GATTTCCCAACGCACGATACTATGTTAATCATTGAGTCAAGCTGCTTACTGGTTGCGGCCATCAGCTTCACATCATCCATGTACCATAAGTGGGATACGGTTGTTGTCCGCTGAAGTCCGCACACATATCCAAAGCCACTTCTCTTGAGTTCACCTGATATTGGATTCAATCCAAGACAGAAGAGCAGAGGGGATAACGAGTCACCTTGGAAAATGCCTCGCCGGATCGGTATTGCCTCACTCATGTCAGCTCCCAAGCGCAGCCGGGTACGCCACTGCGATGAGAGCACAGACAAGAGCGAAGTGATCTTGGGGTGGAATTTGTACAGACGTGTGACTTCGACTAGCCACTCCTGTGATCGGCTGTCGAACGCTTTCCTAAAATCCAACCAAGCCATTGCTAAGGTGCGGTGATGACGCCTAGCATCCTGGGTAATCATAGCATTGATCAGCAGCTGGTCAGTGCAGCCTCCTCGGTTACGAGTACAGCCAGTGTGTTCATGGGCCAGAATGTCATTGGTCTGGATATGGATCCACATCAACTCACCAATCCCGGAGGTGAATAGCTTGTACATGGCTGGCAGACAGGTGATTGGTCGCCAATTCTGCGGCTGGGTTAGGTCTCCTTTCTTTGGGATCATGACCGTCTGGCCCAGTGAAAACCACGCTGGGGCATCCAGCTCACCATCCAGAAGCAGCTGGAAATTTCGAAGTAGAGCTGGATGGAGAGCAGTAATTTTTTTAATCCAGAATGGCGGGATCGGGTCACAGCCAGGAGCACGCCAGTGTGGCATCTTGGAGGTCGCAGCAGACATAAGGTCAGCAGTAATGACAGAAGATTCCTGGGCATGGATGTCCTCTGCGTACATGCCTTCACGCTGGATCCAGGCCTGACGACGCACAGGGTAAGGGTAAGACCAAATGTCTCTCCAGAACTGCTCCAATTGATCCATACACAGGCGCGTGCTCGGCGATGGGCACGGGGGGCACGTGCACCCCCCCCAAAAATTTTCAATCTGGGTAATTGCAATTGTAATGTATGCAAAATTTAATATGCTCTAAAATTCAAGAAAGGTTGCAAACAAATTGCAGAAAATTGCCGGGGGGCTCTCCTCGGCTCCCGTGCACCCCCCTAGTTGGGGGGCCGAGCACGCCCCTGCATACATGGACGGTTCTCGGGGTCACTATCCTTCTTGGCACACAGGTTACGATAGAGTTGACGTTCACTGTAGCGAAATAACTGATTTTCCTGCTTACGTTTCATATCAGCTTTGTATCTGCGCATTCGACCCGCAAGGGCGAGAAGTTCCAATTTCTTTGTTCCTAGAAGTGAAGCAGCAGCGTGCCGAGTTCCCACAGGGTAGCGCTGGTACATTTGCGGGTTGTCAGATGCCAGGTAGCTTGTCAGTCTAGAGACATCCTTCCGAAGGGCGTCAACCTTTCGCTGTAAACCGGCTTTGCCAACCCAGAACTTCCGGCTGTGGCGAACTCATGCGCGCTGCCGGAACTGGCAGGATCAAACCAGTAGGGTGAGAACAGCGGCAGCATACGCAACATGATTCAAGAACTCTATGGACAGGTCAAACTCACTAGCAGCAACCAGCTGACGGTACATGTACATCATTGACAGCACCACCAGCGAAGACGAATTGTGACAAACCGAAACGCCAACATCCTACTGAACTCCACTATCATGTATGATGGACTAGTTATTTACAATAACAAGAAGTTCCACACGACGTACGTTTTGCCGTATAGGTCATGACGGCTCATCAGGTGTGCAAATTTGAATTTGAAAACAATTTGATGTTGGCGTTTTGGTTTGTCACAATTCGTCTTCGCTTAGCTTCCCCTTCTATGTTTATTACATAAACTTGAGCCTCCCAAGTTGGGTGGTCTGTTGCTTTGCGTCGCTGAGTTGTAGTAGGGCCGGTCTGTCCAATAGTCTTACTAGTTTCGTCGTCATCCAGTAACTTTCGGCATTCTTTGTTGCCGTAATGCGTAGCTTGTGCTCTTCTTCGTTGCGCTTTCCTTCCCCTCTTGGACCTTTCTGAACCTGAGCCTTCCAAGTTGGAAGGTTGTTGGTTTGCGCCTTGGAGAAATGTTGTAGCTAGGTGTCAGGTTGCTGAATGTCTCAGTACTCCTTGTCAGTTTTGTGCCATTTTGTCGCACTCACTGACTGTATAAGATCTGGTTACGTTGGTGGACAGTTTGTCATAACTCGTAACATTTTGTCCTTCTCCTTTCCTCATCATAACTATATTGGCTCACCATCCGAGTTCAAATTATTATTATTATTATTATTATTATTAACTTAGAAGTTGCGACTTCGGCGGTAATGTCATGAAGTTGGTTGCTCCAACGAGGAGCACACGCTTCTTGCCGAACTTGACACTTGACTGACTCACGACTGCCATCCGGAGCACACCAGGAGCACGTCGCACCTTCCGCTCGGCAAACCTGAAAGAAAGCACCACTCCCTGCTCAATACACAGTGTTTCGGGGAATTCACCCCTCATCAGTTGAGCTTGAGTAGGCTGAGGAAGATTGTGCCTGAAAAGCACCACTTATATACTGCTCTCCAGGCCAAACCATCACCAGGGATACAAACTTACAGAGACGCTTTGTTTCCAGCGCGACAAACACCTCGTGAAGCCCCAGGTAGCAGCGTGAGTCAGAGTCGCTCATGGAGTTGTGCTAAACAGACGTTGAGAGCCAGTATAGCTATTCACAACGCTGTCACCTCCAACAACTAGTCGCACGTCCGCATGAGGGACAACAATACGAACTTAGAAGTTGCGACTTCGGCGGTAATGTCATGAAGTTGGTTGCTCCAACGAGGAGCACACGCTTCTTGCCGAACTTGACACTTGACTGACTCACGACTGCCATCCGGAGCACACCAGGAGCACGTCGCACCTTCCGCTCGGCAAACCTGAAAGAAAGCACCACTCCCTGCTCAATACACAGTGTTTTGGGGAATTCACCCCTCATCAGTTGAGCTGGAAACAAAGCGTCTCTGTAAGTTTGTATCCCTGGTGATGGTTTGGCCTGGAGAGCAGTATATAAGTGGTGCTTTTCAGGCACAATCTTCCTCAGCCTACTCAAGCTCAACTGATGAGGGGTGAATTCCCCGAAACACTGTGTATTGAGCAGGGAGTGGTGCTTTCTTTCAGGTTTGCCGAGCGGAAGGTGCGACGTGCTCCTGGTGTGCTCCGGATGGCAGTCGTGAGTCAGTCAAGTGTCAAGTTCGGCAAGAAGCGTGTGCTCCTCGTTGGAGCAACCAACTTCATGACATTACCGCCGAAGTCGCAACTTCTAAGTTCGTATTGTTGTCCCTCACGCGGACGTGCGACTAGTTGTTGGAGGTGACAGCGTTGTGAATAGCTATACTGGCTCTCAACGTCTGTTTAGCACAACTCCATGAGCGACTCTGACTCACGCTGCTACCTGGGGCTTCACGAGGTGTTTGTCGCGCTGGAAACAAAGCGTCTCTGTAAGTTTGTATCCCTGGTGATGGTTTGGCCTGGAGAGCAGTATATAAGTGGTGCTTTTCAGGCACAATCTTCCTCAGCCTACTCAAGCTCAACTGATGAGGGGTGAATTCCCCGAAACACTGTGTATTGAGCAGGGAGTGGTGCTTTCTTTCAGGTTTGCCGAGCGGAAGGTGCGACGTGCTCCTGGTGTGCTCCGGATGGCAGTCGTGAGTCAGTCAAGTGTCAAGTTCAGCAAGAAGCGTGTGCTCCTCGTTGGAGCAACCAACTTCATTATTATTATTATTATTATTATGGGGGTAGCTTTATTGGTTTTGTGTTTGTATTATGCAGCATCCCGGGTCATTTAAGACCATGGGGAGTACTGCTGTTGTATGTGAAGAAAATATAATAAGGAAGACTGAGAAAAAAGAAAGAAAAAAGAGAGAAATACTGTGAACAGCAAATCTACAATGATGCATGTACAATCTATTATACAACTAATCTGCGAGAATGAGACTTAACACAAGCAGTTATTATTATTATTATTATTATTATTATTATTATTTGATAACCGCAATCAGTAATACAAGCTGGATCGACATTTGTGTACGCTTTATTCATGTCTCCACAGTTTTACATTACATGAATAAAGTGTACACAAATGTCTATCCAGCTTGTATTACTGATTGCGGTTATCAAATTGTTGTCTCCTCGCCGTTTGTTCAAATTATTATTATTATTATTATTATTATTAACTGGTTTGAGGGAAAGACACAAACGGGAAAAGTCTGAAGAAAAAATTGACTGTCACCACCAGGACTCGAACCAGGGACCCTCGCTTGTCGCCAGCGATGCTCTAACCACTGAGCTATGGTGTAGTAACATGCTTTCATGCTTTTCATGCTGTCGTGCTTTTTCTACAAAATGCACTCTCTGCCGCGTTGAAAGTACACTGAAGGGACCAATGATGTTCTTTTGGCACATAACAAACTGCTACAAACTCCAGTTGAGATGGCGGAGTGGGTCAGACATACTGGTGAGCACCCATCGACCATAATGGTTTAAAGCCAGAAAATCCTCCCATATATTCAAAGATCATAGGCAAAACTGGAAGTGGTGAGAAGACCCTCCCTCCCTGAGGGGCTACTACAGTCTATTCATCGGAAACAGTCCCGCTGGCTTTTGAAAGTTGGATTTGGGCCGAATTGAGGATCAAAAACACACAAAATCTCAAAAATCTGGGTTTGGGATCTGCTTCTCAGCACATTTTTCCATGGCATACATGCACCTGTCCTAATTTTGTAAAACCTGGCTGAATTTCTATTTCCCTGTTCTTGGACCTTTTGGCCTCAAATGTGGCAAGGAGAAATTGCACGGGTCACACAATGCAGGATGCTCTGTTATTTTTCATGAAATCTGCATCTATGTGCGGGGGACGCCAAAATGTTAGGGTGCCAGTTTCCAATGAATGGACTGTAGTGACCTGAGTCTACCCACACTGGCAGTATACTGATAATGACTTACAGTGGTGCCGGGATTTCACAGCAAACATCTTCTTATACGGACCCAGTCCACACGTGTATGTTCCAGGCAACGGAGGCGCAAAGTCCCAGCTTCCCAGAGAAAGCAGGGTCCACTTGCTGGGCCTGAGGACAAAATAAGTTGAGACGTAGGCCCCGTGGCGAAAAGAATATTGGCGTCTACCATTCACTAGGATTGCAGCTGGATAAGGCCTTATGAAGTTGGCTGCATGCTTGAACATGGCTTCAGGCGTACCAGATACGCGGCAATCTCCACTCTTGAACGGCCATGGGAAGCTTGGATGGTGAATCAACCAAAGCACTTTGCCAGCCACAGGTCCTGGATTACTACTTCCAAAGCCTGTCCATCCCTCGAACTGGACCGCAAGTGTATCTGCAAGAGCAACCACACACACACACACACACACACACACACACACACACACACACACACACACACACACACACACACACACACACACACACACACACACACACCAACACGGTGGAGACTGACCGACATGGGATGCAGGAGACGGACACAGGCTGTTACAAACCACAAGTTCTCAAGTAAAAAAAGGTCTTCTCGTTCATGACATTGTATTCGTTTCAATGTCGTATTTCGACTCCGCCGTACCGCTGATGCATCATGCATGGCCTACGCTATATGCGCTAGGCGCGATTTACTGTATATGCTGTCATGTATGTTATAATATGTGTAGGCTTTTCTGATATACGCTGTCATTTGCATGCTATAGATATCTGGTGGTCTTAGGCTGAGTTATTATGTTATATCAAGTGAAATATACCGTTAAGAGTCAATAGTTGTCCTCGTGCCGCGTGGTCGTTCGTTCCTGACACTTTAGAGAATCAGAGGGTTCACAACATTTGAGGCCAATTGAAGGAATTCGCCAATTCACATGGGTGCAGTCGCATCAAAGAATGGACAACATACAATCTCAAGCCATAATGCAATTCGCACTGCTCTAACTCCATCTTCAAATCATCACAAAAAATATTTTTAAAGGGGAAGTGCATCGATTTTTCAAGTAGGGCTCAGATGAAAGACAATTGGATATCGGTTCCGATGGTGTATCTCTCGCTTGCGTACGGCAAGGGAAACTTGCCATATCGCCGGTTTCCTGATCCCGTTTCCATGGCGACTACAGGTGATGACGCACATTCTGCTTAGCTCCGTGAGAGAGAAGGTCGATCACTGCAGAATTGTGTCATTTTCAGTTGTCTTCTTGTATTCACGAAGTGAAAGAAGCTGTGTTCAATGCTGTTAGTGCGGTGAACTGTTTATTAGTAGTCCTCTCCGATGTGTACTGGGACGTGACACCGACAGGGGAAAGCTGGAGTGCGGAGACGTTAGCTGGCAAGCGAAAATCGTGACGAACCAAGTGCTGAAATCTTGGTTGGGACAAATCAAACGTTCAGCATTTACCTCAACCAAGGACCATGCCGTTTGCTCTTTCCACTTCCTGAAGATGGATGCGCTGCCTGCTGGAGACTCTCCTATCTCTCGTAACATCTTCTGAAGCCAAGTGAGACGACGAGTAGCGGAGATTAGCGAACGAAATAATGTCGTATGTTTTGAAATTTTTGCTGAACATATCTCAGGAGAGATGGCGAATACCAAGCATATTCTCCTAGTCTAGAGAAACCATTTCGTAGGCTACATTCCGCCTAGGGAAATGCAGGAGACGGCCTGGCTGGGGAGGACACACTTGGAGGAGAACGAAGTAAGTGATCTTGTTTATGTTGTTCTTTGGTATTGCAATCTTATGTTTGACGATCATACGGCATGGTGCCTAGTTGGTCGTTGAGTGCCTGCATGTGCATGTATAAGTGTGTGCTGATAAACACTTCCTATGCAAGAATCTGACACTCATGCTCTCTTTCTTTCTTGCAGTATGTGCGCACGTGTGTGTGTGTGTGTGTGTGTGTGTGTGTGTGTGTGTGTGTGTGTGTGTGTGTGTATGTGAGAGAAAGAGAGAGAGAGAGAGAGAGTGTGTGTGTGTGTGTGTGTGTGTGTGTGTGTGTGTGTGTGTGTGTGTGTGTGTGTGTGTGTGTGTGTGTGTGCAGGAGCAGCGTGGAGCATGCCAGTGTGATCGCTGTGGCCGTTGCTTTCTTAGCTGTGGCGTTCTTGCCCGTCACAAGTGTGTGGCTCAGCCCCCAACGACAGTGGAGCCGTGTTGTGGTGAATACTGTGTGTCCTGCAACCGCTGCTTCCGTTCGGTCCAGGGCAGGAATAGACACCGCTGCTGAAGCTCTCCCCGGCCGTACGTCAGTCTCGTGGCAGATGACCCGAACTCTCATTTTGTGTGTGGGGGGGGGGGGTATGTATATGTATGTGTGTTGCTCCCTACGTAGACAAACTCTTGTTTTTGTGTCCCGGGTGCTATGGGGCGGCGTTCTCCCATTCTCTCTCCACTGCCCCTCCGGGCCCACGTGGCAGTGACTCGACAGGGCAGGGCAAGTGTGTGTATGGTGCATGGTGTGTGCTGGCATGTCTGTATAAATATGTTGGACAGGAATTTGTTCACCCACAACGTTCACGGAAAACCATGCTAGGTGTTGCTGGAACGTATGGAGTCTGCGAGCACTTACAATAACTTACGTCATGTCACAACAAAGAACGGTGCAGTGTTTGACCCTCATGTACTGTGAAACATGATGATGATGGTACCTCACCTAAGCTACCCATGAAGCTAGAAAGAACATCAGGTCAACAGAATTGTACCAGAGGAAAGCATCTATTGCCCGAACTTCTTCATATCAAATGAACAATACCCTTCTCCATAGAGACAACATGCAGATGAAGTGTATGGACAAATAATAATAAATAGGCCATTCGCTGAGGGCATGGAATGATCTCTACGTGTAGATTGGATAGACACATGCACGTCTGCAAGGAAAGCATTTGTTCATGGGTTAGTTCATGGGCTGATTGAGTTCACATGGACTAATTCATACATGCCATCTCTCCTGAGATATGTTCAGCAAAAATTTCAAAACATACGACATTATTTCGTTCGCTAATCTCCGCTACTCGTCGTCTCACCTGGCTTCAGAAGATGTTACGAGAGATGGGAGAGTCTCCGGCAGGCAGCGCATCCATCTTCAGGAAGTGGAAAGAGCAAACGGCATGGTCCTTGGTTGAGGTAAATGCTGAACGTTTGATTTGTCCCAACCAAGATTTCAGCACTTGGTTCGTCACGATTTTCGCTTGCCAGCTAACGTCTCCGCACTCCAGCTTTCCCCTGTCGGTGTCACGTCCCAGTACACAACGGAGAGGACTACTAATAAATAGTTCACGACACTAACAGCATTGAACACAGCTTCTTTCACTTCGTGAATACAAGAAGACAACTGAAAATGACACAATTCTGCAGTGATCGACCTTCTCTCTCACGGAGCTAAGCAGAATGTGCGTCATCACCTGTAGTCGCCATGGAAACGGGATCAGGAAACCGGCGATATGGCAAGTTTCCCTTGCCGTACGCAAGCGAGAGATATACTATGGGAACCGATATCCAATTGTCTTTCATCTGAGCCCTACATGAAAAATCGATGCACTCCCCCTTTAAACCTACACAACCTACTGCTAACGCTCCGTTTCAACAGCCTTTTTCACAAGGATACATGGTGCAAATGAAACTTGGAAGTGTAGCTGATACTGTAGTGACCACAGCAGGCGCGTGCACCGCGTGGTTTTCTTGGAACCCGAAGACCACCTTTTTGCATCCGCTATGAAGTGCATTCTGCAAACACTCAAATATTTCGTAACTTGGCTTTCCCTGAACGGAATTGAGTAACTACAGAGGATCAGCAAAACGAAATTCGCGTTCGCGTTCGCTCTCCAAGGAAAGTCGAACTCAGTGACGAAATTCGCGTTATGAGAAGGATTAGCAAACAGAATTCGCACATCCATGACGTTGACACGACGTACATTGTGTACAGACAGTAGAGCGTGGTAAATTTATGACTGTCCTGACACGAATCCGCGATTCGTGTTCCAACTACTTTTCCGAACGAAAAATGCGAAAGTTCGCAATCCAGTTCGCGAACTGAAAAAAGTTTGCGAACGCGAACGCGAATTTCGTCTTGCTAATCCTCCGTATTGAAAGGTCTATTCGCATTAGAAAGTTCTCAGCTGTCGGCTCCAACAAATCCGAAGTCGATCCAAGGTCGAATAGTGGAGTTACGGTACTCGACAGGTATTTTACGTCCCATTGCAAATTTTCACTTCCGCACTTGGGTGCCAATCATATTATTGTCATAAATATGTTCCTCTATCGCACGACAGTCCAGCCATCCATAGACATGTTTGACGTCAGGCACCGGTCTTTAGCGGCTACAAAAGAAAGGAGCGCTCTACGATGGATATTACATGTACAAAAATACTATGGATCTTAGCGAATTGTCTCAATTTCCGGTTGCGCGTGTCTTCCCAGGGCTATAGTGCCACTGCAGACTCCGACAGTGACATGGATTGACCTGCTTCTTTCACTCACTTACTAGATATGGTTAGGATTTTACCGTTCACGCTATTTTCGACGGTCGGCGTGTAGAGGGCGAGTCTACTGTTTTTTTGGTGTTTTCGAGCCACGGTTAGCACTTCGGCTCCTGAGTCCTCACTCCTGACGCAACGATCGACTTGGGAGTAACCCTAGTTGGAATCTTACCGTTTCGTTCTCCCGCTAAACAGAGCTTTCTATGGTCGAAACGGTACCAAACTGACGGTATTTGGGGTGTTGGGTACGAGTACCGTTGGATCTAGCGCGTGAACGGTAAAATGCCATGTCTACACACACAAAAAACGGTACAGGCCGACCGTCGAAAATAGCGTGAACGGTAAAATGCTAACCACGTCTAATGTCTGAATCGTCCTTCACTACTTCGAACTACTTGTATAACGTCGGCTAGCCTATTCATTTATCCGGTGTCAGGAAAATGCCTTTGTACCACATTTGTTTTGATGGCTCGGTGGGACTGGCAGCCATAACTTTTAAAGCTGTCTTTCAGTGTGTAATGCGTGTTATTAATACTGCTGAATCTGCATGTAGCTTGTTGCAAAATGGCGGTCGAAATTTTTTGGAAACCACCATTTTTTGACCCGGTGCACGCGCCTGCACAGTATGTACATGTACGATACCACTGCACAGGCGCAAGCATCACTCAAGATGACAGACTCCGGCAGTACTGCAAGACACTGATCTTGCGCAACCAGATCTGTTAAATATTTTTGCGGTAATCATTGTGACCTGGTCGTTGCCATAGCGCATTGTGTTCATCCTACCGGGAACGTTCGCCCAACCACAGTCGACCCCTGAATTGCAACGAACACCATTGTGCACGAGGATTGGTTCTTTATAGCTGAAGTTTGTTATAACCGAAATGCACTCACACCAAACAAACAACATGCCATGTGCCACTGGCATGTGTCCCTTGACTGTAGACAGGCTTCGTTTCACGTTGTTCACCACTGCACCATGAAATTTCACGTCGGTCGGCCAAAATTCGGTTTCAAAACGCACGTTCGTGACAGGGGCTGAGGCCGACACACGTTTGACGTCCACGCGAGTTTTTTTCTGAATATACTCTTAAGATAAGGTGTGGATGGCTGTAATTTTGTCAAACATATGTAATACTTTGCTTCAGCGATTTTGAGCTCTTTGGCGGGAATCCGGAGGCGCTGGAGTGTGGCTGTATAGCTAACTGGAGGTTGAAGAAGAAGAGAGGAACTACAGTTGGCTTTCTGCTTGACAAGGAACTTGTCTATTTGGAGATCTGCTTTATTTTCATCATATCTACACTCTACCAGCGCTTTGGCCGAGTGGTTGTGGGCTTGCCTGCGAATCACAAGGTCCCGAGTTCAAGTCGAGACCCTCGCTGGGAGCAGGGAGCGTGTACTGTGCTAACAAATGCGCTGATGCATGCGTGAACCACTTTACATGCAGTGAACTGCGCCGACATCCACGGTCAACTGGGTGCTCACTATTCGGAGTGAGGGTAACATGGATGCAGCTAACGAGATTCGCCCCCTTGTCGGGCATTGGCTGTGAGACGACCTCACCTCACCCTCCCCGTTACGTGCTGCATCTGCCACCCTGGTACTACAGCCATGGTGGTGGCCTGGCACAAGCGAAACCTCCTAAACTGGTTGTGTTTCTCAGTGAAATTGTATAGCCGGTGGTAACGTGCACATGCAAACTTTGCTTTACACTCTATCGAGATGTCTGTAGTATCTCCTAAGGCCAATCAAGAGTCGCCTGTGCCTGCGTCTCCTGTGTCTGCGTCAATTGGTTCCCAAGTGGCTCAGCAATCTGCTTCAAGACATGCTATGATCTGGAGATGTTCCTATTTGTGCTCGGGAAGCCTTCCATATTCGAGCCGAGGATTGGCATGAGAAACTGAGAGAGGGCAGCCAACAGCCTGAAAAAGAAAGACCTTTCCGGAATTGAAAGGTCTGTCTGCGAGGATGGTGTAGGATAGGACTCTGTGAGAAATAAAACTCTAGCAGTGTCTACAAGCTCCTAAGAAACGATGAATGTGCGCCACACAAAACACAAAGTCCGAGCTCTCCAAAAATCAAGTCTAGCTTTTTTGAGTTTCGCGCTTCTCATTGTGTCACCATGGGAACGATGCGCTTCTCACTACGCGTCACCTCGAAAAAGTGACGTTCACGTTAGAGAGCAAATCACGCGAAACCAAACCTCTCTTGTATGAGTAAACTTTGTTACTTCAATTTTGTTTTTTTCCGAGTAGGTTCAAACTGGGACATGGACAACAGTTCACTGCATCACGAAATTCGATATAAATTACACGAGTTCGTTATCAATAGAGTCGACTGTAACGAACAGTCCCTAAGGCCTAACCATTATCATCGCCAGTTGCTGTGGCCAAGAGCAGGAAGAGTAGCGTCACTGCACCTCTGCACATCACACTGATGGCCATCCTGTTCCCTCCGGCCTGGCAAAGTCCGTGATGACAGAGGATTACCTGTAGCAGCATATCACAACCCAGACATCCAGCAATGGAGACCAGTACTGTACACATTGTCTGCGAACCCTGCTGCTGCTCTACGCATACATAAAGCTGGCCTCGCAAATCATTCTGGACATTGTCCGCCCCTTGACCTTGTCTTGCAAACTAGCTCCCCTCATTGTCAAATGACTACAGTGAACACCTGATATCAAACACCATTGTGCAGGAGAATTAGTTCTTTACAGCCGAAGTTCGTTATAACAGGAATGCACGTACACTATACGAGCAGCAAGTCATGCCTGGCAAGTGGCCCATGACAGCATTAGCAGTACACTTGGTTTACATGCGACCCTACAAGAGTTGGTTCCTTATAAAAGAAAAAATGTTTGCTATAAAGGGTCAATTTTGTATTTGTATTTGTATTTATGGATTCTCCACAGGCCTTAGCCAAAATCGAGGGAGTCTCCAATTTTGCATGGATTCAAAGTTTTTTCAAACAGGGACATGGACAAAGGTTCGCTATATACAAGTTCATTATAAGTGAAGCCGACCGTATGTCAACACGACAAGTGATAGTATAGTCATACATCACAATCATGTACTTCAAAGTACGCAATATTCAACGTGACTATGCCCCGTGTCACACGGCATGTCCAAACTCAATTATCGCGAAGGCGGAAAATTAATGACAAGCCGAGAACTGCTAGCTACTTGTAGCGCTGGGCTAGCCGGCGGACGTACCATGAACTGACAATCTTTCCTTGTCGCACTGCACTGAAACGAAGAGGAAATATCCGGCGTCGAAGTCGAGCGGCATAATGCAAGCTCATACACACCACACTACATCCTTGCTGTTCGCTACGAGTATCAGTACGTACCAATATCACTCGATGGAGTAAGTTGCACACGGTGGCTGAGCGTGACACTATTCCATAGAGAGAATCCCGAACTTCTGAAGTAGGACATGGACATAATCATTGCGGCATGTACAAAATATTGAGAAGAATCCACACTGACCAGATGGCCAAACAAACTACAGAAATCTACGTATAGCATGTACCACGATGCACATGGCATACACATGCAATGATCGCGTCCTTCATTCAGACCGATTTTTATCAAAAATAATATTGATAAAAATCGGGCTGAATCAGCGAATGAAGGAAATTTTTTATGCACGGGGTAGATCTACTGCTAGGGTTTACCGGGTGTTAGCGACCGCCGTGAGTTCCCCTCAGGATCCCACGGACACGATAATTTACTTTTTTGTTTACCGGTACCATGGGTTCACATGGTTCATGAGGTCGCGCGATCACTCCCGGGAGAAGCCAACTGTCTTATCTGACTGTATACTGACACTTTAAAGTGAGAAACTGACTTTCGCTAGAGATTAATTTTCGCGACCATCACATTTTCGCAAGTATATATCGACGCAAACTCCTCTGTACGTTGATCGTAGAATTGAAGAGATAAAATCGCGACAATTTCTCATCGTGAACTACATGTAGTGCAATTTTTGAAAACCTGGCCTAAACTAAAGTCGTAAGACGTTACAGTGTTGAATCTAACAATAATATTCGCGGGATCCGCGTCGACATCCCCTGAATATTCAGCAGCACACAAACTAGCCTTCGCATCCGAAGGCCACCACTAACGTCTATGCCTGTTCACAGCTCAGTGGTGAACGCGCTGAATCTGTACTACGTGATTATTCACGACGTCGTTGAGACCAGGGAGCCCTACACATACCCATATTATATGGGTATATATGGGTATATAATGGGTATGTGTAGGGCTCCCTGGATGAGACCCCGTTTGCTGTCAACGAGGGGCAGAGGAAGAAAAAGGGGGGTTTCGGTACCAAAGCACCCCCCCCCCCCCCCCCCACACACACACATCAAAATCCTGGTTTGAAGACAATCTTGGTATAGACGTCTGCAAAGTAATTCATAAAATTAAGCTGGGCATTGCTCCTCTTCATGCTCTCTCCTGCCTAAGCTGGTTTGCTCAATCTCAAGACATGCGCACCAGAAACTCTCTCCGCTTCACTATTTCGCGGTCTGCCTCTATGATAACATCTCCTCTTGCTTACCGCCATTGGTCTCTCCTCCCACAACATCTAAAATCCTGCCAATGTTACAATACATTCACACAGCTACTGCAGAATGCAACATACTAGTTGATATCCAGCCCTGCCCTAGCTTCTCTTGCTTTTCAGTTCCCCTTTCATTCTTTTTCTTTCTCCCCTCTAGCTCTATTACCGCCATGGCTGGCTATCGCCCACATCACCATTTCATTGGCTAGTGCCACGTGATTGTGAATAAATAAATAAATAAATAAATAAATTCCACGCAGTGTAGGTATTCAGTTATTTAGTCATTAGACTTACAAGTACGTGGATTTTTTCAAATCTGAAGCCAAACTACTGTGCCTGCCTGCGTTTGTGCAGTATTAGGACATGCTTCGTGTGAGGAACACATCAAGCAAAGACGTTCGCATGGGCTCGTAACCCTTGGCGGATTTTCTGCTCGATATTCGCAGAGCCACACAAACCGTATCAATATGTCAAGCACTTCCTTGAATTCTGCTCCATTTCTTTATCCATATACCAAACATGCATGAAACATACTTCGAAGCAGAAAAAGGTACCAAACTCTGCCAGTGTTCATGCCAACACTATCCGCCAATTGCTCTCGGGCCATCACTGCGCCCATGTAAGTATCTTAGTGTCGAATGCCGCAGACCTCGCAAGTGAGTCAGGGCCGAGGGGGCCGGGGATAAGTCTCTCAACACAACGGGCGTGTAACAGACCCACAACCCCATTGCCCTTATCTTGGACAACACAAATAATTAAAACCTGTCTCACGCAGCAACTGGCTTCGCTGTGTTTTGCAGTTCTGTCTGCTCAGTGTTTGCGTTGGCGGTTATCGAAAAGAAAAGAATTTTTTTTGATTGATTGATTTTTATTTCACGGATCCTCCAGAGGCAAATAGATGCCTATCGAAGGGAGTCTCCTAAGTAAGTATGGAAAATGAGAAAGTAAGAAGCTTCGCTCATCATGACTGTGTTGCAACTAATTACTTACTGCATACTCAGTATGCAGTATTGCACGTACCTTCTCAGTAGCTGAGGAGTAAAGGTTGAAGTGCAGCTCGCTAGTCTTCGGGGCAGGTAGTAAGTCTGATCAACAATACCTTTGCTGCACTATCCACGAAGATGAAGAGACAAAAATTAATAGTCGAGAAGTCTGACTTTGAGTGCGATAGTTCCGACAGAAGCATACAGGATTTAGCTCAACACTCCTCACTAGTCACTGTTCGTCTTACCTGACGATGACCAAGTGCCGAAACGTTGTAAAAATTACGGAACTGGTTCGGATGTGCAGCGCTATGGGAATGTGTGTGTCCACCCGAATTCCTTTCGCTCCTCACCAGCTGGATGTTTACCATTCAAGGGAGATTTTCAATGTCAGCTGTGGTGGATGCTTCTGCTTACTTTGCCATCATTGCCCCTAGATCTACAGGCTACACATGGCGGATCAGCGAAAAACCCTTTACTGGCTTTAGCATCTAATCTGTATCCGGCACCACTTCAATCAGGATGAACGTCATTCGAACAGCCGTTATGATTACGCTGACCCTTTGGACTCAGCCTTATTGTACATACCGGGAAGTGATTCACCGCGAACATGTCGATAATTTGAACTCAGCCGAGGAACTACAATCATGTAGATCTACATGCAGTAGCGAGGTGCGCAACCGGACCCTGCATGGTCCACAACCACTACAAAGGTCGAAAAGTACAGTCGTAGATCCACATAATGTAGGTCTACACGGTTGTTTCAGGCTTGCGGACTTGCAGTTGCAGCAATAACAAGAGTGGCCCTTTCCCAAAGATGCTCGCCACTTTCTTTCGCAACTTTTGGTTGTTTTGGAAGAAAACGCAACTTTCGCAACTAACTAACGTGTTACTTACTTTCTTCATTTTCGCGAACTACTTCGCAACTTTTTCGCAACCTCGGCCCCATAGGCCCATAGCATGGGGTCAAAAGGTCAAATCACAGAATCATGTCGGCCTAATAATGCATACTCTCGTTCGAATTGTCACTCTTTGACTTTTCGAGGAGTTTCGTTTTTCTAAAGAGGTGGCGTATTAATACGTTATATTGGCCTCTTCAGAAAACGAAAGGCTCCTCGAAACTCCAGAACGTCACCGGATGGGAGAGCGGTGGATTAGCTCCGCAGGTTTTTCTATTCATCTTTCCGGATCATGGATGGAAGTTAGTTCTTTGACAGCTGGGAGCTCATAGTTACTACAGTGCTGGCAACTGAAATCCGACCCCCTAGCGTCTCGTAAGAATCGCTAACGCGGCTAGCGCACCGCTCGTCAGGCGAAATTACTGGTCAGTCGGCGACACGCATTTTTCACAAAAAATTGCGTTTCACCTGCTGGGAGAGTATGCGTGTACTCGAGTCTCATCCTGAGCACGTTTTTTTCTTCTTTTTTTCAGCTCCAGTATAGCTGTATTTTTCATTGCAAAGCCGTCCTCGATTGCTGTGTTCGTTGTTCAAACGAAGTGGACATTCAATCATGAAGGCAGAGGACATAGGAGCCTGATTGGAGTTTCTCGTGGCATAGGACGGCCACACGGAGACACTTTGGGATTTTCTGAATATAAAATACCGCACGCATGATGCTGAGATCAATTTGTGCGATATCAAAATTGTTTGTGATCTACCACATCGAGCAGAACGGGATCCAAACACAAGCTTACCGACGGTTAGGCTGCCGACCTGACTGGACAAATGATCCCTGGCTTCACCAGACGCCAGAAGTCGGACAGCATTTCCTTTGCCGCGACGTCCATCTCCAAAAAGAACTCCATCTTCGTCGTGAAAAGGCTTGAAATACTCAATATTCAACCGAGATTCGCGGTCTCACCCTTTCTCAGATCGAATCATTTTTTGTTGTAGCAGTTGCAGGGCAGATCCCTGCCACTACTTCAACAGAAGATGGCTCCAAAGCATGCCTGGAACAAGCCATATTGAGGTTGCAAGCCACCCCTCTCAGCAAAAAAATCGAAGAAATTCGAAATTTCAATGGTGGAAGATATACTATGAAGAGAATTTCAAAAAGTATGTTTCGCGGAGCGATCGCTCAACCTACGTCATTCAAACTTTGCAGGATGGTTCAGACGTACATGCTAGGCATGGAACCACAGAAGATGACACACAGAGTCACACACACAGCAGATTCGTGTGCACAGATACTAAATTAGTGGACGTTGTCATCTTCTTCCCGCTGATCTCAAAATAAGTACTATAGATTATTATTATTTTTATTATTTATACAACACCTCCTGTATGAGGAAATTTGAGGCCACATGCCTCGTATCGCACTGCTCTTTTCTCTCCGCAACTCAACACTTGCAAGCCAGAACATCTCCTGACTCGCCATAAGAATTTTTTTTACCTGAACACAAGACCAAAAAATGAAAAGAATTGTATCTGTAAAGAGGTTTTTTATAACAATATACCCAAGCCTCTTATACGGGCAAAATATTCACAAGCGCAACCTCCACATGTAGAAAATGAGATAAGACTACCAATAGTGAGAATGAGATGAAGGCCCAAGCCAAGTTGGTAACCTAGGATGCACAGGCTAATACTGCACAAGCCTTGAATTCAGGACTCAGACACTGCACAAGTGTGTTCTATGTACAGCACGACGTAGAGAAACTTGTCGGAAACCAGGAAGAGCAGTAGTAGTAGTATGCGGGGTGCAGGCTGTACACTTGTGAAGGAAAGAAAATGGTTAATGCCTTGACGGCATGTTGTGGATGCATACTCTTGAGACCGGAAGGTTATTGTATGGGGACAACGAATGTAATGAGCGCAGCTATAACGAAAGCAACTAATACGCAATACAACCTGAACCACACTATGGAGTGCTAGTACATACAATCAATGTAGAATGGATATGAACTGATGGCTGGGATAGTGAAATGAGCTACCACCAAGACTGGTAGTTGCCTGGGATACACTTGAAATGGCAATACTTTGAAGTATGTACAATTATATTTACCCGCAAAACGTTACCCATCCTATGCGCTGGCTTCCAAGCATTTCAACCCTAAGTTAGTGGATGCAAGATCCCATGTCAAATGCATGGCTTAGGACCACCTGCCCCCGTGGTGTGCCACAATTGTTCTCAGTAACCACACGTGAACGCATGGTCACACGCACACATTCATGTGCACACACACACACACACACACGTACACACACGTACACACACACACACGTACAGACACACATACACGTACGAAAAAGAATACCAGTAAACGGTCAGAACTACAGAGTATGGCAGGGCGGAGGATGAGGATGGTAGACGCACAATGACAAATCCTTTATGAGGATTGTGACGGGTGGGTTGAAGTCGACAGCTCACTCAGCATGGACATGTCTGTCGGCATTCTGCGCAGCGGGTGCTGAGGCACATTCCAAGATTTCTGCGTCTTGAACTTCTCATGCAATACAACTCCGAGCACAACGACGGCCATTATGCCAAAGATCAGTCCTATCCCGATCGCTACTCCGGCTCCAATGTGCAAGCCCCGGGTCTTGTCTGACTGAGCCATCACAGCTACAGTGGAGAACACGACAACATCAAAGAATACAATGCTTTCGAATCATTCCTCAAAACATCTTCTAAATGATGATGAATTATTAGTACTAGTATTACCCAATGCTGTAGACAGCAAGCTGTTTCTGCCATAAAGGCCTTATTAGTGCAGCTACGAGCTTTAAATTGGCCGAGCTATCAGCCATGGTGCAACGGAGGCACCACGGACATTAAGATAGCGCGTCGCTCTAGCGCCAGAGATTATATTATTATCAGCCTTTTTTGCGTTGACATCACCAAGCAAGCTTGGCTTGTCTTCTCTTAGGCTTCATCATCTTCGCTGATAATGAATTTGGTAACAATAAAGTTGGGCCGCTTGTGTTGATTATTTTAGATTCAAAGATTGAGTGAGAGTAGTGTGAGTTGCCATCAAAACTGAAGCATCTCTGGATGGGAAGATCAGATAATATCCAATCTTATTTAGTGTCATAAAAAGTTTAAAAAAATGACCAAGGAACTACAAGTTACGCTATAATGTCCACTAACACCACCTTGGTCCTTTTTACTTTTTATAACTAATCCTTCGCTCTCCATCCGAGTTCATCATTTAGTGTCCTTTTTATTTTGTTTCGGTTCTTGTTTTTTTACACGTGCATGGATTTGAAAGCACGTCGTTTGGGGCGGTGAGAGGTACAGGTTACTTACACTGAACGTCTCTGTGCCTGTTTCATATATTTGTTGTATTCTGATGAGGGCCTAAAGGCCCTCTTCAGACTAGGTACAAAACAGCCTATAAGTCACATTTACATAGAAGTTTCCAAGACAACAACAAGAATCTGGCGGGAAGCCCCAAAAGCTGCCCAATCCTTTCAGGCAGGGTGCCAACCCTTGTACAAGGCAACTTTCCTGCATTTATCGTACTTTCGCCAGGCAGTTGTACGAACTTTGTACCCGGGTTCGACTGTCCGCTGCTTTCACACATCCCAGGCCCCTTGCGCAATTTCGTAGGGTCAAAGGTTGCCTGTATATTGCATGTAAAATGTGTAGTCTGAATGCAGGCATGGAAAAATGTCGCCTTTTAGGTTTTATGTGATTTTGTACTGGATTTTCTATGTACGTAGTCTGATGAGGGCCTTAGGTCCATTTTGAGCATGTTCAGTTACCTGTACCATGAGATGCCTGTAATCCAGCAGATCACTGACGGTGAAACGCGGACCACAGTCGAAAATCTTCATCTATCACACATTTATGGGTGTTTGAGTAAGTGTATTTACATTAAATTCATTATATGGAAAACTCAACGTTCAAATGCCTTTTTCTCAACTTTGCCAAAGCTACACACAATGTAAGCCCCATGTCCGGATTTGGAGGTTCAGTTGTTGCTGTACCTGGTAGCATGTGAAACAGCCAATAGAATTGAGGAGGGGGTGAGACTGACTAACAGCTATGCCAAAATTGCAGCTTTCTGTGCAATACCTCTTCTGCTCTCAAAGTAAAGGGAGTTTGCACCCTACATGCAAACCGCTCAGTATGCATGTGATGCTAGGATCAGTAAGCAACCTGACAGCATTGCTACGGAACTACGGCCATTCCGCTTCCCGGGACGCAGGAACACAGCAGCTAACCTGGAGTGGCGGGTGCGGCGCTTGTAGGCTCCGACATATTCATCATGGTGGAGACTGTTATGGCGGCGGCTGCTCCCTGTCCAGCGCGATTGACGGCCGACAAGCTGAACGAGTAGGTTGTCCCCTCGGCAAGATCTCCGACTTCTAGCTGGCCAACAAGGCCATCGACCTTCATCAATTGCCTGCCGCTGCCAGAGGGTGTTATCGTCATGTATGTCAAAATGTACTCAATCACAGTGCCTGAACAGTGGCAGTAAAAACAAAATAGAAAAAAAAAACGATGCTTTAATTAAATTAAATGTGAAGAGAATGCTTCGGGGGAAAACAGTATAACTTATCCGGTGTGAAGTGCAAACATATTTTTACACAGTAGTTGGAACACAACTTTGATGCATATCGTTCTCAGACTTTTGAGCTGCTCAAACTCTCCCTGGTTGTCCATAAACGTTAGAACTAGACACTCTCACCTCTAGGCAGTGCAGGAGGGTTCCAGCTCAGCCGGATGCTGGTGATGTTCTCGCTCTCGGTCCTAAAGTTCAGCGGTTCCGAAGGCGCTGCAAACAGTGAGAGCAGGACGGAAGACGTGAGAAAGATGATTTCCGTGAGTGGATGGGTTTCAAGGCAAATCTTCACACTAACTAGTCATGCAGACATTTGTCATCCCTGTCATCGTGCAAATGTGAATGAACGTTCTCACCAGATACATTGTATGGTTTGGCAGAGCTCAGCTTGCAAGACAAGGAAATCCACGACAGGTGAAGAACAATGGTGATACGCCAGAGGCCAGAAGTCCCAAAACACTTTTAACACATCATAGCTCAGTGGTGAAAGCATCGCTGGCCTCAAGCAAAGGTCCCTAGTTCGAGTTCTGGCGGTGACAGTCAATTTTTCTGTAGAATTTTCCCGTTTGCATCGTTCCCTGAAACCAATCAACATAGAATACTGCTTGAAACTTGCTTTCCAGAGAACAAAGAGGTGACAGCAGACAATGCCCCTATTGACTCAGCTCTCACAGGAACTATCACTTACGTGCTTCGTGAGTGTACACGTTTACTGCCGACGGAAATCCGCCACGCAGCTGGCTGTTGGCTGCAACGGCTATGTCATACTGTGTGTTGGGGCGCAGTCCAGAGAGCACTACACGCTGTGGACTAGCTTGATCTAGCAGAACAGCAGAAGAGGGTGTTGGAAGTTTAAAAGCATGTGCAGTACCCAGCACTATTGTTGTTAGTTGCATTCACACCTTTGCTGCCTTGAGTGCTATAGTGCTACGGTTGCAGTTGCACTCCTAACATTCACATTTGCTGTTGTGTTCTCTCAACCTGTCACAGATGCGTGGCACCGGCGTTGGAGGTGGTCCGGGGCTGAATTTTGGAAATTAGCGTGCAAAATCCTGCGTTCTGGGCACTTCTGGGCGAAAAAGTGGTCCTTCCAAAGCCGGTCCGGGCGGACCGGCTGCTACGCCCCTGTGTCATGGCTACACCAAAGGACTATACATACATAGGTTTGGCTTGTGTTTGCATGAACACATTTTCTACACTGGAGTTCTAGTAGCCTGAGATCATGCACAGCATGCGCTGTGAGAACAAGGATGTTGCGTGTCAAATCAGCCAGGTCTTCAGTGCTCCCAACCGCAATGGAACCTCAGCAAGCTGGAATCTACTCCTTGACAGTGCCGGGCTGTTCTGAAGCACATTTTAGTATGATACTACTTTGGAAGAATGTGTGGAAAATCCAGATATGTCTGTGGAAAGGTTTTGTTAAAGAGGGTGGGCTAAATTTGAAACTACCGAAGCACTCACAATAACTGAGTGGCTGGGAATGGATTAATGGGAGGTATTACCAACTGACCGTGAAAATTGAAAATTAAACATTGCGCGTGAAGGATTTGCAGCCAAGTTCTGTTCGTCAACTTTTCGTAGATCTGTCATCCTCAAGTCAGACTCAATTGATTATTGAGTTGATGGCTAATGGACAACACAGGGAACTCACCGTCTTCATCTACAGATGGTGTCACGGATCCCGATAATGAACACTCGCCCTGACATGGACATTGACGTGGCTGCTTGCATGCTGGTGCAGAATATAAAATAACATAGTCCAAGCGAGGGCGTCCGAGAGGCTGCAATGTTCAACAAAAGCACCCAAGGAATCCATTTTGAAGGCTGTAAAACTATCCCACCCTATACACATTCACAGGCTCGAGGGAACGGTAGAGGGAGAAGTATACACTGACTCTCACCACGAGGATTTGAACCGGGTACTTTCGGTAAATGCAAGCCATACAATAACCAGCGTTTGGAGGTAATGTTTACTTTGCACCACAGTGCAGCGTTTCTCAACACCAGTGTAAAGCTGGTTGTTACGTGCACCTGAAAACTTTAATTTACTTTACGATGGCCCAATTCCTTTGAGCAGCCTTGGATCAGATAACCCCGGAAGAACTTCACTTCGTGCAGCTGGAGTGATGTTTAGCTATTGCTGTACAAACAGTGAACATCAAGGACATTGATTATGCTTTTTAACACACACTATGTGAAAACCATGAGAACGGTGCAGGACCAGAACAGGCAGCCAGTACATTTATTTGAATACACCAAACGCACTGGCTTGCCATAAGGTCTCTGCACACATACTATAATATTATTACAATGTACCAATATTATATTGCTTGCAGAACCTTACCTGGAACACAACAATAGCTTGGGTAGAGGATGAAGCCGTAGCGTTCATGTTCACTCTAGGTGGCCGATCTATATTCAATCACCACAGCACAAACACCAGAAACACGGGCATTAAAATACCTGCATTTTCCTGGTATACCAGTTACATAAAAGTGCAAAACTGCATTTCTATTCATTACCTAATTTGGGCTGTCCTTTGCTTTGGCTCTTGCCTCATGGCTTCATGCTTTGTCAATAAACCTGTTCTCCACACAATGGCCAGCAGACTTATCGCAGAAATCCCCCGTAAAGATTGGAGTGACGCATAGAACAATCAGTGCCCTTAGATAACTCTGCTACAAAAACCACAGTTAAGGCCATGTTTAAAATTATCTTTGATTCTCAAGTACGCGCGCACCGATTTTTGGCGGCACACCGACGATTTTTTTATTTCTATGCATTCATATGCGCACATGAAAACGGTCAATGCGAAAGGCATGAATCAGGGAGTAGCAAAATACTGGTATTTTTCTACTCCCTGGCCTGAATAATAAAATAACCTGTGACGTACATATGTGTGACCCTATCTTTGGAAATAAAAAATTGTGGGAAATAAAATAAAAAATCGCTCGCTATTGCACCGATTTTCACAAGCTCGTGACCTGAGAATCAACTTTATTTTTTACCATGGCCTTAAGTCAATTTACAGTGATACAGAAAGAGAAAGGGACCTACTGTAAAAGCAGGAATTTTCAGTGGTGTAATATTTTTGGTATTTCCCAAAAATCAACAGTTCGGTGGCGCGAAAATTTCGAGAAGCCAGTTTTCCGTACTGCAGTCGGCATGCTTGTACATATTTTTTCGGTGCGTTTTATTTTCGGTAAAGATTACCTGTACTGAAGTTACCGAATATAAAACACCACCGAAAACTTCTGCTTTTACAGTATAAGTTAGTACTTTAATATACAGTAAAACCTGGTTTAAGTGACCACCCCACGGTGCAAGCAAAAGCGGTCGTTAAAGCCAGGTGGTCTTTAGAACCAGGTCCCACAGAGTCTATGTAGAACTGGCTGTGCATGGAAAAACGTTAAGAGCAGGTGGTCGCTAAACCCAGAGGTCGCTTACACCAAGTTGTACTGTAGGTTCTTTTCTCTTTCCATGAAGTGATATAAAAACGTTAATAAATGCACAGAGCCATAACATACCTGACCCTGGATGGTAAACAGTCTTTTAACACTCACTGGGGGAAACTCACCAAACTGAGATGGCAGCAGTGAAGAGCTGGTGGAACCAAAGAAATCCTGGGCACCGCATGTGTACCGAGCAGCTTCTTTGGGCGAAAAAGCCGGGAGACGGTAGTCCAGTGAACGTGTGTATCCTAAGCTGAGTCGCTCGCTGCCTCTCCACCAGGACATTATTACGGGACTCTCACCGAGAACCGTACAACTAAGCCGTAACGGCGACAAGCCTTCTATATACCACCAGGGTTCTGGCAGCCACGGGGGCTGCGCAAGCTGGGCACGTGTTTCCATACGCTCGGGACCTCGAAAATATTCTGTCAAGCCACAGTCAAACAACAACAAAACGAATCAAAAATTTCCAAAAATTGTCTCATTTTATTCCGGTGGCAATAGCGCACTCAAGGAAGTCAGAAATGGAAAATTTCTTCGGAAAACAAGTGCTGTCACGACGAGCACTCGATCTTGAACCACCGGCCTGTGCTGTTGATCAACAATGCTCCATCACTTACTAAGACCTAGCTAGGGTGTTATCTTGTACTTCTTTGAAGTAGAATGGTACTTTGTAAGTTTTATGACGTATATCTTTGCAATGGAAGCTCTAAGAACTCAGATGCATGGTGAGCCGAGGAAAAATTATAACATGGAAAAAAACGATCGCATAACTTATGCCCACATGTTTCCATGTTACACTGGAAACTCTGTGTTCAGTATTCAAAAAATTAATATACTTTTAAAAAAGTTGTATTCCTATCACATCAGCTGTGTTCAAAGTACATTTTCACAAATTTTCATAATAACACCAGCTCATTACGATTATACTACTTGGCAATCTGAAACGCAGAAGCGGAACAAGGTGTCACTTGTGCTGCACAAAAAATTGATCTGTGCTACGCACACGTGTATAATAATAATGAATAAATAGATGAATAAACTCTCTGCCGAGCAACTGATAACCATGAAGTTCATGATTGGGGACTCTCCCAGGCCAGAATAATCTAGACTACACCTGTTTGCGGCCATCAATGAACACGTACAGTACTTATTGGGGTAGGCTTCCAGGAGAGTAGCTCGCACATCTATGGTCTGGTGACTACGGGCCAGAGCACACCTACAGTGCAGCGACCATGTACCACCCGCAACCTAGTAATCTGAGCTGCCAGTTTGCCCACCATGACTACGTAGTAGCCATGTTGACCATTTCGTGGCGTGTTGTCAGGGACTACGCTGACTACACATGAGTTAGACGCCTGGGTTTCTGTGTCCTGTAGACATGGAAGGGCGCATTATTTTCTTCCAATACCTGCCCAGATCTCTGCTATGTCTCCAGGACAAAATATAATTATAGATACATTAAACATTTAAACTTCACTTCTCAACTCCAAAAAAAAAAACAATTAGAAAAGATACATTGTAGATATAGATATAGATTTTTGTAGTTTGAGCACTCTGGCGCTAGAGCAACGAGCTATCTTAATGTCTGTGGTGCCTCCTTTGCACCATGGCTGGTAGCTCGGCCAATTTAGCTCGTAGCTGTACTCATAAGGCTTTTATGGCCGAAACAGATTGCTGTCGACAGCAGTGGGCAATTATAGATACATGTATGTGCAAGTACATGCTCTGAACGTTTGTGTATGGAACACTGAACTGGAGCTGCCTCGACCGGACCTGGTTGTAAATACATGCAATATTGCTATTGCCGTAGTATTGTATATTCAAGGCTCGAACAGAGAGCCAAGGATTAAATTTAAAAAGAAAGAATCAAAGTCACCTTCTGACTACACGACATCTTGCTTACAACTGTTAATGTTAATGTTAATGTTAATGTTAATGTTGGACACAAACAACAGATAGCATGTAACATCTAGCATACTTACGTATAATTTTCACCTTAAACATCAGCCGGTGTTGGGTCACTCCGCACGTGAAAATGCCGTGCGAACCTTCCAGTGTGTAGCGTGTGCTCCAATCAAACCTGGACTCATAGATGCGATCGGCACCCTCCTCCCAACTCCTCTGGGTAGTTTTGAACTCGGACGGGTCCAGCGCTTGGCCATCTTGAAGCCAGAACGGATAGTTCTGGTTGAATACACCGTCAGTTGTGAACTGGGCTTTTCTTGCGCGGATGGTACATATTGCTTGGCTAATGTGATTGTCGTTTGCTGTATTATGCCACAGCACAAACACTCGGCCCGGCCGTGTTTTTCGGTGCAAGGGGAATTTGTCACTGCTCGTTATGAGGATAGAGTATCCACCTAGGAGGTATCAGATTGTTCCACCACAACCGCACAATCGTGCACCCACATGAGCATACACATGTACGCACCCACATATGCACTCACACGCATGCACACCTTCCCGCACATGCACACACAAACACGCACACACAAACACACACACGCACACATGATAGCTACAGTTAAGCAATTCTTTAAAAAAACTTAAAATAACACTCCATCCAAGTAGAATATTTTCAGCTGTGTAATATCAATCCCAGGGGCTGCCCCCCCCCCCCCCCTCCCCCCCCCCCCCTTGAAATACTGTTGAGCCAAGGCAAGCAAAGAAACTCTCTCTCCCTCTCCAACTCTTCTGGAACCAGCTCCCAAGGGTCGGCACACAAGGCACAGGTAGGGTCGATCATTCCCCCTTGCCCAATTTCAGTGTAATTGTAGCATGCATCTCTAACCTCACTGCCACAATGCTATTTTACACAACTGATCACAGTAATTTGACTACTTTGCAATAGAATCCTGAATTCCGCCATGGAATGCTTTAGCCGGATGAAATCTAGTTGGATCAGCCTGTGAATGAACGGGCATGTATGTGCTCAGACTAAAACGAGTAAGGAGCACTGTTGACTTTGTATGATGTTGTAACCTGGGATACATGTAAGCATTACTCCTATACGTGACACCTTTCTAAGACGACCGCTCAAGGGACTTTCAAAACGTGGTCTCTGTTACCAGGTGGTCTCTGCTACCAGGTGGTCTCCTTATCCAGGGTCAATTGACTGCAAACAGCACCCGTCGGTCCTGGTTCCTGTGGTCGTCTTCCAGGACTACTTGGTTCACCGTTCATTCCTTTCCAAAATAGCCTTCTGCACAACCTTTGACCCACTCAGCAATCCCTTAAATGAACCGGGAATCTGGGGTGTGAAGAGTTCCTGAGCCATGCTTGCCGTCCTTTGAATACAGGGTGAAATAATTTTCAGATTGCTCGTCCAGAGAGCCATCCACAAAGTCGCGTGCAACTTCGTAGATACCATTAAGCCTGAGATGTTCTTCGCTGGTGAGCACTCCATCCTGCATGCAGACACCCATCTCCATGACGAAAGCATCTTCGGCTTTGTCCCACTTCTGATAAGAGACGAGGAGCTTCTGCAACACATTTCGCTGAGTGTGCGCAAACTTCACAACACAGCCCAGTGCACATCCAACAGTCATTGAGATCAGGGAGAGAATGCCGACGATGCGTCTGTCAACGTCTGCAAGAACAGTTGTCTGACTTGCACTGAGAGCTACCTGAATGACGAGCAATGTGCTGACGATCAGGTTAACACGTGCAAGCTGCTTCTCAACAGTGTCGCTTTTGTTTTTCATAGCTGCTTTTCGGCGCTTGATTTTTCGCAGCATCAACCTAAGGTGCTCCAGATGAGGCTCATCGTAATCTTCATTGTCGTCCTCACGGCACACGCTACTTGCAGTGTCGATGCTAATAGAGGTGTAGTGTTCAGTATCCATATTGATCTCTTCTTCTTCTTCTTCTTTCTTCTTCTTCTTTCTTCTTCTTCTTCTTCTTCTTCTTCTTCTTCTTCTTCTTCTTCTTCTTCTTCTTCTTCTTCTTCTTCTTCCACCAGGTCCCTTACTAGGGAGAGGAAATATTTTCGATGCGCAGGTCCAGATAGATGGGATATCCTGCGGTGATGAGCTCGCCAGTGTTGAATTTCAACCAGAAGGTCATCTGACGCACGCTTTCGTTTCCAAGCAAGATGCGCTTGTCATCCTTGGAAAACACATAGTTATTTACACCGTTCAGGGTTTGTACGAGAAATGTTTTCAACACCCTGGAATCCACGTTGTCTTCATATTGGATGGAGGGGGCGATCAGGTCTGTGTACAGCAGAACCATTCGACGACCAACGGTGAGGTCCACAGCGTGCGAGAAGGTCTGCACACCTCTAATAGCATAGCGCATCTGAACTTCGCCAGCACCCAGCACGACTCCTGGAGAGTCATTTTTAAAGACACAAGTCTTGCCTGTTGGTACTGATGCTGTAATTCTGCTGCTCAGTCGTGAATAGGAAAAAGACACATCGCCATGACCATGCATAGCAAGCGATGCGTTGATGCTGAGGACAATGTCTTCTGCATCTGTATAGGTTCCTGTTGAGATGGACACACGATCCTCCACTCCACTGGCGTTGTCCGTGATGTACAGTTTGTTCGTGCGCTCACTCACGTTCTCATGATGCAGTTCAAACTGTGCGGATTCCAAGTGAATGGTTTTACCTCGAGTATCGAATTCTTTTATGTTTAGGGTAAAATTAGCGGTATATCTCCCACTGCTCACAGCAGAGACTGCGTTGGTGGAAGTGAGAATCACAGACATCCTTGGTTTATAGATGAAAAAATTTCACCTCTGAAGTAGGAAAAAACAAGCGTCCATAGATCATGGCATTCTGGACATCAACTTCCCATAAAAGCGACGCAGAGCTTAGTTCGCAGAGGGCGGCTCGCGAGGTTCAAGACGACGTGACACAACTGAAAGTGCTGCTTGGTAATAAGAGTACGGAAAACACTATAGTGCATGACGTGCAGTCTTTGAAGGCAGTCAAATTCAACAGGACCGAAGGCATAGAGCTGCAAAAGCAACTGATAAAAGTTCGCAAGAGTAAGGGACCTCGAGGTCAAAGAGGTACAGGATGGCTCGGAGGCGGAAGGGAGCCGTCCATAGCAGAAGGTGGCCTGGGAGACTTCTACATCAACACAGGCAACGGTCTGGTGTACAAAAAGGAGTCCGAAGGATGGGTGGTGATAACAACAGCAAGAGGACCCAGAGGATTGCAGGGTCAACGAGGAGCGCAGGGACTAGTGGGAGAGCGAGGAGAAAGAGGAAGACGGGGTCGTGTGGGTGAGCCAGGTGTACGTGCCATGGTTCACACTGTCAGCGGAACACTCCCGGAGGCTCAAGCAAACACAGAACTGGTGCTCACTGAATTCCCATTTGGAAAAAATGTGGATGCCGGTACCATTGTGCCGCTTGGGTTATACATTCTAGTTGGATGCTGTGTGTGTGTGTGTGTGTGTTTGTGTATCTGCTGGACTGTGATGTACTATATGGCGGAAGAAGATGGCTGAAGCACGAGACAGCGGACTGGATTCGGGAAATGATGATGCCGTCATCCCAGTGATCATCAGCAGCGATGAGGAGGACGAGGAGCTGCAGGAGGAGCTGCAGGAGCAGCAAGGGCCTGTAAACCAACACCAAGAACTAATCGGATATGACGAGGTGGTCGTCATCAGCAGGGAGCGCGTTGAAGGAAGGTGGGTCAACGTTGTTACAATCACCACTAAAACATTTAGGTACGCCAATGGCGAAGAGTTGACCAATGTGCACGTATTTACGAACGTGGACGGTATGCAGTTCTAGTAGGGAGACTGTTCTCGGAGCTGGGTACTATTGAAGGTACTGTGCGAGTACTTGCACGCCACTTCACTGACAATACGCTGCACAACGATCGCGTGATCCTGGACATTGACAGTACTACTAGTGATGATGATGATGATTCAATCACAAACGACACCGCAGGTGGTGGTGGGACTGGGAGTGACAGCGGTGCAACTGCTGCTGCTGCTGCTGCTGCTGCTGCTGCTGCTGCTGCTACCCCAGACACTGACAGCGCCGGTGTCAGTGCCAGCGAGGATCATGATGATGATGATGATGATGATTTTTTTTTTTTTTGATGATGATGATGAAGCCACTTCTTTGGGCAAACAAAACACAATTTCCCAAGATGAAGGAGTGGAACCCTACACAAATAATAGTTTAAATGAATCCAACGCAAAGATCGTTTTTCCATGAAATACAACAATTGAACACAATTACATGCTTAAAGGCATGAAAGCAACAAAACAGCAACAAAAGGGTAAGCGCCATACCAATCCCGCATGCACAGTCAGGACACAGCACGATACTTAACAAACTAGACCTGACTCGGCCACGGCAATCGAGACATCATGAAAACATCTCGCCGGATGGTGGTACCGTGACCGAGCCCCACGTATGCACAACACAGCAGCACGCAGCAAAGCAAAAGACAGCCGACAGCGGAGTAAACCAATGACCTGGGAATAGTGAGATCCCGATGACTCGGCCTGCATCTGGCACAGTCTCTTGAGGAACACATTGCACAGCCTCCCACAACCACCATGCACAGAGAACACGAGAGGTGTGATGATGATGATGATGATGATGATGATGATGATGATGATGATGATGATGATGATCTATTGATGACATCTTTTGTCTTTTCTTTGGGTTTTAAAAGGTTAACTTCATCCTCGTGTTCCTATTGCCTTGTATTGGAATTTGCCCATAAAAGTGGCTACGGTGTGATAATGCATTTCTATAAATTATTTCGTGTTTTAACATTATTTTCAGAAAATTGCTCTTACAATACCTTGCGTTTCATATTCATAATATTGTTGCCCGTAAAAGCGGCTTGGCCACATGATGATGATGATGATGATGATGATGATGATGAGAATGACGACGATGTGTGGATGGAGCGTTTAGCCAGTGAAATGCACAGACCAAGACGTGTACGCTTCCCCCGCAGGCGTGTGATAGTGCACGAGCTGGATGACATATGGAGTGCGGATCTGGTGGACATGCAGGCGTTTGCAAAAAATAACAATGGTGCTCGACATTTGCTGACCGTCATCGATCTTTTCAGTCGCTATGCATGGGTTGTACCGCTCCAGAACAAGACGGGTGCACTTGTCAGAGATGCGTTTCGCAGCATCGTGACCAGCAGCAAGCGCTCACCTCGCAAGCTGTGGGTCGACGAGGGTAAAGAGTTCTACAACGCAACAGTCAAGCAGTGGCTTGCTGACAACGACATTAGCATGTACAGCACTCATAACGACGGCAAGGCGGTGGTTGCAGAGCGATTCAACAGAACGCTCAAGTCGCGCATGTGGAAACACTTTACAGCAAAATCAACAAATGTCTACATCAAAGTGCTACCCAAACTTGTACATGACTACAACACCAGCAAGCAAGCACCGCAGTATCGGTATGACACCTGCCGAGGCGTCCGAGGAGCGTAATGCACCGTTTGTACAGGATCACCCCAGCAAAAGTCAAGATGCACGCACGGCGCGGCGACGCTATGCTGTGAACGATGAAGTGAGAATTGCTGTGAGCAAAGCTCATTTCGAAAAGGGCTACACACCCAATTGGACTGAAGAGGTGTTCGTCGTGTATAGAGTTCTACCCACCCAACCACCCACCTACAACATTCGAGATCTCATGAACGAGCCTATTCAGGGCAGTTTCTACGAACATCAACTGCAGAAAACCAAGCAAACCAAGTTCCGCGTGGAGAAAGTCCTCCGCAAACGCCACGGACAGTCTCTGGTCAAGTGGAAAGGCTACCCGGACAAGTTCAACTCCTGGGGGGAGTAGGCATTTCCCAAATCGGCCCAATTTTTTCGCCTAATAAATCGGCTTTCGATCAGCTAAGAAAATGTCCAAATTCGGCCATATTATGAGCCCCGAAGTCAGAATTCGGCCCAAAACGGTACGTGAAGTCACCTCTCCCAGTGTAGATGTACGTTTACACGCACGCTGCAGAGGCACTAGAACATCCATTTTCGGCAAATTCAGCGCGAAATTGGTAAATTCAATGCAATTCTCGGCGATTCCTTGACAGCCATTGAGTTCGACGTCTTCTCCTGCTGACCGTTTTCGGAAATGCCCTAAAGTCGCAGTTACCATTCATCAGAATGCGTACAGAAATTGCATTCGCATGCTGTTGAGGCCCTAAAACATAGATTTTCGGCCAATTTTTCGGCCAGCCGATTTGGGAAATGCCTATCCAGGACAGGTGGTCGCCTTATCCAAGTGGTCGCCTTATCCAAGTGGTCGCCTTATCCAAGTGGTCGCCTTATCCAAGTGGTCGCCTTATCCAAGTGGTCGCCTTATCCAAGTGGTCGCCTTATCCAAGTGGTCGCCTTATCCAGGTTTTACTATACATATGCTTGAAGTATGAAACTACTACAGGTCTTCGGTGGGTATAGGAGAGCACACACAGACTGTGATGAAGCTGTTTCCATTGGTATTGGCTTACATCACACGGTCACAGTGTGATGTGTGGCATTGTGCAGCACTATGATTTTGCCATCCACACCAGCGCTGGCAAGTATTACCTCCACCGGGGCGGCGGTGACTGCAGCTGGATGATCCCGGATCTGATACCGCTATCATTTTTCTGCACCTTGTCCTCGCCCGCTTTCTGAGGTGTGGTTAGCCCATGTTTGAGATCGTTTCCAAGTCCACCCAGAGTTTAGAGATGTCAGGGAGTGTCACCGTTGGGCGATTCAATAGCCAATTGAGTCATTTCACAAGATTGAGTCTAGCTATGTTTTGCCTAGCTAGAACCCTGCACATTCTATCAATCTATCTATCTATCTATCTGTCTGGATGGTCTGTCTGGATGTCTGTCTGGCTATCTCTCTTTCAGGCTACCGTTCGGGTCAAATTTCACCTTATAAGTACACAAGGATAGAACAGCCAACTAAAGAACTTATTGAATTAGTTTACCACTCATGTTGTGGAAATGATGTACTGACAGGGCCAGCAACAAGCTTTACACTCACCGACTTGCACTGGAGCATCCTGGCCAGCAGAGCCTCCAATCAGCGCAGCGATAGCCAGGATCATACATGTTGCCTGCAGCAAAAATAATCCAAAGGAAAGATGACCGATTAGGTGAACATGGTGAAGGAGAGTCTCGACAATATGAAGTGAAAGTTAATCACCAAACACAAGGAAGGATCTTCATTACCGGTTACTGTTGCCGTCAAACGATGTCTACTCTCCTTGCCATCGCAACTTGGTCGTACTTCATACCGTACCAACAACCAGCTCATTCTCTGCACGAAACACATTCACTTGAGCGCTACAAGTCATTTTCACAAGAAGGCGATATCTGGGCGGTCTTTGGTCTAGGCTGCTGGGTGTGGGAAAAAGTTGCCATGGTTTTGTCTGCTTCAAGTAGGAGTTCAGGTGCATCGTGGAGTCACTTGTACAGTCATATACATGTAATGCAAACTGACTGTTGTTCTCTTTTCTTTTTGACCGAAAGACCCTGTGCTACGGGTTCAGTGTGAACTGAGGCTCTGGTGTTATCCCTGTAGAAACATTGGAATAGATAGCGATGAGCATGCATATACTCCATGCAGTAGTGGGCCGAAGGCGAAGGACGACAACTGACTTGGATGCTTGCGCGATGGCCTACACTCAAGGCTACCGCCTACAGGTAGAAGTAGACTCTACCCGGTATACTGTCTTTCTTGTCACCGTCCATGTTTATCTATCACTTCCGGAATTCCACTCGGCCAGCTAGTCAACCAGCTAGCGACGTCGCGCCACGGCTGACATCCTAGGCCAGGTCCACCGGGACTACTACATGCTCAGTACAATCATACAGCCTACATGTCTACAGGTCTACTGTACTAGATCTACGCATGTCCTTCCTAGATCCTTGAAGTTGAAGCTAGCCGAGCTAACATGCTGAATCCGCACGGACGGAATCAGACGGATGGCGAAACTCTCGCGACCCGCTGCGCCGCGATACCAGCACACAGCCACCAATAACACACCTAGAATAATAATAATTACTGTCTGTTGAGTATTATTCAGACCAGGTAGGTACAACTCTAACACCATCGCTAAGACCAGCCAGCGAGGAACAGATCGAAGTTCACGCACAAGAAGTGAACTCCTGCTGTAACTCTCCCCACTGCTATCAGACGCCGATAGATAACAGCAGCAACGGAAACACTTTGTACTGGTTGACGAGAGCATCAAGCTATAGCCGAGGCAGCACGATATCCTAATGCAAGTAGGAGAAAAACAATGCACCTACCTTAGTCAATAATCTCTGTCCCAGCCTTTCCTCCATCTTTCTTGGCCTTGCGACGAACACGATGCCAAACGAAAGGTTAGCAACAAAAAGAGAACTAAATTGAACGAAAAAGGCAACAGGCCGCACTGCACCTTTGCTCGTCAATCCAACAGGTAATTTCCTAGGCTCACTTGATCGAAGCCTAGGCTAAGGTCTGTGAGGGGTAGATAGGCAACGACCGTGCCTGCTGCGGACTCTACCAGTCCATGGTCCCTTCTCCGAAACTACCCCCCCCCCCCCCCCCCACACACACACAGACACACACACCACACACAGAGAGACGCATACGCACTACACAACAGGAGGGAAGCAAATGACGCAGACCTCTCTGCGAGGTCATGCTCCAACACGAGCCGCAACTGTCAGTGTCCCGAAAGGTTTCACGGAACTACACGCTTTTTGACCCTTCCGTCAGACCTCTTGTCTCTCGCTCTCTCTATTCGCTTTTACGATAACCAAGCGATCGAGGAGAGCTAGCTACCGACCTTACGTTACGCCATGCATAGTAGAGCGGTGTGCTCCGCGTGGATGGATCTTGACTCTTGACCGAAGACAGTGCTCTCCGCTTGATTGAGTCCGAATCACAGAATGATTAGCCTGATTATGACAACGTCATTGTGTTGTTCTTGTAGAGATTGCGTTAGCTATAGTACAAGGGGAGTGCGCTCGGTTCGCAACGAAGCCGAGACCCTAGGCTATTTTCAGCAAAGCTGCCCAGTGCAGCGAAGCCCAGTTCACGTTCACTTTGTGCGGGAGTGGATGCGTGGAGGTGGAAGAAGCCCTAGAATGGCGCTCCACCTGCGGCTTGGGTGAAATGGAACAAGCTCCAAGCACTAGAGGATCTAGGAGACGAACCTGTCACATTTCGTATACTTTACAATGCGTTTTGATATTGGACCTGTTCACCACAATCTCGGGGTGAGCGCCAATGGCGAGCACGGAGCCTCGTCCTTGAAAAACGTCTATCATACTCGGGTGGTTGCTTTGGGTCAGTTGGTCTCACATAGTTGCATGCAGAATTAGAAGTCGACGGTTCAAACTCGCGTAAAAGGGCACGTTACCCGGCGGGCTTGCAGTCATGACATGAATATATATGCACATATTCGGGAATATAGTGGACTTTCGTATTAAAAAAAAATAAAAAAAATATCGACGTCATGCAGCATGTCCGGTCATCTATCATTCTAGGGAGTGGGGTAGATCTACCCCGTAACGTAAGGAAGGAGAGTAAAATATTTAGGGAGCCAGATCACATCCCCACCCCCATGTCCTGGTTCAATGGTTGCCTGAATGGCACTGGATTGGAGATCCTAGGGCTAGGGCGGGGAATGCAAACGAGACCAGTGAGAAAGCCTCCTTTTCTCCAGGGCTTTGAATAATACACTCGTTCATCAATGAGAGAAAGAGAGAGCGAGAATGCACGAAAGAAAGAGAAAGATAGTGTGTTGTACATTGAAGTCTAACAGGTGAGGGCTGTGACCTCTACAACAGGTGTTTCAGGTCAGGAATCATGGGCATGATTTAACAAGCATGCAATGCGTCTAGAATATTGCGCGGATGGAGAAGAATGCGCGGAAACTTTGCAATGATATAAAAGCAGATATAGAAGTAATTTTAAAACAAGCAAAGAAGGTAAGGTGGCTGCTTCAAACTTCAGAGCGCGCGCTTCCTGCCGACTGCCTTGAATTGATACTTTCATAGTCACTGTCGATGTGGCGAAATCTTAACATCTTACAACACCTTAGTTCGTAGAAACGCTATGAAAAGATTTTATAAAAATGAATCGTATGTATTGAACGGGTTCTTCCGACATCCACGTGACCACCCAACCTCATAGCAGTGACCAAGGTGCCGAAGAACAAACAGGCCTATGTACATGGCAACTCAACTGTACAGACAATGACACGACAAAAATTGGTGATTAAAAGGAACGGCTATGACTCCGAACCCCCAGTTATTCGGCACCAGACAGGACTGCAGTGCATGAGGGTTTGATGGCCCAGCCTACACGTATGAGCAAGTATAGAGACAGAGAGCCGCATAAAGATATCGTGTTAAAGATGTACTCAAAATGTTAAGCAAATCCACCAACACATCGTCCAATATGCGGCTCCTTGTTTGTTGCGAATCGAGATGATTGGGTAATTTTTCATCAGATAACCAGGTTATTTGAACTTATTTCCGCATGATGTGATCATGCGAAAAACATTACAACAGAGCCAAATTCCACGAGAAATGCTCTTCAAATATAAAGCAAAAGCTGGTACTATAGGGATTCAGCTGTGCCTGTGTATAATGTGTGCATGCCTCATTTCTTATTTCTTTGGCTTCGGTGTTGGACAACACGGCCTATTAGGTCCAGCAGTGCGCGTATACGCGTGCCCGGCGACACCAAGTCCCGCACGTTGACATCCTTCACCATTACACCGTCGCCATCGAGCATTGCGAGGGCCGTCTCCATGTTGGACAAGAGCTGCGCCTCGCCGAGCGGCGCCCACCGGCTAACGGAGTACTTCGTGTTTCCGTTGACCGTGTTAAGCACTATGCTGGGGAAGAACGTGGACATGTTAACGGCATAGCCGCCTTCCAGGGCCAGCGCAAACACCAGCATCGTCCCATCGTACAGGTCCGACAGCGACTTCAGTGACAGGCTGAGCTTGGCAAGCTGCTTGTTCACAAAACGGAGCGCCTCGGCAGCCTCTATGGACGGGATGAGAACGCCGGACGAGGTCATCATTTCGTAATCATCATCAACTGGCTTGACCGCTTCTGCTTTAGGTGTTGAATCCCGGTCACGCAGTGCGTCTGAGGTGTGAGCGCTGACACATTGCTTGCCGAACGCTTCGAACCAGGTGTCCAACAGCAGTGGCTGATACTGGAGAGTGGGTTTCTGCGGAGTAGCCGGCGCGCCGCGGCCGTCTTTCACTTCCTGGAGAATGAACACACTGATGTCGGCCTCAGTTAAGTGCACCGGTGTTTCGTACAGCACCAGCAAGGCAAGCAGCAGCTGTAGCGTGGCTTGGATGTCGCCGTCCAGTATGCGCTGCACTGTCCACATGCGTTTCAGCCTGTCCGCAGCCAGTTTCCTATAGCGAGCCGAGAGGTGGGCGTTAACTGCACCCAGGACCGCAGTAACCCTGGGCGAGTGTGCACTGCGGCCTCCGCGGACTGCCGATGCAGCAGAAACTGGCCCTGCGCTGATGCTGTGCGCACCACTGGGACGCGCATTACCAACACCCACTGGCCTGCAATGGCCATGTGCTTGTAATGTTCTCTGCACGTTCTGCCAGCCGTACTCCAGCAGATAACCATTACGAAACTCAATGCCGAACTCACAGCCGCCAGGACTCAGCTTCCCTGTATCGCTGTTGAGTAGGGCGGGCAGTTTCTGATAGACGCGTGCCACTAGATCCAGTAGATGTTGCGGACTGCGGCAGTTATCTCTTGCATAGCTGAGAAGAAGGTCGCGATCCCACTTCGTCACTGAAACGTCTGCTGACTGGCGTTCCCAAGCAGTGGAGGCGGCTTGTAGTGCTGCACATTCATCCGTGTCCTTCCCCTGACGGAGTAGACTTACTGATGATACTGGAGGAGCGGGCAGGCCAAAACGTCGCCTTGGTGCAGGGCTTTTACTAACATTTCCTGGCCTGGTTTGTGGACTGTTACCGCCAGGCACAGATGGCGGCGACCAGTAGTTTCTTTGCGCGGCCGGGATTTCTTCGTAAATCTCCTCATCTTCGTGCCCTGGCTCCGAAGGCAGCCGCCGACCCAGTGTCGACTTACTCATCGCGCCTGGCAGTACCGTGTCTTCCACTGCACCCGCTGATATGATAGTACTGTGTGTGCACTGCTGCTGTACTAAAACTACTACGGCAGCACGCCCGATTCCAAGGGATCGTCGACCTTTTCTCAGCGAAAACCAGTTTGGATAGACAGCGGACCGACAGAAAGTCCGGCTGGTACACCTGGCTCGCATGCGACTACGAATATAATGATCTGGCTTTGAAAATAATGTCTTCCAGTGCAAGCTAGGATCTTTGTGTTCGTCTGCTCTTGACTTCGAGTTTGAGTCCAACGAACAGTCTAGCATCCGTTCGTTGCGTAACGTGTATGAAGCCACGCTCACCCGCTGCTGGCTGTAGCCGTGGGGAACAATGGAAGTTACTTCAACAGTTCAAGCGCAAGGAGCGTGGCCGATACTTCCAGCGGATGCCTGCTTCGTCCACATGCACGGCTAGGATCGGTGGACACTTGCGAACCGTGCATTCCCTTTCGAGCTTTTCAACTGCGGCATGTTTTCTACGTTTTGCAGCATAGCGTATCACCAAGATAGGCGTAGATGCTTGGAAAATTGGCGCTTTGGTCAGACAGTTTTACTTGAAGCGAAGTAGGCGTGCCTTTTCTTTGTAGATGGCCTCGCCAGGTGCTCGCCGTGTTGATTTCTGGAACTGTGTCCCGGTGTTCATGCAGAAAAGGCACTTCTTTGGCCTCACTGCAAGGAGTGTGTGTGTGTGTGTGTGTGTCTAGCAATGTTATAATTTCAATTGCCCTAATACGGTAATAGCTAAACCGGACACGGACCGGTCCAAACCAATCAATAATATTATTATGGGAATGAGATCGACGACGTGCCGTCACGTGTGTATGTACAACCCATAACCATTATGGTCGTAGGGGCGTCATGTGTGTCATACGGCAGCAGCAGCAGCATAACAAATATTTTAATAATAATATCTTCACTAGTTTGAGGGAAAGAGACAAACGGAAATAATAATATGAACTGGTTTGAGGGAAAGAGGAAATAATAATAATAATTAATAAAATAAAACCTAACTGCACTAATATTGATAAACAAGCTGCCTATGCCTATCTATCACGATCAGCAGCAACGAGAGAGAGAGAATTGTAAGATGCATTGGTCCAGTCTTTGATATTGGTGAACAAATTGTGACGGGGGCGACCACGGGGTCGTGATCATGGTGATCCAGGCACCATTCCATCCAAGAAATAGTAGGAGTAGCTATCCTGATGCCTTGCTACATGTTAACGCCGAGACCATAGGTCGGTGTTGTGGGCTAGCCTCACCAGCACAGGCTTGCTTTGCAGCCCCTACTCTCCCTGCTATTTTGTTATTGTATACTCTGTTGTCTTCTCCCCTTCTGACGAGTAGGTTGTGTACTTAGTAAAAAAAATGTCCAAACCACTTCAACTTGCGTGTAACAGTTGAATCAAGGCGTGTGAACGGGCCAATAGCATTCTTGACTTCCTGCAGCCATATGCGGGCAAAAAACCAGGTTAGGTGAACCGAAATTTTAGGTACAAAGAAGCAGAACCCTATTGGATAGTGTGTATCAATTTGTGTGAGGGAAATTAAATTTTCGGTATGAGAAAAGTTCACTGAAAGTACCGATCATTTGTTAGATTACAAAACTGTGGCGGGAGGTTGTGGCAGAGGTCTCCCCTGAGACTCAACATGGACAGGATTATGTACTGTCGTGGAGTGTTATGAACGTTTGCACATTGCTCTGACTAAATAGGCTCTACATGGTTTGAAGTAGCCGCAAAAAGGTCAAGGTTACACATCTTCATTTTAAGAGTGACGATCTTCAAGCTTCAATCTCTCACATCAGGTACCTCCGAACTAGTCATTTCCCATTTTCTGAACACTCCAACTCAAGATTCTATTCGTAACCCGTGGTGTCTCGCCAATTAAATGTCTTACCAAAGTCTAACCAATGTCAACACCATCATCTTTAAACAGATCAATTGTGCCAAACTCACCGTGTCTCCACCGCCTCATTGGGACCAGCCCCTCACATCCACCATACCTCATTTCAATTCTTTTCAGTATCACCATGATTATACGAAATCTTGGCGGCGACTTCGGCGATATCTTTATGAGTAAGTTGGTTGCGCCCCACTCTGGAGCATGCGAGAAGTCCACCGAACCTTCCACTGGGCAGCCCTGGAAGAAAGCATCACTCGCTGCTCAATGCACAGTGTTTCGGGGAATTCACCCTTGATTAGTTGAGCTTGAGTAGGTTGAGGAAGGTGACAAACAAGGCCGGTCGAGGCAGCTCGAAGCATTCGATTTAGGCCTGTGGATGATCCATGAATATTAATACAAAATAAAAAGCAGAGAAGCAGAGTGCTTTGAGGAAGATTTTATGTAGTTGAGTGTGAACACGTGGCACAATTCACCTGGATATTCCCTCATCAAAACGTTCATCTGACCGTCCCAAGTGATGTCTATGCCGAACTTCTCCGGCACTACTAAGTCTTGTACATTGCATTAGCTAAAGTGTTGTTTCATCTTTCCCGCAATGTGAGAAACTGTGATACGGGCATAGGGTTAGAAGCATTGTGAGAAACTATGATACGGGCATAGGGTTAGAAGCATTGTGAGAAGTCAGACGCGAGATCAGATACCTTTCGATGTATGTAAAAGTGGTGCAGTACTTGGCCAGTATTATTATTGAGTAAGGGAAAATCCCATCACTACAAGTCCCTGATTGGATGGAATCGGTTTGCATAGTGTATGTAGCTAAGGACTGTGTTGCACGTTGTGGATTGGACCCCAATTGGATAGATGTAATTAGTACAGAGCATTCAGACATAGAACGAGAGGAAGACGGACGGATGCTAGGATGTTGACCAAGACCACGATCCGCACACGGAACGGAGATCACCACAGCGATAACCACAGTCATAGAAAACCTGTGGTATGCTTAGAGGTGAGAGCGGGTTCCCCGAGCCGTCATGCTACATTAAAGTCTGCGAATTGTGGCTACAGGTGTTTCGCCACTCTGTACCCCCTGTAGTCCCCTATGGAGACCCACCAGTACATTATGTTAGGTCCTTAGGTCTTGTACGATATGGTTCCTCTCAGTATTTCTCACTTCCTCTTCTGTTCAGGCTGCTCGTTTTGGAGCCATCAGTTGCCTGATGATCGTGACTACGCGAAACTCGGAGTTGCGACACAGCTCCCCCCCCCCCCCACACACACACACACTCTCTCTCTCTCTCTCTCTTGTGGGTGTATGTGTTAGGTCCTTTATATCTAATGTACATCTAATTCAGTTCCAATGATTACGTACCTCTACTGTAGTCCCCGCTCCCAGACCTGTTGTATGCGTACCGTTCATGACTAGACTGTGGCTAAAAGGCCATATACAATGTACACTGAAGCCTATAAACTTGCACATGAAATTCGACATCCATCCTGAATTAAATAGTACCCGGCATCACTGCCGCCACATGGCCCTATCATGTCACGACTCACGAGCCCCATTCTGCACGCTCGAACGTGTCTCAAACGTCTCTCTCTCTCTTTCTCTCTCTCTCTCTCTCTCTCTCTCTCTCTCTCTCTCTCTCTCTCTCTCTCTCTCTCTCTCTCTCTCTCTCTCTGCGCTATTTTCATGGTGTCGGATTTCACTGGCCAGAAGTTCGCGTACCGGTAGTTTCGTGACAATAACAGTAATTCGAGACAGCCTCGATTATGACTATCGCCAGTGCAGTGTGGGCAGGGGTGGTTGCAGGCTTGCCATCGAGTTGTCCCGGCGTAGTACCATCGGCGTGGCGCAATGAGGCGGACAATATCGTGCCAGCAACTGGCACTATGGCCCAGTATGGGGGGGGGGGGAGGGAAGAGAAGAGGTGCCAGTGATTACTATCGTTAGTGTTACCTAGCATCCGCAGCTTGTACTGTGCGCACTTCGAAGTACGGTGTCCATGGAAACAATCTACATGTACGTTTACGTGCATGTAAGCCTGTTTTTCTGATGCTACTAAATTTGTGTTCTCTGCATACACTATACATGTGCATGAAGCTGCTGCTGCTCTACACTAGTCCAGAGCCGAGGTTGCATTGCTGGTGGCGAGGACACCGACAGTCAATTTCGATTGTAGACGTTTTCCATTTTCAATTCCCTCTGACATCGGAACATACAACTCTTCTTAGTAATTCAGTATCAGCAGTCTTTCGAAGAAAAACGTTAACACGTAAATGCCCAGTGAAACCTCTGTTGTTGTTGTTGTTGTTGTTGTTGTTGTTGTTGTTGTTGTTGTTGTTGTTGTTGTTGTTGTTGTTGTTGTTGTTGTTGCTGCTGCTTTTGTTGTTGTTGTTGTTGTTGTTGTTGTTGTTGTTGTTGTTGTTGTTGTTGTTGTTGTTGTTGTTGTTGTTGTTGTTGTTGTTGTTGCTGTTGTTGTTACTTGTATTTTAACATCACATCACAAACAGGCAACTGTGCTTTCTGTCATGTGTGCCACTACATGTGCATGCATGTGAAGAAAATGTTCTGCAAGAAGTGGAATGAACTGATTGTTGACGAGCAGAGGATTGCGTAACGTGTGCCCAAAGGCAGTATAATCAGTACAGGTGCAGCGTACTGTCTTGCTAAGAAAAAGGGTGTATCCGAGGCAAAATGCCTGGTGTAGAATAATTCAGGCCCCTCAAAAAGAGCACGTGATATCCCGTAGTATGTTAAATCCCTGAGTACCTGCATGCTAACACATGCATATCCAGGGATACTTTATGCTCAATTTCACTCCAACGTGTATTGCTACTTGTAGTACAAATACCAAGAGTCTTAAACCTAGAGTACAGCATGAAAAACGTTATAGAGGACGCTACAAGCCTCTTTTGCGGTCCTACAAACATATACCAACAGGTCGACAATTCGTACATTCTAAAAGGGTTGAAAACGCCGATCTACATGCGGTTTACAACATAGAAATTCGAACTGCACCAACAGTCCAACACGGTACTAGTAAGTTGCAACACGTTGGCATATTCGAGCAGGACCAACACACTGCATGATGGAACACCACTGCAAGTTACATGTAATGTCCTCTAGAAGGTACATGTATATGACATTGGATAGGCTGTGTATCGTGTAAGCTCCCAGGTGACTACATGTATCTAGAAGGGGAAAACAGAGAGGTCCCAGGCTGTCCAAGAGAGTGCTCAATACCGAGAGGCGGAGCTAGTTCAAACAATAAGAGGATGGAAAAAGTGTTTTAACTCTGAGTTTCAAGCATCAAACACTTCTTCCGTCCTCTTATTGTTTGTATCTAGAAGGGGGTCAGACCACATTAGGTTTAGGCCTGTTTTGGAGCTCCACTTTAAATAATGCCAAACAACAACAACTACAACAACTACACATATCATGTACGAGTGTGCGCGCACATTACCGAGCTGTCCACCTTCCGTCACTGCGCCAGCAGTAGGTAGGATGTGTTGTTGTCCATAATAGGCATAGCTGGTCATAATACACATGATACATGTGCATGACTGATTGTGCTATGGAGTGCCGGTTGTTATTACGTCATCGTTGTACTGATACAGTAGACTAAGATCAGGGAACCCTTCAAAATGTGCATACTGACAGTTAGTAATAGTAGCCTATGTGAGTATGTCTATCGATCCCTGGCTAAGACTAACAAGTAGAAACTACTAGTATGTCCTCCTGATCTTCACCAACAGAAAATACCGATACATAATTGGCGAACTCGTGCCCAGTGCGAGCGAGATAGGGCGCTTTTCACACGGCTCTTTCCCGTGGTTACCGTGCACGCCAAGAGCCGGCGCGGCCACGACCGCACCGCACCGACCCCGTCGCTGGTACAGCACTGAGTCTGTCGACATGGCGTGCATGTATGTACAATGCACATCTCAGTGATTGGGTCAATCACAGGATAGCACGGACGGTCGGTGAACGCATCCGTCACTGCTGGGCTATGCAGTGCAGCGTGAAAGACTGCTGCAACCAGCTAGTCATGCCCACTAGATCACACACGATGGCCCACTTGACTCTGCATCTGACCCTATGGCCTATGCCATGGCTATACAGGTGATACCAAGTCTTGATCAGCATGCGGAGGCTAGTAGGGGGGCACACTAGTAAATGCTTTGTTGTTGAAAGTGAAACAGGAACGGAGCGGGGAGGACATCTGAAGCTTGGGAGGTTTGCCAGCGCTCTGGCCTCCCGTCCTCCCCTCACACTTTGTCACCAGCATCACCACCAACAGCAGTAAGAGCAGTAATGGAGGTGTACGCTGAGCCATCGCCATCAGTGAATAATACATCATCGTTGAGCCGTGGTTTGGACTGGGAGCGTCACAGTGAGCTTCATGTCTGCCAAGTTCCGTCCACTCTTCCCAGGGACGCTGATGCGGGAAGAGGAGACTATGAAGTGCCGTTGTCGGTCGCTGCAGGGCGAAAGGGCTTCGTCGGTTGGATTACCTCGGCTGTGCGAAAACAGGTGAGCACTCTTTTCTGAGGTAGAATGACTGATGCTGTCCAATGCATTGCCTCATACATTCGGCTGTGCTGTGAGAAACCAAAACAGGGTTGGCATGTTGTTGATACCTTGGAGTTGCTTGTAGAACCGAATCTTGACAAGTACACAGACTTTATGAGAATCACATGTGACGACACGGATACGGCGTGTGGAGTATTGGTTTTGTCGCTACTCCCTCCCAGTGTCTACTTACGTAGCGCCACTCGGCACGGCCATTCCTGATGTGGTGCCTGGATTTCCAGATAGGAAACCTAAAAAGAGAGGTTTGGCAAACTGCCGGAAAAGTACTCAAATGCGCAGAGCTTCTTCACATAAGAAAAAGACAGAGGATCCCGATTGGAATATGTATGTCCTAGCTCAAAAGTTTCATGCCGATGTTGTCTGATAATTGCCTCAGTATGGACTTTGAGTTACGGTATATTTCAATCGAAAACCTCTGTCTGTCCGTTTGTCACTCTCCCTGTCTGTATCTCGGTCACTCTCTCTCTCTCTCTCTCTCTCTCTCTCTCTCTCTCTCTCTCTCTCTCTCTCTCTCTCTCTCTCTCTCTCTCTCTCTCTCTCTCTCTCTCTCTATCTTTCTTTCTTTCGCTGTCTGTCTGTTTGTCAGTCTGTCTGTCTGCATGTCTCTCTCTCTCTCTCTCTCTCTCTCTCTCTCTCTCTCTCTCTCTCTCTCTCTCTCTCTCTCTCTCTCTATCTCTCTGGCTCTCTGCCTCTCTATCTCTATCTATCTGTTTCTCTCTGTCTCTCTCTGTCTCTATCTCTGTCTCTATCTCTGTCCCTATCTCTGTCTCTCTCTTTCTCTCTCTCTCTCTCTCTCTGCCTGTCTCTCTCTCTCTCTCTCTCTCTCTCTCTCTCTCTCTCTCTCTCTCTCTCTCTCTCGTTTTCAAGTACGTTGCAATAAGAGAACTGTATAAAGTCTCTACTGACGATGGAGGCCTAAAATACACGTACTCTTCCAGGTCCCATAGTCAACTTGTCCAATTCAGTGCATACATTACACATCCCATACACATAATTATTGTATCGCTCTCAGCCATCGGCGCTGGCCGAGGATAAGACAATTCCCAGCTGCGGTTGTGTTAGCTCCAGTGCTGTTGTCAACGAATCAGGCGCTAGAGCACGGGCGATGAACGCACTACATGTGTTATCATCACCTCCTCCATTCCAAGTACAGGCCACAGTGTAGTATCGTGTACGCCGCATTACTATACATGTATACGTATACATGTACATGTACTGAAACTAGCCGGCAGTTTTCTCCATGCATATTGCATGTAAGGAGGAGAATCACGGAGGTGCTCCCAGAACTTAAGTAATTGCATACTACACAAAACGTATTCCATAGCATTGCGCGGATTCGTCTTACATCCAGATATTAATTTGTCATACTCAGCTTTTCGGCGGCGACATCTCCAAACACGCTTAGCTAGTTTTCATTGGCCGAAATGGAATGAAGGAATGAGGAATGAGCTGGGGTCAATGAGATGCACACACGATATTATCGTAATGTCATCTGATCGGTGACGGGGCTACCTTACTTCCTTGCCCGCATACCTGACCTCGCTGTAAGCTGCCAAATACGAAGCATCGAATATTGCTTTCCGCCTGGACCGCTTACCTTGTGACGTACTGCGTGCCGAAAGGCCTCGAATATGGTCGGCGGCATCGCTAGGAGCGCTTGGGCCATTTCAATCCCTGTCTAAACTGCTGTCTCGCGTGTCACGATATATTCGGTAGCATGTTGAGGTGTTCATAAAACATGCCAAGCATGACTTCTTCTCTGGTCCGTCAGCTTGTTGGACGTTCTAGTAGTTTCCACCACAGCCTCTCTCTCTCTCCCTCCCTCCCTCCCTCCCCTCTCTCTCTCTCTCTCTTTCTCTCTCCCCCTTCCCCCGTAGCTCTCTCCCCTTTGAAATTCGCTTCCATAGAATTGGGCACCATTGCCCGTTTGGCCTTGCGAAGTAAAAAAATCAACAACAACAACAACAACAACAACAACAGCCTAGGCGCTCGTTTCGAACTGCTTCTAATCTAACTGAACTAAGCGTCACTGTTCTTACATCCGAGTGAGCAGCATGTGTACATACAGGTACATGTACTTAATCATCGCATCATACATGGTGTCCGGTGATTGGTTTAGCATGAAACATTTAAACGTTACAACGCAATCCGACAGGATTTCTTTACTTCAGGCTTGTGTTTATATGTACCGCTATATGGCTTTGCGCTCCACGCTTTGAGCACTTGTTCGGCAGTAGCCACAACCCTGTATATCACGCAATCTCTGAACAGCTATGGCTGTTCCGCCCTCGATAGGTCTCACCAATGACTGTAAGGCTTAGAGTCATCTAAAGTTCTAAACACAGAGTAACATAGCCTCGTATGCAAGGCAGTAGGCAGAGCGGCTTAGTTGCAAACTTGCGATAGTTTCTGCTACGATTTCATGATCGTACAAGGCCTGGAAACTCGACGATAACTACGATGGTGTTCAAAATGCAATGTACCTTGCAACGCTAATGGCTCGTTGCAGTTTAGAGTTATTGGGCACCCTTGCGCGCATACGTATTCTCTACCGCTGGGCGAGGCGACAATGACTTTTAAAAGCGTAGGCGAGATGTTTCCGACGAGAAAGGAAATTAATAATCTTCTATGTTTAAGGCCATGTCGAGATTTTTACAAGGTACATATCCCACCTGCAGGCACTTGGGGCTAGCATGGGGTGAGACGCTGCTGGTGGAGCCTACCATGCTCAACCGACCAGAGGTCCTGTTTGTTCCCTCCTGCTCCTTTCTCTCTCCCCTGCCTCTCTCTCTCTCCATCCCTCTCCCTGTCACTCACTCCCTTTCTCTCTTCCACACACACACACACACACACACACACACACACAACGTGTATCTCTCACTCATACACGTGCACATAAATGGCGCACAAATACGTAAAGGTGCTGTATCACTTGTGTTGGCTGTCAGGCCCAACCAATACCGACGACATTCTGCGCAGCAATCTCCACTGCGGCCCAATGTTTCGCCATAGGTTGTCACCGATTCATAGTCGCCAGTACGAGTTACCGGCGATCTCTTTCCAGGCTTATTATGACTGTCTCAATCGGTACCAAGATAGCTGTTGCTCCGTGGCGAATTGTTTTTGAAATGTCCTGTTTTCATTTAGGAGGACCATTACGGTAATTATGTGATGGTAGAATGGTGACGACAGCTATGAGAAATGAGGGGCAAAGCAGCGGCAAATTGACGTGACATTGTGAAGGGTTGAATATCTCCAAATTTGGTGCTCACCGACCCTGGATACATCACACTGTATTGATGAGGTCTAAAATCTGTCGTGTGTAACCTACGTAGACGAAGTAAACCCCCAATTTTCCGAGGCAATGTGCAGCAACACAAAGTCATCTCCGATTCATGTTGTGAATCCTGCAAGTTCCCAATAATCAGTTCTGGCGGATGAAGACCACCGCGTGTGAGAACCGGGACCTATCCATTACAGAACATTGAAAACTAGCATGTGTGAAACGTGGTAATTATGGCCATGGCCAGTGTCAAGCGTTCACTCACAAAGTTATGGACATCACGCTTTCTATATAAGTATAGAAAACCTGGCTAGTCCGACCGCACCAGGAATCTCCCGGAGTGTGATCCCTATGTATAGGTGGTCTCCTTAGTCAGGTTCATAGGTCTGGAAAACGACACCCATTGGTCCTGGTTCCTCTTGAGGCAGGTGGTCGCCTTAGCAGGGTGCCCTCTCGGAGACTCTGTACAGGCGGTATACATATCCACGCACATTACAAGAACTTACAAGATCTGAGGTATTCACGTTGGGTGCCCACTACGTACATCTCTGCACTCCAGTCCTGGTGTCGTTTCCATAGTTATTGGTGCATGAACGCAGTCACGATATTACGCACAACATACCTGCACACGTACATGTATGTACCAGCAAGCAGTAACTGGTAACTCCACTCGCCAGGGCAATGGGGCGACTGGCGAACCGGCGCGGGAAATGACTGGTTTCGCTCGTAAGCGTAAAAATGCCCGTAGCTCCCTTCTTCATGCTGGTATCGAAACCGGCGCGCGGAAACGTACACATACCTTCCTTTAGAACTGAGCAGTTACGCTACTACAGGTATACATGTACAGTACACTGTACACTGATGTACGTATGTGAGGTATTCAAACCCAGTGTCAGTACATGTACTTCGAAGTAGCACTAACAGCAAGGTTAGATCTTCTACTACATGAAAGGGAAACACAAATCAGTGACAGTCTACAGCTTGACTATGCACTTAGAATATGGGCAAGGGCTTGGGAACATAATATCCCCCCCCCCCCCCCCCCACACACACACACAAACATATTCACACACAGGTGTATACGACTCCCAAGCGCAGATGTACCATGCACATGTATGATCAAAAGTACATTACCCCCGCCCCCCCCCCCCCCCCAAGTCTATGTATGTACTCTTGCAGTCTTGGTATGATGTAGGTCTGCATGGGTGTTAGGCATTGGCAGATTCTGCTCGAAAAGCAGTGAAATTGGCAGAACCATACAAACCTTATGGTGGGCAATTCCTCGAATTCTGTTCCATTTCTTTATCCACATACCAAACATGCATGACACTTACCAGAAAAAGTACCGAATTCTGCCAATTTTTCTACCGGCCTTTAATATCCGCACGTGCCTAGTCTGCATGGGTGTGCTACATGTATGCCGAGGGTCAGAGGATTTCCTGTGAGCCCAGATACAAATCTCTCTTTTGGCCCTGGGCTATGGAGGGAAATTGCTGTCGCCTGGGAGTCGAATGCCCATCTGTTTTTGAGATCGGTATTAGACGTTTACGCGACGTACACACTTTACAGCCTAGCCTTACGTTGGTGAGAAAATTGGCAAAATACGTTGACACATAGACTACAAAAATAGCAGTAGCTGCCTTTTATGGGAAGATGGCGTGAAAGACCAGACGGCAAGGGTTTGGAGGTCGCAACGATTTGCTAACAACAAGCGAAAGAAGAAGAGGGGAGAAGGAGAATACTCACTGCCCAACTAAATTCTACTTCTTCATTGTGTTTAAACATGGCCCTCAAGAGAATAATAGAAAGCTGATGATCGCTTAATGCGTGAAACTCAGAGTTAAAACACTTTCTCCGTCCTTTCATTGTCTAAAAAGCTGAATCTACAATTATGACGATTATTAACAATATTACGTCTTGGTGACATGTCGATTTTGTTTATGCTCTTGATTATTCACTGGTTTGAGGGAAAGACACAAGCGGGAAAAGTCTGAAGACAAAATTTACTGTTGTCACTAGGATTCGAATCCGGTCTTGATTATCATTATGAAAATGGTTGTCACGGCTCGTCGTCCCTTTTCATTGTGTTTTCTTTACACTCCCGTCTTCAAAGACTAAGTTCTTGCTTGCGATGCAAAGCAATGCAATCGGAGTAAATACAGGCTGTATTTTTAGAAGTATTACATGTAGTTCATCAGGTGACTAGCTATGAGAGCAACGCGCGATTTTGTGGATCAGGTGTTCACAGGAAGAGGGAAAGGGCTCGTTCATCGGTTATTGTCACGCTTGGTGCGGAAAGAACTCGATTCTTGCACTCGTAGATCTACTGAAAGCGCTAGTGTTGTTGTGTAAATAAGCGTGACCAGCGAGATGCGCTATCGCCAATATCACGCAGGTATGCGCGTATCGAAGCGGCTTGCTGCGAAAATGTAGCTTGAACTCGCTGGCAACCTCTCTTTACGACTCCACGCCGCGCGGACAGACTTCGAGACGTGCCGCCAAAACTGAGTGCACCTGTGAACTTTAGACTGACCCCAGCCCCTTCAGCATACAGTCATGCAGGCATTGCCCAGCTACCTCATGCATGCTTCGGGTAGCGACAACGATTTTGAGTATGACTTGTGTAGAATCTACATGACTGGTAGACACTGCATAAAGTAAACGACATGTGGAAGCACTGTGACTGCGTCGCGGCTTGGCCATCTCCACGACCCTCCCGCGATCTGTCTTGCGACTTCACACTGGTTGCCACACACGACGATGTGCAGGTGGCCTTCGCTCGCAAAGTCAACCGCGATAAACTCGTTGCTGGCGCAGACAGGAGCTCACCCTGGTAGTGTTCATGTTGTTCGCACCCACAATTTCAGTGTATACACAGAACAAAAGAATAGTCAGTGCACACATTGACCGACATAACGAGCCTTTCCGTTCTGTGGATCGGGCTGTCAGAAAGTTTGTGCACTCTTTCCTCACGACCAGAGCGCCTCTGTAGACTCTAGTGTGGCATTGGCACAAGCTAACGACCCGTTCCTCTGCTGCTGTAAAAAGACAGGCAGGTCGAAGATTTGCTATTCATTTGATTCGATCTCATCACAAGCTTGAAGCACATGCCGCCTGTCTCTCGTATAAGCTCATGTTCAGAGAAAGCTGTTGCGGACAGTGAAAACTGAAGGTGCGCGTACCTTGTCCTGTGGCATTTTGTAAAAGCTGTGAAAAACAAGGTGTTGCGTACAAATAGTGCAGATGCCAGCTTGCAGAGCGACAAAGAGAAGCTCGTCTGGTCCTGTCGCGGTCTGAGGAAGTCGCATATCCCAGGCTGTCCTGCTCATGGCGACGTGAAGACGTCTTCTTCTCCTTGTTCCATGGTTCGGACGATGCAACTGCACTGTCCTCGGATGGCGAACGGACAATATAAAAGCCAGAGCTTGAAAATGATGAAGTAGAGTTGCTCGATCCAGACCGCACGACTCTCGATTCGGCACGATACCTTCGTGGCTGCCAGGGTCTCTCTCTCTCTCTCTCTGCCCTTATAGCGATGTTAGAGAAAATGGTGAAAACTCGAAGTCGAAATGGGGGTACTCCGGTCACGGACTATTCAAGGAAGCCTTTGCCTATTTCCTCACGAGCTAGTATGCTGTTCATGCAGATCTTCGGCTCTCATCTGACCGAGTCCGGCGGCTTCTCGCCGATCGGTTCGCCTCGCTCCCGTGCTAGTTCGTCCAGCGGCACGCACGCCTCGGACAGACGAGGCCTGGTGGGAATCATTGCACCAAGCAGCGTGCGAGTGGATCGACCTGTGGATGCTCAGGCCAAGTCCACCAACGGTGGCCCGTCGCCCGTCTACATCGGCTCGTTCCGCAATGCCAAAGGAGTAGACGTAAGTGTATGTTGTTGGTGTGTGTTTGTGAGTGTAACACATGTCTGCTTGTGACCATTCCGATCTGAATACCATCATGTACATTGCTTTTGGAATAGCGCTGTTCTTCCGACTCTTGACTTGAAAAATAAATTGACGAATGTAGAGGAAGATTTGGAGTTTCAACTTTCAGAACAGTCGCTGCATGTGGATGCTGGGATTCTGGAGGGGTGCTACAATAGAGCGTGGTGTTGTCGATACTGGACCTGTGAGGCACCACTATACAACACGTGCGTGCTCCTTGCTACCGGCTGTGGCGTGATCGAACAAGGAATGCCGTAGTTGACGATTGCTGTTGTTACTTGGTGGTCGTGATCAAAGATCACAGGCGTTGTCGACAGTGGTTAATTATTTATGTGCACACTGCACAGGTGCTTGGCTGAATCACTGCTAGCGGTAATCTGCCGTGACCTTGTGTTTTTCTTATCTGTAGTTGTCACAAACCACCCTCTCAAAGCATGTACTTCGTAGCTTAGTTCTAGTAGTGTTGGGCAACTATCAACAGCCCAGGGAGATGATGGGGGTAGATGGATATCTTAGTCACCTGAAGTAGCTGTGAATGGCTTGCCTGTATGCTGTGTGGCATTTGATATTCAACTAGTTCTGCACAGTTCCTATTGTGCTTACAGCTGTAATTACTCTTATGATTACAGGGTTAGTGGCCTTGATGGTACCAGTGCTTGGTGTCTTTTGCAGCTATGACAGTGGATACCTTCCAAGTTCTCCTAGAAAGAAAAGTGGAAGCGTTGATAAAGGGGGGGGGGGGGTGGTCTGTAAACACCATCCCCTTAGTCCCAGCAATGCACTGTCAAGATGATGGCTATGTGCACGTGCACAGATTCATACATTGCATGGCTATTCCTTTGGCTGGTTTCCTCCCCTCCCCCCCCCCCCCCCCTATGCACACATACGCCCATCTTCCATATTCCGGATATCCAGTTCCATCTTCCCATTGAATTCCTCGCCTCACAGGAACCTCAGTCCTGTACTTAGGTGTTGCACACTCAAGAATAGGATGCCATTTTCAATGTTTTCATCTCTCGCCCACATGTCACCATTCACAATGCCTCCATTTTCTGTACGTGGATACCCGCGTACGGTTTTCCTTGCAGATGCCAGCCACTATTCAGCTGGCTGGAATGGAGGTGTTTGGCCTGCGGGAAGATGACCTAGCGCGAGAAGCGGCACGCTTGCAGCGGCTACGACACCCGAACGTCTTGAGATTCTACGGCATTGTCATCTCTCCACCGGGGCCAATGAAGCTGGTAAGGCACTACTAGCCATTGCTGTTGTTGCGTCAAATCTAACAGACAACCACTACAGCCATAACCTTGGTATATTGACACACACTTAGTCTATGTTATTTGTACCGAGTCTTTGCAGTAGATGCGGGTAAGCTCGCACGAGTTAATCTTCGTAGCGAATTTATAAAGACAAGTATTCGTCTGGGTACATTCATGTTGTTTTGGCCATGGATACGTAACGTCACGTTCTGTAGCGTAAGGGGTAGACATGATCATTGCTGTGCTTTTTTGCTGTCCCCCATCTTTCTACAAAAAAGGTGATGGAAAACTGCCGCCACGGAAACCTACGTGATGAGCTGCGAAACGGCGGCATATGCGTGCCTCTCGATCGCCTTCTGAACTGGAGCAGGCAGCTGGCTGCGGGCATGGCACACCTTGAGCACCACGGCATAGTGCACGGTGACCTGAGAGCACAGAACATCCACATGGTCTCCATCGACAGGGTGAGTCATTGGCCTGGTCATTGCACGGGAGTCAAGGCCACCCCGTAGGGTTTATTTTGCCACATATTAATTTGATTTTAGTTTTGCCGGGAATTCAAAGATTAATAGCAATAGCAATAGTCTATGGAATCATCTGATCGTACACAAACATGTTCAACGGTCTTCAATAAGCTATGTTTCGCAATGCTGTGTTAGTTCTGCATGCAAAACCTGAACACTGGCTTCAGTGTATTTACCATGATCATCATTTACCAGCAGAGCTTCAAAATTGTGACCTTGATCTATCTGCTGTTCATTATGTCTGTACAGTGTAAGATTGCGAACTTTGGGATGTGCCGCACAGCAATCAATTACAGCAGCAAGTCATCCAAGATATCCTTTGCATGGTAAGCGCTCATCAATAACACCTTGTGTTGGTGTGGAATGCTTGGCCAATTCCTGTTCTGGTGTTAAGGGCCCTTCGACGGCTTCAGGAATGACAGACGGTTAAGGGACCGTCTCAGTTCATGTTAACAACAAGTGAATCTGAAGAGTATGGCCCTAGCTCAGATGAGATGAAGCCCCTGCAAAAGGGAGTACATGTACCATGGCTGCTTGTGTAATATGTAGCCAAATCATCAAGTCCTCATTTTGTATTACTATCTGTAGGCCACTTATCACCTATAGGTGGCCTATCCACCTATCATTTCTAGCTTCAAAGGATCACACAAACGTTGAGTATCTTCATTTCTTGCTTTTGTCCTGCAGGGCATCGCCGGAGGCCATCAAAATGCAACTGGTCACGCACCAGTCGGACGTGTGGAGCTTCGGCGTAACGCTCTGGGAAATATTCTCGCACGGCACTACCCCCTGGAAGGGCTTGAATGGTCTGGAGGTAGGTCTCGTGGCTACAATAGGCTGTTTTCGTATGAATGGACAGCACCTGGATACACAACACACCCTTTGTGTGAAGAGGGAATACAAAATCATTGAGGTGTCATGACTGCAGTAGGCCATTTTCGAATGCATTGACAGACCCATGTGCAAACCTAGTATGAAGAGGAAATAAGAACTCATTGAGGTCTCATGCAAACAATTGGTTGTGTCCAAATGCACCGATAGCACCCGGAAACACAGCATAACCTTAGTGTGGATAGGGAATGCAAAATGCATTGCCGGGGTAAACACACCTATTCCTTTGGAGGGTCGAAGGTGGTTTGCTCTCCATAGGATGATATAGTGTACTTCAAAGCTAATGGTACTTGAAACAAGTAGATGAAAAGACGAGGGAAGGGCGGGAATAGAACTGCCGTATAGCTTTCTTGTTCGTTGAGTAGTGGGTGAATGCACTGGGACTTGACATTGAACACGCGACATTTCGACAATAGGTGATTTCCTTGTTGACAGATGGTAGCTGAATACCTTTCTGTTCTCCTTGGTCCTTCCAGGTTTTGAATCAAATCGACTTGCCTCTGAAGATCCGCCTTCCTCGCCCAAAGCACTGTCCAACACTGGTCTACTCTTTGGTCAGTCTGTGCTGGAAGCCGGCGACAAGTGACCGACCAACGTTCAAAGCATTGGAATCACTTTGGAAAGAGGTAAGAACTGCAACAGAATACAAGTAGTGGAGACGGTATCAATAGAGCTGACAAGTGTAAATGGCGCAATGGGCTCCGTGCACACAGACACACACACAACCCGACACACACACACACACACACACACACACACGCTGGTCTGCCGCTGCCCCCCCCCCCCCCCCCCCAGCAAGCAGTGAACTGAACTGAGTGTTTCAAATTTTGTACCTGTACTTTTTCAATTACACAGAGCCATCCGCATCGTGCTCGTGTTATTGCCGATTATGATTCACGGAGCACATCAGAGCTAACCCTGACCGAAGGTGACCTTATCACACTCATACACAGGTAAGGCCAACGACATCGTGCTGTGTTTGCAAGGTATCTGACGCACTGCCCAGAGACAAGTGGACCTAGCTTCTGGGAAAGCACGTCACGGTGAGAGTAGTCCATGCCAACTGCGGCTCGGATATTTCAATGAAACAAGAGAAAATGCCTGAACTTTTTCCCATTTTCAGTGATCTGTTCAGAACACAGGCCTGATCACTTAACATATGCTTTTATTGCAATAGGATAGGCCTGTGCCTAGGTGCCATTGGTGCTACCAGCTGAGCATGCAGTGCTTTTTCTCAATACTGTACTACACCGATTGCGCAATTATGTGTCTTGTACCTAGGAGCAAGCACCCTTCACAGTCACGTTCGCATAGCTGTGTACATCGAGTGTTGCAGTTCAAATCTGCACTCTTTTAAAAGCGTCCCTCGTGCTTTCTATTCCGATGTGCTGTAAATGTTCCTCATGTCGTTTATAGGATTTCATCAGAGTACTGGTATGGTCAGAATCAGCACGGCCACTATGGCGAGTTTCCCTGCAACCACGTCGAGCAAGTCTTCCTGGACGAGTGGAGCGGTGCTTCACAGAAACCAGCTGCCGGTGTGTATGTGTTCAGTACAGTGCCATTACTGGGTACAATGCTAGTACTTGACCTATGCTGGATACCTGTGTGCTCTTCAGAACAGACTGGATGTTACTAGCCATGTACAGTGGTCCCTCTATAATCCGGCACCATTTGTGCCACGAAAATCTGCTGGATTAGGGAGGGTGCTGGATTAACAAATCTGATTTACTGCTGCAATGTACATGAAGAGGACATTTTGGCTACTGAAAATTGTGCTGGTTTATCGAGGGTGCTGGATTATAAAGTGCCGGATTAGAGAGGGACGACTGTACGAGTGAAAATTAAATTATGTAGTGTACTTTCATGGAAAGTGTGAGCTTCGAAGTCTGAAGAAAATGTCGAGGAGCCGCTGCTTGGATGACATCTACACCATAGCTCAGTGGTTAGAATACCGCTGGCCTGTAGGGAAAGTCCCTGGTTCTAGTTCTGGTGGCGACAGTACATTTTTTTCTGCAGACCTTTTCCTTTTTCAGTCCTAGACTTGAGAAAATAAGAAAACCAATAATAGATTTCGGCAAGAATGCATCCCATGTACAACTGTAGTTTCTCAAGTCCAACATTGAGTGTCTCCTGTTATCAGTAGTTCCTATCTCACGATACATATTGCGATCATTCCGTCTTCTCTTTTGTTTTCTCTGCACAGTGCGTGATGTGGACTGGAAGCCATATGAGGACCGGGCGGCGAGGTAAGGTTACTGACAGCAGTTGTGAATGTATTAGAACTTAGCCAGTACAGCCAGCCTTGCGAATAACGACTCTCGATCGTGCGTGAGAGAAGTGCGAATAACGACTCTCGATCGTGCACGAGAAAAAGTGTCGATATTCACGAGCTGTCGTTTGTGAGGTTGAAAGTATGCAATCAAGTGGTCACTGGGCCTGAAGTTTGTGTCGTTGTTCGTGAGTTGTTATTACACCCGAGTTCGTTATTCACGACGTTGACTCTAGTCCAATTCCTTGTACGCATGATGGGTGGCTACATCAGGTGTTATTCCAAACCATGGCTTCGTGTAGTTACCCGCTTCATCTCTAAGCTGGCTTCAGTCTTGTGAATGTTCTCAATAAGTACAATTAGATAAATATGCTGCGATAACACCCCCCCCCCTCCCCCCCCCCCCCCCCACACACACAACACACAGATCTGCGGCCCAGACCAAGTATACTAAGGCCTTCGACTTCGAGTTTACTTTCTTCAAACTTGACCCCATCGTGAACGGACACCAATCTGCATGCCAAAAAACTCATGCCTGGCAAATACAGCTTCGCAGTGAATTGATTTTTTTCCGTTTCATGGCATTTTCAATGGAATTTTCACCCAGATCATCAAGCAGCAGTGACATTGCAAATATGGAGGACATCAGCGAGCCTTTCGAGTTCAATCGTCACATCTCCGTGCCCTCAGGAACATGTCCAAAGGAGGCACAGAGGTAAGTCACATCGTCTACCACATCTGTCTGTCCCGGTCTGCTACAATTACTTCAATTAGTTTGTCCCAATTGTGGCTGGAGAGACCACTGCCAAATGTCCGCCTTGAAGAGAAACGGCATTCTCCCGTTTTTGTTGTCAAAGAAAATACTTCTTGTACGTTTTGAAAATCCCATTTGCTGTATCCAAAACACAGCCTGCTGTGTTTCACCATGTGTATTGCTGAGAGTAGATATTGTTCGCACTGTCATACGCATGCCCATTAGCTTGTTGATCTGGGCGCCAAGATCCATAAAATCTAGGCAGAAACTCACTTTAATTATCACTGGAAAGCCTTGTTGAAATGAATGCACACCTCTTCACACATCCACTTTCCCGAATGGGATCTGTGTCGCACTCCTAGTCACAGTACATATACGTGAAAAGTCTATGTAGAGTAATGGGGGAAAAACGGCTAATTGTGGAAAGAGCAGTTTGTGAATCACTCAGCTGTGCGATCATTCGTACCGCCCTTTTTCAACACATTTTCCTTCTACTCACTGTGTCTGTTCAGGCTGCTGGAGAAGGAGTTTGGCATGTCGTCTGTTCGCTTCAGCACCGTAGGTCAGTGAAACCACCACACAAACAGTTTGCTTCACTCTTTCTCTTTGTCCAACAAGACGTACTGTATCATGGCATTGTGCTGTTGTTGGGTGAGGGTTGATGTTGGGCATTGTCATGTACAAGTACAACGGGAAACTGAGAAGGGATTATTGCGCTGGGTTACTATGCAAAGGTCCTACATGCGAACATGCTTTCTTTCCTTCCCTTACTGAAACATTCCCCGTGGTGGTATGCGATGCATTGGTGATGTCAAGCTGGCTAAAGATTGGATCTAATTGACATGATTTCTAAACCATCCTGATGTGCTCTGCTTCTCTTGATTGCATCGCTTAGGCTGCGCGGAGTACGACCTCGCGACACCGCACAGCACCAAAGCGAAACCCAGTGGCGGCGGCAGCAAAGCAGAACTCAGCGAATACGAGGTCATTCAGCGGATCATGGGCGTGGATACGACGGCGGCGCAACGCCGGGAACGGGCACAGACGCACACCGGCCGAGGCCTTCGCCGCTGCCCTTCCGAGCCGGCACTGATGCCGGCCTCCATGCTGGACAACGAGTACATGAGCATGGGCAAGGCCACGCCGAGTCCTGGCTTTCCTCCATCGCGGCCTACTCCACCACGAGCAACCGCAGGAGCAGCAGTGCCAGCAGGCAACAAACCGGAGGACGAGTATATGTATATGAGGTCCGGGGTGAATCGTCTGAGCCAGAGTGTCACCGCCACCTCGGTGGCAACGGCCACCATGAAGAAGAAGATGCCGAAAGTCAGGAAGATTCAAAAATCTGGTCAAACGTCGTCGCCCCCCAAACTCCCACCAACGAGTAAGAGTTCATCTCCGGCACATATGCGACCACGAGCCAGCACGCTCAATCCGACATCATCGCGAGGTGTGACTAAACACGACAGACCGGCAGCAAATCACCCTGGTGCTATGACCATCAGACAACCTGCCGTGCTGCCCAAACCCAAGGTCACCACCCCGTTGAGCGGCGGAAGCAGCAGCGCGACACTTCAACGAGACAAGACGCCAGCCAACGCGGCGAGCTTGTCCGTGCAGAGTCGAATCGAGAAGCTGCGCGATCGCTGCAACTCTGACAAGCCGCAACTCCACGCGGTCAACAAGCGGCAACTTGGCGGCACACTAACCGCAAACCGTCGTAGCTGCTCTGTTGAAAATATGCTAGCATCATCACCCGTAGAGCAGGGCTGTGTCAAAGCTGCCATCAAGTCACTGGGTGCATCGGACCAGTCGTTGCCGGGCAAGCGGAGAGTGCGCAAGACCCACTCCCGGCCGCGCTCCGTGTCCGGCTCGAACGGATCGCTGCCGTCGCTAGCGCCCCCGTCCACAGTCGGTGGAGTGCTGGGCCGCCGCTCTCCTCGCCTGGCCGAGCCCGTCTCGCCGACGTCCAGTGGCTATGAGAGCTGCGGTGACTGATCTTCACCAGTGCTGATCTGCGGCGACTGATCTTCACCAGTGCTGTGGCACTGCCGCACGGCAGGCCGATCTGCACATAGTGCATAGGAACGTATTTGTTAACCTTGAGGTCACGATTACATAGCTTGAGACATAACATTAAAATAAGCCGCTTCCGTAAAGAACGTACCCAGACCACATGTAGAGTGTTATTACGCTGAGGCCGCTAAACAAGTTTTGTCTTGCAACACTTGCATGACCATTACAATAATAATTATTCTACACATAGCCATATTTTTATTTAGCTCTCACAGTGCCAGTCAGGTTTTAAAACTCTCATGCGAGCCGTAAACTATTTTCACACCGTGCCAAAGAGCAGAGAATTGTCACGCTATAATTATATAATATTCCAACGAAAGACATAGCTATTAAAGCTCGCAGTGATTATCATCATTATTTTTCTTCCACCCTGCTTGGGGAACAGCATGCTCGGCGGCGTGGCATTGCACGGAGCATCCTTCCACCCTGCTTGGGGAACAGCATGCTCGGCGGCGTGGCATTGCACGGAGCATCCTGTCAGCAGTGTACGTCACTGGGTTTTGTACTCTATTTTTACACGATTCTGGAATAAAATTTAATACGATAAACAACACTATCAGAAACACGGCTGAAGTGATGAAATTTCTGTTAGCAAAGAGTATCAAAATACAAGAGAGATGGTAAGATATTGATGAGCTCTCAATGAGCGAAACAGCTGTCCAGAGGATATGCAAAATCTACCCAAGAATGAATTTTCCCGCTACTGCAGCACTGGAGTATGGTGTTGTGAATGTGGGCCAAGAGGGCGTCAGTGTGGAGTGGTGGAGTGTTTCAAAAACGATATCAAGAGTACATAAACCAGAGTGTGCAACTGTGCATATCAGATCTGAAACAGCGCAGTTCGTGCACTACGTCACCCTGATGAGGTCAGCCAAGCCCCGACTTGCGTACAGCTCAAATTTTCATGTTTCATAGCCTGGAAATCAGCCAAGTTTGCTTGATTTTACACGTCCAGTTTCAGGATTTCGGTGTTTTGTGTGACTGTGTACGCTGCGTACATCCACCGACAAGTAAAGTCACCAGGCTATCTGTATCAAAAAACCGAAATCAGGACAAACTCAGTGACCTGCACCACCGCGACCGGTTACGCAACTTTTCACCGTACCTGTGGCTTACCATGCCGTCAGAAATGACGTACTGCACGAATTACGCTCCCACAGGAACCATGCCGAGGTGCACACTCTGGTTTATGTACTCTTGACGATATTGATAGCACCTACTTCGAAATAAAATAGACACGCAGGAAAAAGGCATTACAAGCCTACCAGACAGAGAATTACACACACACACACACACACACGCCGTGCATATCGCACTGACACCAAGAGTCCATACACATACAGACTGCTGACTGTTGACGCCATACATTAGTTACTACGCTGGAGTGTTCTGTAGCAACCCAGCGACGGAATTGTCCACAATAAAATTCAAAAACACATCAATACTGGCAGCAGAATCTTCGTACATTGCCGAGCAGCTGTGAAAACTGCATACTGCAGCGCATGCTGCAGGGTGGAGGGCTTGGAGAGATCACACTCACGAGTGTAGGATGCTCTTCAACCAATACTGTAGCAATCAATACAAAGCCATGCTCACGCTCCTGAGTAACTGCAAGTGGGCAGTGCTGCGAGTTTCATTCAAACCACAACAATCACATGCTCAACGACCTGCACGATGTACTGAATTCCATGTGACATCCTGAACAACTCAGAAGCCTGAGAACCGCAAGACACACATCCCTCTGAGCACTCAAGCTGAGCCAATACCTTCACAGTGGTTCAGGTTCCAACATACATGAGCACACCACTAAGACGTAGTCATGTACAGGTCACGATTACCTACGCCCTCATCAGATAGGCTCATCATCTATAGTCAAATAACAGTTAAACGTCACACTGTCAGCGTGTAGGGGTGGAATGATTGAGCTGCCAAGTTCGAAGGCCAGCTGAGACACGACTGTACGGTGGACAGTATCCGATAGAGTTGACTGAAGGGACATCTCCATCGACTGGCGCTGCGGTGAACTTGAAGTGCCACGTCGTCGTCCCGCCATTAGAACGTTGATAGTAACTACCGAGAGACACGGTGGCGGGTATACAATGGTGTGTTGCCAACTTGCCGTGGTGTTGGCTAGCAGTGGCGGTGAATCGCAGCAGCTGGACTGGTGCAGAGCACTTGAACAGCTGATAGAGAGAAGAAGCGACCGTCATCAGTAGATTGGTCTGCCTCTACATGTAGAACCAACACATTTTCTCTCCTTGAGCACTGAATACTGGTATGACCCAGTATTGCACTTGTATAGGAATAACCAGTGTACTTGGCCGGTAGTTTGTGCTCGTGACCGCGTTGAACAAACCAGGCTGGCGCAAGAGGGCGGACACCTCACGGTACTGCGATACTGTTGTGTACGCTTGGACAATGGTGTGTGCAGGACCCAGCACAGGCACACTGACTAACACATACACTATGTTGGAATGCCGTCAGTTGCTGGGACACAGCACAGTGAAAGCCGGTTGACTTTCTTCTAGAGATTCCGTCCAATAAAATATTGCGACAGAGCTTTCGGCCACTACTCCATGGCTAAGAGCACATGGTGGCGACGGGTTGAGGATGTAGTCTAAGTAAAGATTCTGTCCAGTCGAAACTGTTCACACCCTTAGTCGACTACAAGGTGATAAGGAAACGTTGTCCGGTCCAGACTGTTCACTCTCTCCGTCGACTACGAGGTGTAATGGGAACTTTGTCCAGTCCAAACGGTTCACTCTCTCCGTCGACTACGAGGTGATCTGTCCCGGTCATGCGATTCCCGCTCATACTGACGCCGATGTCGATCTGAATCACCATGCCGACCTCCACTGTCGCCTTGCCGACCATCTGCCCTGTCACGATCAGAGCCGCGGTAGTCACCATGCCGATGAGCAGTGTCTCTCCGTCCACCAGACCAGCCACCTCCGCCACCGCCTCTGCCACCACCACGCCATGATGGAGCGTTGGCATTGCTGGGACGGCACAAAACAAACACAGAGACACGGAGATACAGATAAACAGACAGACAGACACACACACACACACACACACACACACACGCACACACACACACACACATACCCCCCCCCCCCCCCCCCCATCCCCCCAATACACATAGAATACACACATGCAGACACATGCACACTTGCATTGACTTGACCTTGCACCGTTAGCATGGGAATATACACGAAATAACACAATACATCCTGTAAAACCAGAAAGTTTAACGTTTCTGTAATTTTGGCGTGATTACGTGCAGAAAGTTTAACGATGGTTACCTGGCCACCCATCTGTATGCGCATCTTTATACAGACATCTAGCGATAACGATTTTTCAAAAAGCGAAAAATAATTGGTCGTTAAAACGTTAGACTTTGTGACTCGTTAGACTTTCCGGTTTTACAGTACTACGGTATCACTATGCCTGGGAACAGAGACTCAAAGATCACGCCATCGATGCAGGACCTGCGGAAAGTATCCTTGCCCTCACAATCTATTGACGGTAGCTCCCTCTATCCACTCATAAGCTTTGCAAAGAGTTCACTTCAGACCACTGAAACAACTGCGCAGCGCTCAAATGCCGCTTTGGGCTGCAGGGCCTAGGGAGTAACCCTCTTTAGAGGTTCTACATGAGTCCATAGGGGACAAAACAATGTTGGCAGCACACTGAGCAGTCTGGCCTTGAGGCTCAACACACACACATTATTGTAAACAAGTGCTTGTGATATCACTCAATGTGAGAACACACGCCTCACATGATGAAATACGACAACCCCCATCAACACAATCATGTTGCCGTCGAAATGTCTAGCACTATCTTCTAAAGCAGCTCAATCATACACTTTGTGTGTTCAAATACTCACATACTAGGCCTTTCGTACCATTACATTTCAAGTCGAATACAAAGGTGATTAACGCGGCAGCAATTAAGTCCTTATAACTGGCACTTTGGCGGTCAGAGCACTGACAAAACAGCACCTAAGATATCGTGTGCTGATTCGTTTCTCTCCAACCAAGAATCTATAGTCACATACAAAACTACTTAAGCACCTGGCAGAATACTCACAATGGCTTCCGGAACGGACGGTCCAGACCACCAAAACGGAGCTGACCAGATTCTTTTTGACCACCGAAACCGCCACCTAAATCCCAACACCGACATCACAGACAACAATAGCAAAAATCAAAAACCTCGCACCGTTGCGCAGCCCAGTGTTCGCAGGTCTAGGGCTGCGCAACGCCCGGCGCGTACTTGAGTGACGCTGTGACTGGATTTCATTGAGCAGTACAGTATCTCGGATACTAAGTACACTTTCCTGCTCGCCATGGGTACGTCTCATCAGAGATCCACTGTAGTCCATCCACGAGTATGTAAGTTGTTGTTGTTGTTGTTGTTTGTGTGTTTATTTAGAGTCGAAGAACAAACAGCAGGGCTGCCACTTGCTCCGATTTTTCGGAAATCGTCCGATTTTTGATCGCCTGTCCGACAAACCGACCGATTTTGTTCCCAAAGAGGGACAACCGATTATTATATTTTGAGCGCTTTTTAGTCCAGTTGGCCTTAATTCGGCGCTTCCAGGTCGCGTTTGGCCGGTCTGCATAATTGACATGGTTGTAGTGCGTGTGCTGGACAGTTAAAAATGTGTTCTGGGGCCCCAACAGCAAGCCATTTTCCTAAAAAAAAATAATCACGCGGGGCCCTGCCCCCAGCACCCCCGCCGGGGGACACCCCCTGACCCCCGTCAGATTTTTCTCCCTCCGAGTGTGGCAGCCCTGAAACAGGCAAATTTGCCTAATTTACACTACATGATATCGACTAAAAAGGAGAAAAAGTATAAAAGGCTAGTGAAGGTAATGAAGTCACGCATAACATCTACTCTTTCCGTGTGTAACATCTACTCTCAAATTCACACAGACCATGCTTACCTAAGCGGCGAGGAATCCAGCCAGGTAGATCGCGCTCGCACTCAAAATCGACGAAGATTTCACGACTGTCCAGAGTGCTCTTGTTCAAGCGCTGTCGAAGCCAGCAAAGGAGATAACGGGGAAAACAATTAATTTCGGACCGGACAATGATACGCCCATGACATCATGATGATATCGTCGCCTATGCTTCGTGACAAGCCTTGAGAGACAACGTTTCAGGAAATTTGCAGACGGACAGTATAATTACCTGTTATCACAACGAGCTGACAGGTGATAATAGGCAAATCACTAACAAACCGCAGTATAGTACTGTGGAGTCGGATGGAGAGCCAAGGATAAATTTATAGTAAAGAAAAAAAGGACCAAGAAACTACAAGTTACGCTATAATGTCCACTAACACCACCAGGTTGTTGGAGTGCGCATCCAATATGTGCTAGAGTTGTTAGCCAGTTAGTTGTAGAACATCAGTACCGTCGGTCAGTGTCGTGCAATGTTATCGCATGAGCTGATTGTTTAGAAACTGGTGGTGTTAGTGGACATTATAGCGTAACTTGTAGTTTCTTGGTCCTTTTTTTCTTCTTTACTATTGTACTGTGGCATGCTGAAGAACGGAGCTTTGAAAAACAAACATGCTAGGACTTCAATCAGCACAGCTTTATGATATACACGCAGTGACTCAACCGCACATAGACTTCAGCACTTGAAGCGCAGGAACTGCCTATGCTACGCCGTTGATCCCCCTCCTCGTTCTTCAGCGTCTCACAGTGAACGTAAAGGTAGGCCATAGTCAATTCTGACCGGGGGGGGGGGGGGGGGGGCAAGAGGTGTTAGAGACCTCCTGTTTCAATGAACTGGACACAGTGAGGGCGGTGCTCACTCGACAGTACTGTTGGCTTAAATATTTATAAAAAATCACGGTTCGCTTGGGACTCATTTTGACTGAGTTTTCAGCATCCACCCTGCAAAGACCAAAGGCGTAAATGCAGCAAGATAAATTAAACAACAACAGAGCCATGGCACACAGCTACACTCACCTGCTGAGCACGTCCAGCATCGCTGCTCCGATCAAACTCCACAAAGGCATAACGGCGAGATGCACCGGTGACTGCACATCACAACAAATAGGCGGAATAGGTGCAGCAGCAGCAGCAGCAGCAACGTCAACAACAGGAATGTTTTATTCCCGTAGCTATGCAGAAGACGTTACTTCAGTAACGTCTGGCGCTAGCCAGGGTCCACACAGCTTTAATTTGGTGTTTGTTTGTGTGTTTGTTTGTTTGTGTCACGCCTGGAGCTATCCCGTATCTGTCCCGTATCTGTCCCGTATCTGTGACTAAAAAGGCTCTACAGGATTGTGCATAACAGCTGTCCACAATATTTGCGGGCTCCTGTATCTGTCCCGTACCGTACCAATATTCGTCGTATTATGTATACGACTCCCTGATGTAGAGGGAGATTTGGAAAGAAATAGGGAGACGAGGAGGAAATTAAATTAGAATAGACGCCGAATAGGTGATAGGATGCGTCAGCATAAACATACTTTGGAAGAGAGATCCCGTCGGTCCCAGAAAACGTCAGGACAGACATCCCGTCGACTCCAGAACGCCCGTGATGAGCAGAGTCAGCGCCGGTCCCAGGAAACGTCAGGACAGACATCCTGTCAACTCCAGAACGCCCGTGATCGGCAGAGTCAACGCCGGTCCCGTAGCTATGCAGAAGACGTTACTTCAGTAACTCATTGAAACGTTTTTGCAATACAATGATGTAGCTAATCAAAGGAAAAAACATATCCATCAGTTCTAACAACATGCACGATGAGCTGGGCAACAAAGCATAGCGTAGGGCCCTGAGCTTGCAAGCTCTCTCGTTTCTATACATGTACTAATCGTAACTGCATCTCTTGGCGATTGGGGACAGCCAATGTTCAGTTACAAACTCATTTTTGAAGAAGGGCTGAGGCTTCCTGCAGCTTCATCTGTGAAAAGAATTCGGGTGGACACACCCATTCCCATAGCGCTGCACATCACATCCGAACCAGTTCCGTTATTTTTACAACGGAACTAAAAAAATAAACGAGAGAGCTTGGAAGCTCAGGGCCCTACGCTATGCTTTGTTACTTAGCTCATCGTGCATGTTGTGGGAACTGATGGAAATGTTTCCTGGGACGGCGCTGACTCTGCCGAGCACGCGCGTTCTGGAGTCGACGGGATCTCTCTGCCGACGTTTCCTGTGACCGGCGCTGACTCGCCCGTTCACGCCTATTTTGGGGACGACGGGATCTCTCTTCCAAAGCATGTTTTTGCTGACGCATCGTATCACCTATTCGGCAACTAACATCCATTCTAATTTCATTTCCTCCTCGTCTCCTTATTTCTTTCCAGAAAAGTCTCTCTATACATCAGGGAGTCGTACTGTATTGGCAGCTACCCTAACGGGTCACGCCGCCCACCACCCAAGCATGGGTATGATGAGGGACAGTGGCAACAGAAACAAAAAAACAGCAAGCAGGGAGAGAAAGCAAGAGAAAGACGGCGATAGTAGTACATCTGGTGTGCGACGTATAGAAAAGAGAGATGACAAGAGATGCGCACAAAATAGGAAACAATAATTATTTTTGCAGTTCCGAAACAATCAACCAGGTGATGGAGTGTGGGCACCCGAAGTCCCGCCTGGACTCCACTGGAAGAACATCCCACGCAGGGATATCAGCGATAGGCCAAGTGTTGAAAAACAGCCATGAGGACACATCGTCTAGAAGTCCACCGCGCTCGAACTGAAATTGCAGGTTCAAACAATTTACCACGCGGCGTCAGGCAGCGTAACTCTTCTCCCTGCATCACCATCCATCTCCAGCAACCGTCTCCACTCACAGCTCATGCCTCTGCCACCACTGTACTCCTCCAAGCTTCGCAGTTTGAAACCATTCGGGGGTCAGCTACACCACCGCGAATGGAGAGACGAGGACGACAACGGTCGTGACTGAAAAGACACTGCCTTGGCGACCGCGTCGCGGAACCCTCGCCCCAGCAAATTCAGAAATACGCCAGGGGCAACTCTGGTGGACCCAGAGCCACCTCCTTGGCAAGACTAGTAAGAGAAGCGACTGAAAACTCAGATAAAACGGAGCTACAAAAAGTGCAACCGTCCCCTTCAAGCACAGTTGCAACACACAGGGAGTCGTATACATGTACATAATTTTGTGGCCAGCTGTTTGTAGCCAGCTGTGTTTGATGGTACGGTACGGTACGGGACAGATACGGGAGCCAGCAAATGGCCAGCTGTGCGATACGGTACGGGACAGATACGGGATAGAGCCAGGCGTGACACAAACAAACAAACACCAAATTAAAGCTGTGTGGACCCTGGCTAGCGCCAGACGTTACTGAAGTAACGTCTTCTGCATAGCTACGGGAATAAAAAAATAAAAATAACGGAACTGGTTCGGATGTGATGTGCAGCGCTATGGGAATGGGTGTGTCCACCCGAATTCTTTTCACAAACTCATTTTTGCTTTAATTAATACTTGCTTTGTTTTCCTAGCTTACTATTGCCGTGGCTGGCTCAACGCCCTTGTCTCAGGGGATTCTGTCCCTGCATTAGCTATGCTTGTCACATGCTATGAGATTGTGTCTAATAATAATAATAATACATTATTCTAAAGAAAAGACAAGAGAAATCATTTGAGACAAGAGCCAGGAGAGAAAAGCCAGGGGGTCATGACGAATTCTATAAACTTGGGTATAAGATACCTTAGAGGGGCGAGCTTTTTTACAGGTTGCAGTAAGAGAAGCCACATCAAGCACACGAGAAAGATGGCTAAGTTAGGTACATGCAGGGGAGAAGTGCTCTTGGTCATTGGCCATCACGAGAATTAACAATCATGCTGCTCCACTCCACTTTGCTCATTTCGTGATGCTTGTATTTGTCAAGTTAGTTTTCCCAAATCCACAGCAGAATAGCCACAAGCTCTTACCAATGTCCTTGACTAATCGTACGTTCACCAGCTTCCCATACTTCTCACAGCATTCGCGAATCGTTTCTGCAATGACCCAACAAAAAAGGAAAGCACAATGTAGGAACATATGTGCAAATAGTGAGAGCTGTCAAGACTCCACCGAACACCATTCTGAGCATCTACACTGAATCAGCAAAGCAATGAGCCTTGCTAGTAACACTGACGTCAAGCCACCGAATCAGCATAGCAGTGAGCCTACATATAGCTAGTGCTAGTAAAACCTGATGTAAAGTGCAATCATGGTGTGCACCGTACACGGATGAGCCCTTTCTCTCACCTTCGCTCGTCTCTGGGGACAAGCGTCCGACGAACAGGGTCCTGCGAGCTACACCAGCCACTTGTTTGTTAGGGTGATCTACAGTGTACACCAGGGTCAGAGAATAATACAAAAAGAGATGAGAAAAACAACAAGGGACATACAGTAGTCGCGCGCCGAAGAACGTTGAGCCCAAGAACGTCCAGCCTGAAATGCTAAGAACTCCACAGCCTAAAGCTAAGAACGGCGGTGTTGTTTTCCCAGCAGCTTTTGGGATAGATATGATCAAGTACGAATTGTTTTAAGAAAGTGCTATAGGAACGCAGCCAGATTGTCCAACAAAATAAGAACGCCCCAGGCTAACCCCTTGGAAACAACGTTCTTGGACGCGAGACTCTACTGTAGAACAACACAGTACTGACTCATACAAGACCAAAGTGAAAAACGGTTGGCGATAACAGTCACGGCAGTGCACACAAAAAAAGAAGGAAAAAAGGACAAAATCACTTGCACATGTTCTGTTTGGTGCCTGTGGCATATATTTTAGAGTAGTCGCGTATCGTGTTATTTCTTTCCTTCTTTTCTTTTGTGATGTTTTGTTAACCTCTTTTCTCTCTCTCTCTCTCTCTCTCTCTCTCTCTCTCTCTCTCTCTCTCTCTCTCTCGTATAGTACATGCATGTGTGAATTATTATCTGCTCGCAGCGCTGCTCATTTTTAAACCCGTCCTAGCCAGTATGCTCACTTCATTCCTGATGATGGTTATTTTATGACCGGAACGTTGAAACACTTTTTCCTGAAATGAATTTGTGGAAAGCAGTGATTGGGTGTGAGCAAGTGTTGCTCAGAAACCACTTTTTTTACTTATGAAGCCGCGTGACGTGCCCTACAGGATTTTTAATCTTTATTTATATACCAGGCACAGAACACATTGTTCAAATTAGCACATCAGAATAACTATACTTGATGTGCTGCTCGATTTATTCACTGCCATAATTTTTTTTGTCTCCTCGTAAATTCTCTCTTCAATATTTTCGTAAATTGTCCATCTACTAGTATGACAAGGTATAGAGATAAACATTTCTTAGAGCTTACACTTCGCAAGCATGGCACGAAGTACTCCACGATCGTGCGGCACAGTGTCAGTGCCATCGATGCTGCCAGCTTGCAGGGGTTTATATACCTTGGCGATGGGAGTCCAATTAGACGACGACATTGCTATTTTGCATGCAGTGAATGACAGAATTTTTGAAAAGAGAAAATATAAGAAAGATGTCTTCACTGCAGATGTTGGTAGCCCTACAGAGCCTCCCTTAGCCTTTGAGGGCGGTAACCTTGCCCACACAGTTTCAAGAAGGGCTTTAGGACTTCAGTTTAGATGCTGGTTGGAAGAGCTCGCACACGAAGATTCCATTGACTCATAGAAGAAAAAATATTATTGTGCTTGAAAGCCCATTTCAAAAAATTGAAAGAATGGATATGAGGGTGCACGTGCGCTGCATGCATCCAGAATCCTCGCGTCAGTGCTATGGTTACTATTTTGCGCGTTGCACGCTCAGAGGACGCGTACAACCAGTTACCTACAAACTACTGCAAGCCGGACGACAAGGCGTCTCCATTACATGACATGTCTCTGCCTCTCTCTTTCTCTCAGCTCTACTCTGATCAAGCATGGATGATCTGGGACTGCGGATACAAGCCGAAGGACTTTCGACACAGCCGAGTCAACACGGTGCTGGAGTTGCCATGTTGGCTTCCCGGTACTAGTATCAACCTTCTTGCCAATCTTGGAGTACTGTCTTGTTCGATTCGACCAAGTCTGGTGTACCAGTGATGGATTTCAAACGTGACGAAATCTTCAACTGTCAGAGAACATCGTCATGTGTTTGGAGCGAAGACGAGGTATGTTCAACTAACTTCTATTCTTCACTATTTCAAACTACAGACTACAGTGCAATATTTTACTTTTGAAATGCACTTGCATGTCACGTATTTGTCAGCACAATCCACTTCCATAAACAGAGCGGTGTTTGCTTTTGGGCCATATTTGGTAGCACAATTGAAGGCCAGCACACAGTCATTGTATTAAAGTCTAGTCAAATACTGAAAATGTGCATGATGCTGTTGGGACCGTAAAGAAAGGGGTAGCACTAACTAACACCGTTCACAGCAAAGCATGCCGGATCCAGGTCCACAATCAGGACAGCCGGAAGCAGCTTTTGATTGGTCCGGTAGTCACATGACTGTGGCCTTTCATACTTCGGGTATCGAAATGTTGGATCATGTGACATATGCCCTCCACAGTAGTCAAAGCCCAAATTTGCTAGCAATTCTTTGAGCAAAATATCGGATGCGCAAGTTTCCGGCAAGTTTTGAGCAAAATATCGAGTTTTGGTGGGCTTTTCGAAAAATCCAAGGCTTCTTAGGGACTTTTCCAACACAATCAGTCACCAAGGTTGAAAACAAGCACAAAAGCTGTAGAAAACAGACTCATGGCTACATTTCAGTGGAAAGTTGAGCAGCAGCAGGAGCTCAATCAAAAATATCATCGTCATCAGCGACAATTATCGTTGAGTTTTCCCTAAAATTCATTTCATCTCGAGCAAAACCAAAGCAAAATACCGACGGAGAAAGGAAATGCCAAGCAGAATATCGAAAATGTTGTGGCAAAATGGTGCGGCAAAATATCGATGTAGGCCGAGCAAATTTGGGCCATGACTACTCCACAGTGCTAAACACATGTTGGTGGCCGCAACGTTGGTCCGGTAATAACCTGTCCAACCGGACCGGTTCCGGCGGGCCTGACAATGCAGTACCAGCCTGCGTGTATGCACGCATACAGGGGAGTCAGAAGGCATTCCGCTTTTTGTTCCGGGGCCGGGGGCCCCTCCCCCGGGAACTTGAATTGTTTTGGAAAACTGGGTCAAAAGGCAAAAATCCCACGGTTTTATTGCTTGAATAACAAGATAAAATTGTTGAACTGCACCTGCCGCACCGGTTCCGACGCCCCTGACAGACATGTAACAGGCACTCACTAGCGCCTTTGTCCACTCGACCTCGTTTCCGAGTTTGGGCCGAAGACCTTACGACAGTAATAACTAATAAACAATGTGTTTGAGTGGCCTCAGCGATGTCTATGCCTGTCATCAAGAGTCACAAGAGTATGCAACTGTGATCTCTTTTCTACGGGCCAGATGCGTGGCGCGCTGCCTTCATTACATCATTCAGCTGCAGTCCGCGCACTGCGGAAAATCAAACGACGCACTTTCCCTCTGCTTTGAAATGAACTTTCGTACGGAACTGGAGTTCACATGCCAGAATTTAGAGATCGCGTAGGTACTGGAACGAATCGAGCAAAAACAGATGGGCTCGTACGAGAAATTGTGAGTTTGAATGCATGCTTTCAGAGCGTGATGAAGGCAGCGCACCGCGCACTGACCCATAATCACAGTTGCATACTCTGTTTATGCACTCTTGCTGTCATAAATGAACCTTACCGCAACATGCTGTACAAGGACTGGCCCTGTGTTGGGCATGGTTGCCCTGGGCAACCGAAGCGGAACCGGCCCACTCCAGTGTGCTTGCATGCTGTACATGACTTGGAAATCCCTGTCGAGTCAACGATGACTGACGAGGCCTATGCCTGAGAAACCTGGCTGGTTTCCTTACCATCACCCTGGTTGAAGTGGGTGTGAATAAGCCGGATCACCCCTAGCTTACCGCTCCACGCCTCTAGAGATGATAACCCTTCAGGGCCGCCGGAACCGGACCGACTCTGGCTCAGGTCACCCCCTGGGATTCGTCTAAAACCAGGGAGAGAAAATTCTGGGTACATGTACATTGTATTATCGATCATGCATACCTACATAATTTTGTACATGCTCCTATAGTAGGCCATACATTGTACATTGATATCCATGCAAAATTATTCCTTGTAGTGGGCTCTAGAGCTCTGAAAACTTAAATTCTGCTATTTCTGACTGGATTTTTCCAAACATGCCCGGGGGAGATCCCCCGGACCCCCCCCCCCCCCCCAAACCGGACCAACTTCGACCGCCTTCCGGCAGGCTTGCCCTTTCTCAGTGTGGATGCCCATGCATGTGTACAGACGTGTGTACAGACATGTGTACAGACATGTGTATTCGTCTTGATGTGTGGCTACTGTGCAATGCCTTTCTCGTCTGCCGTTCTTGTCAGTTTTGCGATGACACGGCTGATCTCCTGGACTATGATGGAGACGACCTGGACCTCCTCCAAGAGGACAGCACTCACAACAGTGCCGCGGTTGATCAACAGTGCGCTGAGACCACCACTGCAAAAGGTATGTGCAAGAGTTTATAACCCCCCAAGAGTGTGCAACTCCTGATACCCTTTCTATGGTATTCGCCGACGGCGAAAACTCACATCACGTTGTGCAGTGTCGCAGTTGTACGTTTCAAGCCCATTTTTAGCGAGAAGCGGAGTAATAAAAAAGCCCTCTCTGACAGAAACTCACTGCGCGTATGCAAATCTCCAGCATGACTATCGTGATCATGGCAGATATTCGGGTTGCGTGCACGCTATCCTACGTTTGCACATAGAACGAAACATACCTGAGACACGTGATGTGAGGTTTCGCCGTCGGAGACCCCATATGCAGAGTTGCACGCTCTTGGGGGGTTATTTACTCTTGGTGTTAGTGTGTGAATAATTATTAGTCTGAGCAGTGGTTGGAGCATGGCTGGCCTCAAGTGAAGGTACCTGGTTCGAGTCCTGGTTGTGACAGTCAAATTTTTCTTCAGACTTTTCCCATTTGCATCTTTCCATCAAACCAATGAATGAGTATAGAGAGGGCAGTTTGGCTTGTCTGTGCATATACATGTACTAGTACATGAGGGGGCGCTGACTGCCCAGGTGTGTTCAGATAACTACAGTGAATGCACACCAGCTGTAGGCACTGCCTTGTCTATCTTGGTGCTGATAACACCTACCCTAGCCGAAATACTTCTTTGGTTGCAGCATTCCATTATTGAGCTTAACGGCACAGCACAAAGGGCATGGCAGCTGAAGTTGTAGTTTATGGCTGAGTGTAAAGGAGTTTAAAACTGTTTGAGATATATCGTGAGACGTCTTGGTCATATTATGGTTTCCAGCTCAGTGGTAACTATGTGTGCATCAGTGATATGCTATCCTATCCCCCTATGCTGTACTGTTACACTCTGCCTCATTGTGGCTGAACAGAAGTATAATGAATGTCACGGCTTCTGTCCCCTCCTCGTAAAGGTCACTCTTTCCGAGAAAATATGTGAGTACGGGGAATCGGATGTGTGCCAGTATGCCAATGGTGTCTGAAGCTATTATGGAATGGATACAGATGTTCTCTTGGCTGAGTAAGCATATTGCCTTGACATGGTGTACTGTAACACGGCATCATGTTTATTACTAATGTGTGAGCATCGCCGGCTTGTAGTGAAGGACCTTGGCTCGGGTCCTGATGTTGACAGTCCATTAATTTTGTTCGGTGGAAAAACGGTGGCCAATTGTAAATAATTGCTGACTGTACCAAATGTACCATTTATTGGATTTAGAAATGGCCTCGTCACCCAACAACTCAGAGCTGTAAAGATTATGGGATGAAACGACTGGTTCGATAAGGTTGAGTCGATAGAAGGAAAGCTCGCTTTTGTCTGATGACATGTAGCGCTGATATCACACAGGGTTCACTGTGTATCACTTCTCCATCTGTCAGGTGCAGTTCAGGAAGATGAGGCCAGAGCACGAGCAGCAGTGCAGACCTCCTCTGGCAGGTCACGTACTGTCAACAACGACGCGGAGATGTCACCAACCAGTAGAGACCAAAATGGCAAAGCTGTAGACAGTGATAGTGACGAGGGCTTAGTTTCAACTGACGGAAGTAGCGATGGCGAGACTAACGACGGCCACCAATCCCACAGTAATACTACTGCATCAAACCCTCGTATGATTAGCACTCGTGCAAATCATCAACACGGTGACCTAAACGGAACCGACTTACCATCATCTGCCGTCAACAGCCACGGCAAGCCTGGTATGACGAATCGTGACACATCACCACCACCATCTCTTCAGGTGCCACACTTTGCAAACATTGGGCAGCAGCGTAGCTTCTCCGACCTGGTGCACGTTCGCGAGCGCCAGGAGAGAACCGGCCCCTCTCCGTATGCCGGCCCGTCGCCCAGTAGCGCTCAGCACGGGGGAGCTGCAACTTCGCAGCGTCATTCCGACCCACCACCGCTGCTGGAATGCAACGACGGCAGTGGCAGCAGTCACATGCCATTGATGGAGAGTGACGTCGACGACAGCCGGAGCGTTGCGGGTACGGTGGAGGTGGTAAAGGAGCAGGTACGGTCAGTGGGTACACTGTTGTTAGGCTCATGCCGTGTATTTATACCCACTTTAAATAAAGTATACAACCACAACAACGCCGACGACGACGACAACAGCAACAACATCAGCAGCAGCAACAACAACAACTACAACAACAACAACTACAATAACACCAACAACAACAAGAATAAAGATTTGAAACAACAACAACAACAACAACAACAACAAATTTCTCTTATTGGCCACAGGCCATCATGAGAATAAAAGATTTTAAACAACAGCTTTCTCTTATTGGCCACAGGCCATCGTGAGAATATAAGATTTCAAACAACAACAACAACAACAACAACAACAACAACAACAACAACAACAACAACAACAACAGTGTCTGTTTCTACCTGTAGCATAATGACTACTTGAACTCAAATTGAAAACAACAGGGCAAAGAAAACAGTGGGGCACAGGTTATGCATTAGAGAATCCACTAACTAGACCAGATTAGGAACCGATGTTTTCCATGTTTCAATTTAATACTCTTGGCTCGCCATCTGAGTGCTTTTTTTAACTTAGGTTGACTTCTATCACCTATTTTCAGGCACCGGCTTCCATTGGTTGGCCTCATCCTCGCAGCTGCTGTCCAATGCACCCGTTTCACCACATGCCCGTGGTGGCAGAGGGTGACGGTGAGAGCAGCCAGCCGGCCAACATGGACGTCATCGAGGGTATGCTGAGCTACGCGTCGCATCGCGCCAACGCCAAGTACTGCACGCTGTGCTACTGTTACGTCTGTGACTGCAAAGCATCCGAGGTAATCCTGCAGTGGAAAAAAATTAAATTTCGAATACTTCAAAAGCAGAAATTTTCGACGGTGTTCTATTTTCGGTAACTTCGGTGCCGAAATTTTTACCGAAAACAAAACGCACCGAAAATTTTGGTATAGTACACTTCCCCGAAAAACAGGTTTACCAAAAATTTCCCTGCACCAAACCGCCGATTTTGGAGAATACCAAAAAATTAATTACACCACCGAAAATTTCTGCTTTTACGGGTTTTACAGTAACACTACAGTAGAGCTCTTTTAAGACTACCCGGTCCCCCATGGTCAGCAGGATAGTTAGTGTGCATACTATCCAAGGTACTTGCACTTCTTATCCGAACCTGTTTTAACATGGATTAGTACTGCTCCGGACAATGATTGTACTATGTAATAGCAGTGACCGAATGCGTACTAAGTGAGTTCCACTGTACAGTAAGTATCGTTTATAAAGTGACCGGATATAATGATATACCGGTTATAGTGATAGAACACGTCAAAATCAAAATCAAATCTGAAAAAATACAGCTAAAATATCACTATATACACTATTATCGGCTATACCGATATATCGCTTATTGTGATGGCCTTCAGGAAGCAAACCATATCAAATGTACAGGAAAATATCGCATATAATGATCAAGAGTGATCTTTCTGCATGCTCTTGTCCGTTTCTGGCTGTGTTGCCTCTCACGATGATGTTGCCAACTCACGTACACAGCCACTCATGTCTATTTCTGGCTCTACGCAACTCGTTGGACACCGAGTAGATCTACGATCTACGTGAGCACGGATCCAGCTCAGGCTTTTTTTGGAGAACACGCTGAAGAAGCAGCCATGCCATAACATGATGTATCGAAGTTCTAGTACATGTACAGTCTGTACTCGTACGGCACTGCCATGCACTGCTCTGTGTCATGCACCGGTACGGTACACAGTCCGCGGAGCATGCATGCACTTTCAGCATGCTTTTTCCAGCGTGTACGCATCATTTCATGTGCAGTCATGTGCCATGTGTCGGTCAAACATGCAAATCGGCTATAGTGATGCACCGGATATAGTGATACATTTTCGAAAATCAAAGGGGCACGCTATATCCGATATTAACTGTACATCTGTGTCATACTGTAAAAGCCATATATAATATATAACGAAGTTAACGAGGAGAAATCTGTCGTTAAAATAGAAATCGTTATACAGAAATCGATACATATACTGTCCTATTGAACGTTGAGAATGAGTGAGAATCGTTACCTTTGTTACACGTAAACTAGTCGATTTTGGGAAATCGTTATATATGCGCCTCGTTAGAATAATGGCTTTTACAGTACTTTTGAGAAAAGGTCAAACCCATCAACACTGCATGTATGGCTTGGATCAAAGACATGAAGGTTGTGATCATGTGACACTAAGTTCAGGTCAAGAAAATGTTTGAGGCCATGGCTAGTTTGACTGGAAAATTCCAAAGAAAAGAATGGATTTCGAAAATTTGGTCTAGGCGGCACTTTGCTATCAAGCTCTTCAGTTACTATGGTCGTATAGACACAATCATAGGAGCTAGTATGTCTAGGCCATGTTTCAGTCATTGATGAAGGCGTATGATGTTACCGGTGCATACACAGGCTAATGCTTACCTGCACTGCACTGTACACTTGCATGCTGAGGTGGCACAACGGACATGTACGTGAGTGCCTGTACTGCATCTTGTTTGATCGGTTGATTTGTTGGTTGGTATATTTTCATTGTACTTCGCCAGGAAAAACAGGCACTGCTGCTTTCCTTCCTGGACAAACATTGCCCAAGCTCTCACAAAATGACGAAGAATCTTGATCCTATTTGTTTTCCCAGTGCCTCCAGTGGCGCGATCCTCGCTGCGCCCACTGTCACGCTCACAGTCGCTTTCGGCCCTGGTCAGGAGAACGCCAACGCTACAAGAAGTTCTTCTTGCCCAGTATCCGTGCCACCTACAAGATGCCAGACATCAGTCCGTCGACCATTATGCAACTGGGAATCAGGAAACGTGAGCATGAGGGCAGAGAGAGAGCGAGAGAGAGAGAGAGAGAGAGAGAGAGAGAGAGAGAGAGAGAGAGAGAGAGAGAGAGAGAGAGAGAGAGAGAGAGAGAGAGAGAGAGAGCGAGAGAGAGAGAGAGAGAGAGAGAGAGAGAGAGAGAGAGAGAGAGAGAGAGAGAGAGAGAGAGAGAGAGAGGGGGGAGGGAGGGAGGGAGGGAGGGAGGGAGGGAGGGAGGGAGGGAGAGAGAGAGTCGAGTGTGTCGCTAATCCCAAATGGCGAGAGAGGGAGGGAGGGAGGTAGGGAGAGAGAGTCGAGTGTGTCGCTAATCCCAAATGGCGATATTTGTGGATGGCCCTCAATGCATTAAAATGGATGACTTTGCGCTCATTTTCTCATACCAGGTGCTGAAGAAGGCTTGCCGTCTGCCGTCGATTTCTTACTGAACACTACTCGCTACAAGTTTCCTCGCTTGTCGTTTGGCGAGGAGGACATTGCCAACGTGCCGTGGTCTTTCGTTCCGTCCCTGGTGGCTCTGCTGACACGCTGGCACTTCTGTTTGCTGCTCCGGCGGTTGTGCAGCTACAATGCTGACATTTCGGGGGTTAGTTTGTGGTGCTTATCCAGCCATTGCTGTATTCTGATCTCTGAACTACATTAGAATGGCAATAAAAAGAAGTAATTCCGCCGTCATCACCGTACAACAAAGAAGTCATGATAATGACGACGGCGGGATTTTTTCTTGTATTACCATTTTAAACCTCGTCGATTATTTACGAACTACATTAGATGTACATTAGATCTGTCATTTTGATCTGTCATTTTGATGCAAATTAATTCCTTCACAACTTCACAACTTCATCGGAATTCGACCCCTGAACTGCAAAGTTGCTATTGACATTGCTATTGACAAAGTTATTTGAGAGATATGAAAAGTTGCAGATATGACCATACAACATGGCAACATACGGTCAACCGAACGGACGAATCACTGCTATGCAGTAGATATTATTGCAGTATACGAATACTCAACCTGCGGACAGCATGCTGTTTCGTCTGTTGTGGACTCATCAGCGCAGCACAGAGGAAATGAGGCAGAACCTAATAGCAATGAAAAAATTCCAAAGCCGGATTTAAACCAGGCCGGAATGTACCTTGCCGGAGTATTCAAACTTACAAGTCGCAATATGCAAGTAAATAGTTATCTGCTCAATGATGCTTTCATTCTCATATTATTGTTGTGCAGCCCATGCTGTCTGCGGCAGCACCGGTGTCGGAGGTTTGCAGCGGCGATGTTTCCGGTGAGCTTCCGTCGACCGTTCCCGGCCACGTCGACCCGGACGCCATCGTGGTACTCGTACTGCAGAGTCTGTTCTACAATGTCAGTCTAGCTAGCTGGGTAAGGAGACTAGCGCTGTGTCCGGTGACCTCTTCTTTGTGTATCGGGTTTGGGTACCCTTCTAAGAGTTACATGGGTAGCCATGGTAACCCTATCGGCTAGTGTTACTGACTTTTTCATGATGCCAATGTCTATAAGCCCATTGTGCATTGCCAAATATGGAAGGTATGAGTAATGCATGTGAGTACACTGGGATCAGCAATGCACTGTTCAACACCCCAGACGACCATGCCCAGGTGGCTGTGTGGGGTGTTTATGGTACAAATTACGTCATTGCGCAATGGGCTTATTCATGTGTTTAATGTTGATGAATGTAGGAGACAACAATACGTCAGGGGCTTGTGTTGAGTTTCCTCAGGTGGGTCAAATAAAACTCGTTCTGTTTTTCACTGAATCATTTGATATCAAACACTTGAATACTCGTACCTTATTACGAAGAAGCACTTTTGGGCGGTATTAATCCCATTTTTCTGTTTGCATGGATGTTCACATATCCAATATGCACCTCGTACCCAGGATGTCCTGCTCCGCTGGCTAATATCCATGATCGTGTCTGATGACTGGGTCTGCAATGGCTCTGGTTTTGTTTTGCGCGCAGAGGTACGATCACATACTCGTATGTAACTGTTACAACGATGTCGTTTTTCAATGTTTCACTGTAGGCGCTGTCGAGTGAGAGAGTGTGTGTGGGGGGGGGGGGGGGGGGCTGGGTTCTTCCTGAAAGCTTGTCCAGGTGTGCGACGTAAGCAGTCAATGTGAAAATCACCAATCCAGGTTTAAACCCTTATGCGCTGTTCCGGCTAAGCCTATAAAGGATGTCTGAAGTATCTGGAAAATTGAAAATGACCAAGAGGATGTTTCAACCACTTTGGCCACTGATTTGCTACATCTTAATAAGTTGTCGAGCTCATCCTGAGCGATCACAAGCCACTGCTGACAAATCTCATCAGGACAGTGGTAAGTTCTTTCCGTACGGATGACAACTGAAGCATGAGCATAACATAGCCTTTATAATAGAGACAGTGCATGACACTGAGCAGCCTGTGTTACAGATATCTTAGTAGGGCTGTGGTTGAAATTTTGATCTTGGTGGGATAGAAAGCATAAAGTGTAGAATCAGTGGAATGTGTTGTTGTCTTTGCTGTTTACGTGTATGATTGTAGGGTCTTTTGGAGAGCGTGGAGCTGCTGGCTGAATGTTTGCCGAAGTGGCAAACGCCATTGACAGTCGCCGACCTCAAGCATCAGAGCGACCGGAATATGTCTGTTCCTCCACAGGTCTCTGAACTGCATAGATAGACTGAGCCCAAGTTGAGAGCGCATAGCCCCTGCCCCACCCCACCCACCCACGCGTACACAGACTCTTGCTGAGAGCCTGAGACATGGTAAATATAAATGGCAGCCAACAAGTTCCTACCCCAACTTCTGGTTTGAGAAGTTAAAACTGTGACCGAGAAGCGTAGACCGAAAAGGGCCGAATGCAAACTGTGCTGGTTTCAGCCTCCACATGACTGTAGAGTAGCACTCTGATCTCCTCAAACATGTTGTTGTAGTGGTGTTCTTCAAATCTACAGTATCCAGTTGGCGTGTAAAGTGCACCATTTTACTTGTAAGTTTCGACTTGAGGGCGGCCATTGCATTTTCTCTCGGGTAGGCATGTAAACTGCTCCATCAAGTCGGAAATTATAGCAGCGTTTTCGACCCGAGGTTGGCCATGGTATATGCTCTAGTGTGATTCCTGACTAGCATAGTACTGATTACCGCCGTGTCGCGTATAAAAACATGACTCGAATAGAAGCATGACTCAAAAATAGAAGTCGATTTTTTGAAGTGCGCCATGACGCGGAAGCACGATTTGAATAGAAGCCGGTCTGTGCAAAGACGCGTGCAAGTACTTGCACAGTACATGCGTGGCAGCATGCACTGCACAGTGTACACTGATGATGTTGACGTAGAAGCGTGTTTTGAATAGAAGCATAACTTGAATAGAAGCATGGTTTGAACCCCGGCTTACACGGCCGTAAGCACCTGCTTTTACACGCGACATTACGGTACTTCCATTGAATGCACACCTGTCATGATTGTGTTCCTTCTATGTGCATTGATGGTCCAATGCTACACAATGCTTACTATTGACATTGGCGTTGCGTGCTTTCATCTCCAGATTGGTCGGGTGCTGCTGGTCGCGTACGGAGTTCGCCAATTACACAAGAAATCTCCTGTGATGATTGCTACGTGTATTGATGCCTTTTTGGTGAGACCGGTTGTCGGGCATGCATGTGTGGGGGTGGGGGTGGGGTCATGAGTTTGTGAGTCATATGGACGTTTGTTTGTGAGTGGGTAGGGGTGGGTGTATGTCCTTATATACGTGTGTTTGTGTGGGGCAGGGGTACATGGGTGGGGGCAGGGGTACATGGGTGGGGGCAGGGGTACATGGGTGGGTGCAGGAATAGTTCTGTTGTTGTTTTTCAGAAATAATCTGACGAGGAAGAAAATTCAGGTGAACACGGCTTTATGAAGCATCGTTCCAAACTGTTTAACTCTCGTTTGCCCAATCAACTCTGTGTTTACATCATTTGCTGTAGAAGCGTAAGTGCTACTGGGTAGTCTGGCATATTGCTGCAATCCCGGAGTTGACGTCATCGCGACCGTTCGTCAAGTGGATGTTTCAGAAGCTCATGCAGCAGGGCCACATCTTCGACGTTCCCCTCGTCACCGGCCTAGTTCAGACGTGAGTGCATAATGTGTGACATGCATTCATAGCTGACGTCTCGTAGCATTAGGAGTGTGTTTGTATTGTATTTACTGTTTATGGATTCTCCACAGGCCTTGGCCTAAATCAAGGGAGTCTCCGTGTAAATGGTACTTCAGTATGTTGTTGTCTTGTTATCATTGTTGTTGATGAACCTCATGCAGCTCGTATCTTAGAGTTCAAGATGTAGCCATCTACAATCCTAGCCAGAGAAACAGGACTCCATGAATATCATAGCTCTGGGGGCTACAGGGCCCTAACACCACACACACACACGCACGCACACACACACACACACACACACACAACGCTCTGCGGACTTGAGCGCAGCGGCGCTACTTTATTCATGAGGTCGGAATTCCGCGATCGCTGCCATTGCACACCCGTTTTTTTGTTTTTATTTCTCTAGTAGTAGTACCGGGGAAAGAAGGAATTATTTACTTTTACCACTCGGATGATGAGCCAATGAAAATTTTAAATGGAAACATGGAAAACGGTGGGGCAAAAGTTATGCTTAGCACTACCGAGCAGTGCTCAAGCTCACTTCCTTGCCGTGGAATGTCTCAGTACTCCTTGTCGGGCTGGTGCTACCTTGTGCACGTCTGACTGTTCAAAACCGGGTTTAGTTGGTGGACTCTTAACACGTAACTTGTGCCCCGCCGGTTTCCTTGTTTCCTTTAGTTTGAGATTCAACGCGTACAGTGCACTACATGGCGCCTGTTTTTGTATTGGTGTAAAAGCCATACACCAACCTGGTCTTTATAAACTGTTATAGTCGTTTTAAATGTTTTTGGTATCTCTCCTGCTGCACTGCTATATTGTTGGTGGGAACGCAGTCCTGCCCTCGGTGCCCAGCTTCATGTAAGCGGTGGCATTAGACACCAGGATGCTGGCTGTATTGGTTCAGAGAACGCTGTCTTCTTCTAGTCAGGCGAAAATATCATCACACAATTTATGGTTTCCGATGTGACAAGTTGATGCCCCAAACAGGAAAATACTGCAATGAGAAATGGAGTACAGAAATCAATGCTCCGCTTAGCACAACTGACGTCTAATCCGATAATTGTGTGGCTATGTTGTGCTCGTCATCTGCTCATCTCCATGACCAGCTGGTTTACTGAGCTGTCAGATCTGGGTCTGCTACTGCGTATTGGAAAATTCTTGCTAGACTTGGAAGGTAGGTACCACTAACTTAGCTGGGTCTGGACATTTCCGCTGGAATATCATTATAGAAGATGAAGTTCAAAGCATCGGCATTCTGCCATTCCGATTATCAGTGACCTCAACCCCACTGCATGTAGCGGCATTGCACAATTCCACTAGCCATTCTCCATGCGTACGTCATCGCTGCACCATCAGCGGGAGGTTTGTGAGAGATTTTTCTGGTTAAATTCCTCTTTTGACCCAGTACACCAGTAGAGATGTAGCAAAAATGGAACTGACTAGCTCACCTCAACTCTGAAGCCTGATTTGTGCTTCATTTCCCGTACGCTACAGTGAAGAGTATTATTATAAGCGTTTCCGCGTTGAAGTGTAACTGCAGCATGCTGCGTCCACAGCTTCGCTTTTGCTGAATGGCTTGGGTGAGAGGAGAGAGGAGAGAAAGCAGCTAGGCAATCAACATCTCATATGTCACAATTACATGAAGAGAAGAGTATAGATCAGGTTGAGAAACGAGCATCTCTGTGAGTTCATTTGGTGTGACATTCTAGGACAAATGTGATGCTGTTTGTTGCACTGACACCTTTACCAGCTTAATGTAGTATGACATGTGCAGGTAATCTGTGTGTTTCCCTAATGTATCCATGCAGAGATTGGTGGCGGCTTGTCATATTCCGCTGTGCTTGGCTTGTTCCGAACACTGGTATGCCGTGCGGCGTCCCCCGGGTAAGTCTGTACGGGAGTGCACCCATGTTTAGCCTCTTTCCTCACACAGGCAAGTCAACAAGCGGGGCCTTTTGGGATTCAGGAGTGCTGTTTCGAAAAAAAAATGGTTTCAAACTCAAAGTAGAGCTCCTGCTAGCTTCAACAACTAGCACTGCTGTTAGCTCGAAAAAGAGTTGTTAGCTCAAAGTAGAACTTCTAGTACCCCAGCTGTCATCCCCGGGACAACCAACTTTTGCTTTTCGGTAAAACGTCACCACTCACCCTTTGCGGTGGACTTTCTCCTTTGTTCTAGGGCCGTGTTGTAGGCTGCATCTGCTAGGCAATGTTCCCAAGGCCGCTTTTAAACTTGCTGAATAGAGTACGTAAGTGGCATTCGGTACATCGTCGGGCACAGGCGCATAATTATACTTGTAGGTAATACATCATGGACATCTCTCAACATCCACTGCACTCTACTGCAGTCATCCATTTGAAGATGGGCCTTAACCGGAAAATTCAGATGGTTAAACCGTTTTACATTTTATTATTTTGAAATGACCCAAAGGCAATGTGCCTATCGAGGGGTTCATTTGATTGAAAGAACAGTAGATGTAGATGTATGTACAAAGACAAGTAGGGATTGATGAGGAGAGAAATGGGGAAAATCAACTGCAAGGTGGCGGAATTCCGTTGATTGCATAAGCATGGTCAGCTGTAAATTTCCTGAGGGCAGCTTTGAACTTATAGAGCAAGGCTTCCGATGTTAGACTGGGGGGGGGGGGGGGGGGGGTAAACAGCTCCATAGAAATTTTCATTCTTTTTCAGCAATTGATGTAGCCCAGAGACCGCTTGGAGAGTGCTGTGAGGACATATTATAATTGTACTTGTAGGTGTCATGTTATATTGCCTCCATCTGTGCTTTCTGCTTCCCCTTTCCTAAACAATAGAAGTGCTCTGGATGTTGTCACCCTCATCTCTCAAGTCGTCAAGTTCAACAGGTCGTCGCCAGCAGCGCAAATGTTTGTAGCACCGTTCACTGCCGGCGCCGACGTCACGTTCTCCGCTGCCGTGCACGTCATGGTATCAATGGAGCATCAGCACACCAATGTAGGTATTTACATCGCTTCTCTACCCGATGCATTCGCTAGCGCTTGCAGTGTGCGGACAGCACTGCTTCGTCCTTTGTGGATTAATTGGCCTAGCACAAAGAAGCGAAGCTGAACCTTGTAGCAATGATGTTTGCACTGAAATCATGTCCTCCAGCCAGGGCTAACGTTATCCCAGCATTATCTTTCTCCAGTCAACATTTTCTTTGGACGGAGTAGAAATGTTGTACATGCATCATATCATACGTACGGACATACGGAGCAGCCATGTTGCTTCCAACTCCAGTTAATTCCTGCATGAATGTGTCATGTGACGTCGGCCATGTTCTTTGTCTATAGCCCTATTTCTGTACACTGGTAGATCAGTGGACGCAGAAGCACGTGAACTGCAGAGAAGGCCGAACGAGATTTTGCTTCCTAGCAACTGGCAAGCAAAACATCGTTCTTCTGCCTTATTGTTTAAGGAAGCTCTGCCCATCACTGTACTGTGCAGGGTGTGGACAAAGTAATTATTGTACTACTCCTACAAGTAAAATAATGACTTTATTTAATTAACTACTAGTATGCAGGGAAATAAACTGCAATTTTAGTTTTTAACCTTGATCATCAGCATGTTCCGGGGAGATGTTTTCCTGGCGTATATCTGCAACACGTCCCAGACCATTCTACGCATATCGCCTGTGTTCTGTTTCCAGGGCAATGGTGGAGTTTGATACTAGACACACGCTTTGTCTTACAGACATGTGCATGTAAAACATGTTGACACGAAGGTTTGCTTTTTTCAATTTGTCATGTTTCAGGGCAGGCTGATGAAATGGTTTATTGCAGAGCAGTGTGCTGGTGCGAAGAGGCCACCAGCTTGTAGTATGAGGTATGTGCACTGCGGTGGCTTTGTTACAGGTAGTGGTGCAACATCGTGAGGTGACACAGCCATACCGGCAGTCACTGCACAAGGCCCGACTCCTATTGATTTTTTTACGGGGAGGTGGAGGAGAGGGTGTGAGGGAGAAAAGCCAGATCCCTTACAAGAAGAAATTAAAAAAATTGTTTTGCAGCATGAGATAACATTGGTACTGACGAACAGCCCCTAATACAGTGTGATAAACTTTCAAAGTGGTTTGTTTGGACATTTTGGATGTGTTTCTTTATTTGTCGTACTTTTCCCAAGGCAGGCATTGATGCACCATGCTGTGGCCTATATTGGCGACTCCGAATCCCGCATCGCCCCGGAAACAAAGCTGTACCGAGGCATTCCCGATTATATGGTAACTCTATATGAAATTTATATTGATGGTACTGCTGCGTGAACTCACTACCCGTGCAGCATATGGATTTTGTTAAGGCTATGCATGGGTAAATTGCAGGAGTACATAACTCCCCAAGAGTGTGCAACTCGACTATGGACGCCGTCCCGACAGAATTTCAAGTTGACATTGTTTTCACGATGCAATGCGCACTACGCAATGTGCAGTGCGCACTATACGCGTATCCTGGGTCTGTGGTTGGCACAGCCCCATTTGGTGCTGTACAAGATCATGCAAAGAAAAGCGTGTGATGCGTTGACACGCTGCACAAATCTTGTAAAATACTGGTGCAAGGAACATTCAATGATTGTATAACATTACCTCAAGTTGAAATTCTGTGGCGGACAACAGGGTATGCGGGAGTTGCACACTCTTGGGGGTATGAACTCTTGGTAATTGGGTATGCATGGGTAATCTCGGATGGAGAGCCGATGATAAGTTTATAGAAGAGATTTGTCATAACTTAGAACCTACCAAGTTGGGAGGCTGTTGGAGTGCACACCCAGGACGTGCTAGAGCTGATGTCCAGTTAGTTGTTGAACGTCAGTACCGTCGGTCAGTTTTGTGCAATGATTTATCACATGAGCTGATTGTCAAGTAACTGGTGGTGTTAGTGGACAACATAGCGTAACTTATAGTTCCTGGGTAATCGGGTACGCATGGGTAATTACTACTGATCAGATATGCATGTTTAATCGGGTATGCATCTTACCCGTGGACCTTACCGGTAAACAGATCAGAAACTTGAATCGTCAAAAACCCGACCAGATATTATGCATGTGCACACTGTACAAGTACATATACAACAACCTATAACACCTAGCTGGATCTCAATATTGACAAATTCCATAGCCGGCATCGAGCTAGCCCATTGAAGTGATGATCGAGGGTTACTACATGACTTGTTGTTTTGTTTGGCTTCTTCGCACTGACAGGGATTCCGCGTCATGGTCGGCGTTATCTTGCTGGAGAAGTTCTTTGCTAATCCTGAGCACGAAGACTTGCTTGTCCTCTGTGCGCTGGAGATTAAAGTAAAGTAATTACTTTGAACATTGTGTTACCGTAAAAAGTCTTGTATAAAAGCCGCGGCTTCTATGACTTTCTTGGTGAAATTTTGCAGGCTTCTATACGAGACAGGTATTTCTATGTATGCCAACACTAAAACCAGGCTTCTGTGTGATTTGATGGGCCCAAAATTGTGGCTTCTATTCGAGGGCGGCTTCTATTCAAGTGCGGCTTTTATACAAGACTTAACGGTATTTGTTTGTATTTATTTCAATGACATGACTATTGTGTGTAAATACACTTGATCATGTGATCATCCATTGCTGTGCTAGCAAGTACTTGAAAAGTACCAAAGTACATGTACCACAAATCTCTTTCTCTCTCTCTCTCTCTCTCTCTCTCTCATCCTCACCCTCTCCCCTCCTCTCTCCTTCTTTATCTTTCCCTTTCCATCTTTCTCTCTCTCTCTCTCTCTCTCTCTCTCTCTCTCTCTCTCTCTCTCTCTCTCTCTCTCTCTCTCTCTCTCTCTCTCTCTCTCTCTCTCTCTCTCTCTCTCTCTCTCTGTCCCTCTCCCTCTTCTCTCTCTCTCTCCCTCCCCCTCTTCTTTCTCCAGATTAGCAATACAATAATGTATCTACGGGGTGACAGTGAGTCTGAGTTTGCACCATGATTTAGCGTACTCCTGTACATCTCTCTTCTAAAGCAAGTCCAAATTCTGTGAAGAACTACACTCCATACCCTGGACAATGGATTATGTACTTGAAGTACATGTATGAACCAGATCTGTGGTTCTTGCATACGATGTCTGTGCCGTTCCAATAGAAATGTGGCTGGGCTCTTGGAGTTCTCTGCACCTTCTCCTCGGTGTCTGCGCTGAAGACTGCTAACCAAGCGCTGGCACAGGCTATCATCGATGAGCTTGCCACTCAGCCCGCAACCCAGCAGCAGCAGCAGTCGTGTGCTCAAGCTTTGACCACGCCTGTGGTTGAGAGGTTAGTTGCAGTGAGTAGTCCTGGACACAGAAACCCAACCTCATGAATATAATAGCACCGGGGACGGGGGGGGGGGGGGGGGGGGTATGTGGCCCTAGTGCCACACACAACACTCTGCGCACTCGAGCGCGGCACTAATTTATCCACTAGGACAGATGTCTCTGGCCAGAACTGTAGTAGTGTTGTGACTGACTACCTTTAGTCACCTGCTCCCAGCCCCGTGTCATCTCCACACTTAGACAATGGGACGACGGTAACTACATTTAAAAAGACTGTTTGTTGACACGACGATGCCGAAACTAGGGGTCAAAGGGGTGTACCGGGTACCCGACCGTTAATCTCAGGTACCGTTAGTAAAAGGGTACCCGTTTGGATTTTCATGAACCAGTCAGTACGGAGCAACACTGCTGGGTTCGTGTATTCCAGGCGGGAGTCAATTATTTACAACTCCATGCTTGATGTCTGCATTGTTGTTGCATTTTCGCACCTAGTAGATCTACTCCTGCGACTATCAGACCCCAATCGATTTGCGAATATCAAAATGCAACCCGAGAACAGATGAATTAAACTCTTGATTTATGTGAAAACTGCACAAAAAATTATACATGGCTGCTAAAGGGTACCCGTTAACCCGCCCTTTAAGAAAATTACCCGTTCGTTAGTTAAAGGTACACCCGTTTGACCCACAACTAGACATGATGAACTCAAGACGAAGACTGCTTTTCACACCACAACAACACGCGCATGCACCAACACCACGTACACACGACACACGACACACACTAATTACCACACTACAACAGCAGTGCATTCAGTGATGTTCTGTACTATTTACTGGTAGTGTCTAGCCCGTGATGTGAACCAAAGACAAACTTCAAGTTGTGATGGGCAGTTTTAGTCCATGCTGTGTTGAGACCTGATGTTGGGCCTGAGATGGGCATCACGGACACGCACTCTTTTATAGCAGGTTCCCAGTTGCTCAGAATATCATGTCTCAGTGCACTATACATACTGTCTTCAAGTACATGTGTACTTTGTTTTTGTCTTGGAGAGGGAGCGAGCCTCTGGGATTCTGCTCTTATTTCATACCTACCAACTGTTGCTGCACTGCACCTTGAGAAGTTGCACACAAAAAAAGTTGCGAAAACAAATGAATAAATATGAACGTATGCATATGTACACAATTCTGCCATTCTCTCAGCTGGCTTCACACACTGGACGAGCGCATGGCTGTCCACATAGTCGATGCACTGCTGAAGCATTTACCGCAGGGAGATCAACATGGTATGTACCATTGCATCGTGAATAGTGGCCAATTCATTTCATCCAAAGTCCAAACCTGCCACCCTAATTTTTGGCTTCTCACTTGTGCAAGTATAGTGGTAGATGTAGTGAAAACAATTGTACACTCTGCGTTGTGTGACCCAAGTAATTCTTCCTTTAACACATTTGAAGCTGGAAAGGCAGAGGATAAGGAAACTAGGACAGGTGTACGGTAGTAACATGTATGGAGAAGCACATCCAAAACTCACTTTCAGGGGAAGTTAAGGCAAAAATAAAAATTTCACCACTTGTAGTCTTCGGGGTGCTGAGTCGAATGGTCTTGGTCCGAGAAAGCTGAGACGCTCCCTTCCTACTTGAATCCCAATCGAACTCGCGCACTTCCACCGAAACTGGGTGACTGCGCCCTACTAGATGGGGATTTGTATGCAAAATGTCACTAAAAGCGCCATTTCGTTCTTATAAAAGCACGGATGACCGCGATTGGCCCATATGTTGTAGTCTTTTGGACGCTGAGTCGACTGGTTTTGGTCCTAAAAGGCTGCGATGCAGCGTTCCTCCTTTATTCCCAATCGAACATGCTTGAACAAGCGGTCACGTGCTCCTGCGTACGCCAGTCACCTGGTCACCGTGCATGCAGGGTACAACTAACTTACTAGCCTGTTTGACCTTTTATTGGGCGCAGTCCTGTCACTCGAATTGAACTCGAGTTGAACCTTGGTGTGAAAGTTGTCGCCTGCTGGCGTGGTGACCAGGTGATTTGAGCACCCAGGAGCACGTGATCACTTGTTCAACCATGTTCGATTGGGAATAAAGGAGGAACGCTGCATCGCAGCCTTTTAGGACCAAAACCAGTCGACTCAGCGTCCAAAAGACTACAACATATGGGCCAATCGCGGTCATCCGTGCTTTTATAAGAACGAAATGGCGCTTTTAGTGACATTTTGCATACAAATCCCCATCTAGTAGGGCGCAGTCACCCAGTTTCGGTGGAAGTGCGCGAGTTCGATTGGGATTCAAGTAGGAAGGGAGCGTCTCAGCTTTCTCAGACCAAGACCATTCGACTCAGCACCCCGAAGACTACAACTGGTGAATTTTTATTTTTGCCTTAACTTCCCCTTTAATTTAGAATGGGGTTGGAGCCATTTAATGATAGCTTGCATAGACCTCGGTCCTACCGGTAGGACATACCGGTAGGACCCTCATACACAGACATGCTGCATGGCCTCTGTTCTAACATTGACCTAAAACTTGACCCTAGACTGTTGCTTAGGGGCTAATGAAGGACTCCACAAATTTTAGACGTGATCGCACAAGGCATTCTGGGGAAATCCATGGTAACCGCCCATGGTAACCATGGAAACTGAGTATGAAAATATGCATTCCACTGCCTTAGCAAGCTAATAAAAACATTAGGATCTCACCACGATTGATGTGCCATGGTCAAAATTCACTTTGGACAGAGTTGCTAGCGCACCGACAGGATTATGTGCGGCCATTTTGACAATCGATAAAATTGCGCATACGCAATGCACTGGACATAGCCTTGCATTTTGCGCCATTACTTTGCCTGACAAAGATCTCATCTCAACAATTGTTTCAATAAATTTCTCAACCAAAAGCACTTTTGCAGCTCGATTTCTTGGGTCCTACCGGTAGGACCCGTGGTCCTACCGGTAGGACGGCATGCAAGCTATCATTAAAAATCAGTCAAAATCAGACTTTAAAAATTCAGCAGGACTATTCTGTCTGAATACTGCAGCCAGCACATAAACGCACGTGGACCGAGGACTAGCCAGTCTCCGGTGTAAACACCCAAGTTCTGTTGGTGTTGCATGCAGGCGGTGACTGTGCAGCTGGCGATGACCTGCAGACCGCCGTGCATTTTGCCGTCATCCTGTGGAAGCGCTTCATGGGCATGTGTGAAGTTGGACAGTGAGTACTGGCAATCCACGGTCACTAAAACATTGTGTAGAACATATCTTTTGTGCATTGCATGTGTACCATAATTATGTGCATCTTTCATAAAAAAATGTGGGGCAAAATGTCAAATGATTTCCTTGAATTTTAGTCGCAAGTACGAAGGTGTGTTCGACTGCACTTGCGACCAAAAATTCAAGAACGTCATTTTTGACATGTTCATGAACATTTTATGAAAGCTCTATCCTCAACACGCCCCACTCTACTAATATCTGTGTATGTAAACAAATAAGTGTGCGTGGAGAGGGGGAGGGGGGGGGGGGGTGCAACAACGGTGTAAGCAAGAAAGGGTGATAAAAGAATCTCTTTTTGAGGCAATTGCCGTGGGCGAGGTGAGAACAATGGGCACAAACCGTGATCCACGTAGACGTTATCATCCGTTTAGCATTCCGGTCAAGAAAATTATTCAGACGGCCAAAGCTTGGATCCTTTCTCTCTGTCTTGTGTCATGTGCAGGTGGCCGGAGTGCCTGCCTCAGTACGCTAAACTGGTATGCATCTAATGGTGCCATTTGAAACCAATGTTGTATCTGCCCACTGCGATTCCCTGGTCCCCAGCATAGCGTATCTCATTTTCAAACTGACAACCATGGTCTGCATGCATCTCATGTCATTTACAGTAGTCACCATCACCTTTATGAAAACGTAACTGCCATGTAAATCTGTTCAGGGCAACAACCACTTCGACGAGAGAACACCTGTCTTTTAAGACAAAGGTCATCGCATACACCAAAACCGTGTTTCAACACCCACTTAATAAAGACCTGCTGTCGGGAAAGACCACTGTCGTTTTCTGTGCACCACACAGGGTTTGCTAAACAGAGTTTTTAATGAAGTGTTCAGTATGCTTGTGCTAGAGTAGTGATCCCTGCTGTACTGAGGATGGTCGTACGCAAAAATCTTCACATTCTTTAAAAAATTATAACAAAGTGCCCATGCCTACATAGCATGGAAGACATGACCGTGCTGTTCTGCTTTCTCTTTGGTGTGTGTGCCCTTGACGCCAGCTCTGCCAGTACAACCTTACTGCTCGCATGCACCGGTATATCCCAAGCGCTCCCAATCCCGTCCGTGATGAGATCGCTAAGCTGTTCAACATGTGAGTGCACTGGTCGCTGAGTTCAGGCCACAAATATGCCACGTCTAGGATCAGAGTCAGGAATCTTTGTGTCAACTGATAAGTTACTGTTTGATACCGATTACATATCACGGCACGTACACACACACACACACACACACACACACACACACATACACACACACACACGCGCGCGCGCACGTACACACACAGTGGGGACTTCATTGTAGTTCAACCAGTCATTCTTAGCTGCGCTGACAAAATGGCTGCAGCTTTCTGGAGATCGACTATCATTGAGTCATGCAGCTTCACGAGCCTCTCCATAGCAGCAAGAGTACATAACCCCCAAGAGTGTGCAACTCCAGCTATGGGGTCTGCGACGGCAGAACTTCACATCACGTGATGAACCCATACACATTATTTGCACTCTGTGCATGCTTGATACAGGGTTGTACGAAACCCAGCTTTGGGTACAACTCTCTTGTGATCACTTTGCACTGTTTGCCAGTGTAACCTTTTGAACCATGTCACGTGATGTGAAGTTCTGCCGTCGCAGCACTGCATAGAGGTTGTGCAGGCAGTTGCACACTCTTGGGGTTATGTACTCTTGATAGCAGCCATTGGGATGAATTTGTGTCACTGTCTGTGCATGATTCTGCAGGTCCAGCATACCCGAGTCGGGTAGGGACAATGACACTGCCGATGCTATACTGTGGGAAGCGAGCTCCGGTGCTGTCGCCGAGTGAGTTTGTACAGTGCACATAGCAATGTTTACGTACACCGCGCATACTGGATCCAGTGGAGATATTAACCAACGCAAAATCTCTACTCCACCCCAGTTTGATGCGACGATGCAAAAACCGGTACACTTAACAGTGTCTGCTGTAGAGCCGGGTCAGCCGGTCAGCGACCCGGCTGGGGGTACTCGGACCCGCTTGCAAAAAGTGCCAATCGGGAAGTCCCAGTAGGGCTGCCTGATGCACAATAGCCGCACTTGAATGTGTCTGGGACTGACCCGGTTGGAAGAGTTGTTCCAGGCACGTATGTACCCGGTTCATTTGAAATCCTAGAGCAGACACTGCACTATAGTCCTCTGACAGGAAGGTCGGAAGGTATTTTGGGGTGGTATAGTCATCCACCTGAAGTAAAATTTACTTGTGGGATTGGGGTGGCTCCTCTGAACGTTTTTCGAAACACACAGCCCAAAACAGTGCATTTTGTTGATTCACGTGGTACCTGGGGTAAAGAGTGCTACGGTAACGGGGTACCTGGGGTAAAGAGTGGTACGGTAACGGGGTGCCTGGGGTAAAGAGGGGTACGGTAAATAGAGTAGTGACCGTAGCGTGTCTGACGTCCCTGCCTGACCATTGCATTGTGTCATGGACCTTCTGAGTTGAGATGGCTTCAGTCACACACGTACTCACAACCTTACGAAATAGGCAGTGAGAGACTGAAAACCGGTGCCATCATCTCAGTACCAGCCTCACTGTACATAATACAATGTCATATTGCCAAGAGTACTTACCATGATTATGCTCTCTTGATATTGCGGACCTTTTCAGTCTGCATACTTGCTTGTACGATGTAGCATGCATTCACAGAATACAGCCTCTAGCCACACAGTCTTAGTGCTTTGCGAGTGTCAAGAGTCAAGACGCAGCGGCGTCGGAAGGTGTTTCTGAGTGGTGCAGTTAACCGTATAGATAAGAAGAACGCTTAGGCTGCTCTGTAGCCTTGCCATTCTTACAATTAACCTTTAACCCGCCGGAACACACAAACAATCCTCAGCTGCACCATGTGAATGTTGACGCCCTGGGTGGCTTGCACGTATGGGTGAACGAGAAACGGTCTTTGGGTGTATGTATCGACTGCACGAGTGCTAGTTATAGCATTGACGTTATTTCGAGTGGGCGTATAAGTTGCATGCAAATTTCCAGCATGCTAGATGGTGGCATTATCCATTTTCAGCCGTTGAAGCTGTTGGCTATCTTGAATGGCTCGCCAACTCTACGCACTCTGTTTGTCCTATGTTTTCTCTCCGTGACCAGCAAACGGCAACACGCTGCATTACCGCAGACCTCCTCAGACCCAGCTTGCAGTCACAAAGGGCAGGTGGCAGCCCGTTCGTGGAGACCCGCGCTGCTGCCCATTCCGTCCGGCGAGATTCCGCTACGCATCGCCACGGCCGTGAACTCAGCATGCCCTGCTCCGTCCACGGCGCTGCCGCGACAGCAACTGCAGACGTGGCGCGATGTGCCGCCGCCGTATCACGAGGTGGACGCACATCAGACAGTCCAGAGCGCGTGGAAGAAAAAGAAGAACAACAACAGGAACTGGCCGAGCAGATGAAAAGCGGATAGCAGATTAAAAGAGATGTGTTGACAAGACCAGGCTGCTAGTATGTGTTTTGAGTTGTGTTCAACATCACGCAGGCTAATACAATTGGTAGCAATACTATACAAGTACAATACCAGTATGTCATTTCACACACTAGAACACTAAAAAATAGAGTACCGGTAGCTCAGTTTTCTTTCTTTGTGCTTCTGCCTTGCCTGTTTCATCGGCAAGATGTCGTACTTGCTTCCTGAAGTATGTTACTACACTACATGTAGTACATACACAAATCCGGGAGATCCCCCAGATAGGCGTTAGCCGAATTTGGGTAATCCTGAAATACAGATCATTATGAATTATTAAGTTGCTGGTACTTTGAAGTACATGTAGTCATTCCTCCTCAGGGGTGATGTTGCACAGTTTTCTCCAGTTTGTCTCAGGTTGTCCGCTGCTTGTTGCCGGAACCTGGAAAGGTCTTCCATGGCGGTTGTGTAGTGCGGAAAAGTGAAGGAAACGACTCCAAGCCGTGTCCGTGAACATTCACCCTCATTGAATAAGCAAGGGCAGGGCGTTGGACGGCTGCATAATTATATCTAACCAAGGATCTCCGTTGGACACCGTCGTCTAGACGGCATTGTCATGGTTATCAGTAGCTTCAACCGCCAGTATACGTACTCCGCAACTTTCAAACCGGTGCGTACTTTTACTCCCATGAAACTTCAGCATTTTGTAAAAACTTTTTCAAAGTATGACGAACTACTAAAAAAAATAAAAATTAAAACTTCAGCGTAGTGTATTATTGTACATACGAGTACACGTCCAACACTAGGCAACAGCCTGAATAATCATGAGTCGAGTGATATCATGAACAATCATGAGTCGAGTGATATCAAACCGGTAGTGTCTGAGTAGCCGAGGTACTCAACCTCGGCCATTCCGGACAGCTCTTTTCGACCTAGCAAGAGTGTATGAAGCCCAGAGAAAGCAGCTTCTGACAGTTTCTGCATGCGTGTATGTCAAGGTGGAACTCCTGGATCACGTGATAGTTATAGAGTTTTTTTAAACTCTATAACTATCACGTGATCCAGGAGTTCCACCTTGACATACACGCAAAGGGAGCCTCGGGAGGGAAGGTGAGAAGCGGAGAAAAGCTAAAGAGAGAGAGACAGACAGACAGACAGACAGACAGACAGACATACAGAGAGAGAGAGAGAGAGAGAGAGAGAGAGAGAGAGAGAGAGAGAGAGAGAGAGAGAGAGAGAGAGAGAGAGAGAGAGAGAGAGAGAGAGAGAGAGAGAGAGAGAGAGTAGAGGGAAGGAGGGAGAGAGAACGTCAAACCAGACTAGAAACTAGACTCTCTCTCTCTCTCATATCTTGTTCTTTGACTTTAGGAGACTCGAATCGGATCCTTATAACAGATCGCAGGCAGCAAGTTACAGTCGCTTCGGCCACAAGTCGTGCTCTTGACTGCACCTGTGGTGTGCCCCAAGGCTCCGTCTTGGGGCCTGTTCTCTTTAACGTCTACACCCGTGATGTGAAATTGGTCTCATCGCCAATACCCAGCGTGCAATTCGCAGACGACATTGCTCTGTGCGATTCAAAAGCTTCCGCTGGGGAAGTCTCCAAATCCGTCTCTTCAGCTGTTACTGATCTCGCCATATGGCTTAAGTCACGCGGCCTAATTTTAAATGCCTCCAAAAGCCAGGTAATGACTATCTCACCGCAACATGCCGGGCCTGAGGTCTCTATCGTGTGCTGCTATACCTCTCTACTGATAGTGAAGTCTGCGCGGTATCTTGGTGTCTTTCTTGACAACCGCCTGAGTTGGGATGTACACGTCAGCGCCATAGTGACCAAAGTTGCAAGGAAGATAGGCGCCTTGTGGCGAGCCCGTCGATGCCTCTCCCGCAGCTCGCGCAAGATGGCATGCAATTATGATCCAGGACTGCTTTGAAATTGGAGTTGGCGGTACGGTGATGAAATGGCTCGTTAGCTACCTTACAAACCGGACACAACAAGTCCGCATCGGTAGCGAACTGAGCAACATCACATTATGCACAAGTGGAGTACCCCAGGGATCTGTATTGGGGCCCATCTTGTACACCCGAGCGGTAGCTGCAGTAGCTCACCCGACCCCTAGCATACAATTTGCTGACGATATTGCACTGTACCAAAATGGTTCCAACACGGCAACTATTTCACTGGGACTCTCGTCATCCGTCACTGCGCTGGCCGACTGGCTCGAAAACCGCGGCCTGATATTGAATGAACGCAAAAGTCAAGTTCTGTCCATCTGTGGGAGGGATGCGCAAACCAGTATCGCTGTAAATTGCCATCAGACCCGCTTACCTGCTTGTATTGCGGCCAAGTACTTGGGTTTAACCATCACCGAGCAACTGACCTGGGACCATCATATCCACGATGTTACAGCGAAGGTGAACAGGAAAGTCGGAGCATTGTGGCGAGCCCGGCGATCCCTTTCCCAGAAGGCCAGGGTCCCAATACCTAAAATCCGTTGTGATGCCCGACCTATTATATGGAAGTGTGGCCTATAGCACGTCCCTCTCAGCTTTCGCTCTAGGTAGTCCATCGGCCAAATCTCAGAAAGGGCCTCTTTCGGCGAAGGTGATGCACTGAAGCTCCAACTAAACGCCCTTTGGCACACTAGCTCATGAGACCCCATAGAATACGAATCCGTTTGTTGGACGTTGCCAATCCAGTCCAGGATAGTCGAACTGGGTCGAATACCTTCTTCCGATTTTCGTAATTTCGTCCACCATTACATCTTTCTCATCGACTTTTTTTCGCTTGGCGAATGTTCTTGAGCCGCTGAGCAGAATCTACGCACGCTCGAACACTTGAAATGCATGCATGTTGACGGTTCGCAAGATTCTAGCGAGCTTGGTGGAAATCTATTATTTATTTTGACATTTTTGGGGGAATCTGAATTAGAACGGTAGAAGCTCATTCGGAGAAGACGGCGTGTCGCCGCTGTCGGATTGTCGCTACTGTGTTTCAGACGTATTTGCTTGAACGTGCTATTGAGGATGGACAGAAGATGAAGTGACGGCTTTCTTGAACACGGACGTTTTGTCTACATTGTAGCTGAAACATCTCATCTGGCGTCTCGAGAGCAATTATTATGAGTTGTGAGTGCCAGCTGAGCTGAACACAAGCTGGACACCATTCGTCAGCTGGGAATTTGCATCGAAGCTCTTGATAGCCACGATAAGCATAATTATACAGAGGTAACCTTGTTTGACTCAATACGCATGCAGGTGATACCACTAGTGGCACTACAATGTAAATGGTGCAAAATTGATGCAACAGCGAATATGTACTTCGTACAATCACGAACAATTGTAAGGCAAGTGTTCATGCCTGTCATAGAAGAATTTCAGCCCGGAAGTATTGTTGTCATGGTCATAAATAATACAGGACTTGAGTTGGCTCTGGACATAAACACACTTGTGGTGAATACGGTCATTATTGCGAGAAAAATATTTAGCCATTGTATTAACACCTGATGCCGCACTACAAGCAATATTTCATGTACATGTATGTGAGACTCAATTGCATCCACAAGGCCGTAAATGCATGTAAGCACACAATGCTGTACAGTATAAGTACAGTAAGATCGGGCGCCGAAGAACACCTCGCCGAAGACCACCCAGGCTGGAAAACCGGCAAAATTTAAGAACAGTCCAGGCTAGAATTATCAGATTTAAGAACACTTTTAAAATTTGGAATTTCCACATGAGTGCAGTATTTAACTGATCGGCTTTGAGCTCAAGTTACGACTACATGTACGTTGTCACACATGTACTTACACGAAGTTGCGAATTTACACGTAGATCTACATTGTACAAGTACATGCATTTAGGGTACCCTGTAAGAAGGCCTTAGGCCTGTGGGGATTGCCCTATCAAAAATTTAATAATAATAATAATAATAATGTATGGGAGGTGAGTACATGTCATGTACACGTGTAAACAGTAACTGCTACATGTACAGTCATTCCCATTTACGACACCCACTACTAGCACTAGTTTAGAAGTACTACATTGCACTACATGTACATGTACATGACAAACGTCATGACGTCACTCGACTTGCCGCGCGCGCGTGTGAATAAGAACGGTCTGGCTAGAATCAAAAATTTAAGAACTTTCCTAGGCTGCGCTCGAGCCCCTGCGTTCTTCGGCGCCCGATCTTACTGTAGTAGTCGACATGTGGTGCCTTCCTGCTGCACATGCACATGCGGCAAGTTGGCAACGACACATGACCTATCTGCACCGCACAGCGTGAGCTTAGAAAGGAATATTGCACACATAGTGCTATTTGTGTTCCGATATCATTAAGCCGGTATACATGTACTAGTATCCTTATGCATGTACCTGGTTACTCGATAGGCGATGCCGACTGTACTAATCTTATCCATATTACCCGATAGGCTATAGCACACTGCGTCAGATCACTATGCAACAAAACAAGAGCTTTGGAGCGAATATACACTGAAGCAAAGTAGGTTTCAACGGTACAGCACTAGTCACAATGAGGGGAGTTACGAGGATGGTTAGGCCGTGACACATAGATGATGATTGTTAATGATTCATGCACGGTGGAAAATTACCACCAATGGCGATGATATTGCTTTCACAACAATGACATCAGTAGGAGCAGCGACACAACCTTACTGCTCCAAGTAGGATTTACAAGCGAGTGAAGGGAGAGCAGACTGGTCTAATAGCAGACCGGGTCTAAGCAAGGAAGTAATCGGCATCAGAGGTGAGCTTGCACATCAGAAAACAGATGATGATCACCAAACACAGAGAAGTTGGCTATGTGTATGTTTGTGTCACTGTGTGTGCATGTGCGTGTGTGTGCATGTGTGTGTGTGTGCATGTGTGTTTGTGTGTATGCGCGCACATCTGTGTGTGAGAGAGAGGCAGACAGACAGATAGCATATGGTGGGAGGGATCAAGGTCTGACCTCAGAGTTAAATGCTGACGGTGTGGAATAGCAACAGTGCGAAATCGGGCAGGGTGGTTAATGGCCCACACTGGAGCCGAGTAGGAGCGCCAGTGGTTGAGGGCTAGCACAGGAGTAGCAGCAGCTCCAGCCTAGGAAGATCAGCTTCTGGATGAAAATCTCCCGGACACAGTAGGTACCAAGCTTCACTAGCAGGTTGCCGGCAGGGGTGCACGGCGAGCACCCGTACATCCCTCAAGCCACCAGAGCCGCAGTACTTGGACACGATCCAGGTGCTTACCCGCCAACAATGCTGAGAAGGCACTGGAGCCATACAGAAACTTATGATCGAGCATGACCACAGACTTGAAATACAGGGTCCGGCGTTGAATACTGAGACAGCGACGTCTCCTCCACAGA